TTGCTAAATCTGTTGTCAGGCTGTGGTCAGACGTGCAGGAGAACGGCCAGTAACAAGAGTCTGCAACTTGAACTTCAGATTGGCACATCAGAAGCACAGTGAGGACTAGGAGGAGCAGCAACATTGCTGAAAGCTGGGAGTGCTGGCAATTCCTCTCGGTACTGCCTGACCCTTAGAGGAGGTGTGCCAGGCTGTGTGCATGGAGCTGCCGCCATCTTCCCTAGCCCAGAATGCCTCTGGGCATCCAAGGCATTCTGGCTGAAGTAAGATGAGAGCAGACCCGGTGACTCAGTCCAGCCCTCCACTCAAGACTGATCCTTTTTTTAAATAGACAGGCACAAACATCTGATGCAATGGCCTCTGTTCTTCCCAACAGGATGCACGAAGCAACATTCCTGAGAAAGGCTAGAGGGCTGATGCAGAAATCGTTGCTCGCTCCTTCATGCCTCAGCCACTGGTCTCCTGCACAACCTCCCCATTCTATGTGAATTGCTGTGTGAGTGTGTTGGGATGCTTCTACACATTTTGTTAACACATTTTTAAGGAAGCATCTACAAGAAGTTGCCGTCCAATTGTTATGTATCTTCCCTGTACTTCTTCCGTATGCAGAGCTCGCAAAAGTAAACGAATGGAGCAGCTGTCCACTATGCGCAGGTGTAGATGTGGTTTCGATGTGAACAATGGTGTTTCAGCCAATTGAGCCTCCTCCTTTGGACACATCTTCACGGTTTTCTTTCTGATTGCTAACATTTAGCAGTGTTTTGTAGGGTGGTGGTGGTGTTAAAAGTGATTTTTCATTCACACTGAAATGTGTACATTAAAAAACAACAACCAGTAACTGTACAGTAGGCTTAATGAAAAAAGCATAAACAAGATGCTAAAATAGCAAGCTTTAGTGCTTCATTACTCCGTTGTTCATTTGGTTTTGTTATGCATTCCCATTAGTGTGGACAAAACACAGTGGAATGTGTGTGCATGCATGCATCTATACACACATCCAGCTATATCTGGAGTATGAAAAATAAGTTATCATTTTCCCAGGGAAAGCAGTAAAACCATGACTGGCTAATGCTAAAAACCTGCAGACTGGAGCACCCAAGATGTGCCTGAGCATAATAGGTCCTGGGTCTGTTCTGAAAAGACTGTTGTCCTGACAGGAACTGATGATTATAGCCCATATTTTAGCCTGGCAGAACTCTGCTTGTACTGTGTAGGGAATTAAGGTAAAGGGACCCCTGACCATTAGGTCCAGTCGTGGCCGACTCTGGGGTTGCGGTGCTCATCTCGCTTTATTGGCTGAGGGAGCCGGCGTACAGCTTCCGGGTCATGTGGCCAGCATGACTAAGCCGCTTCTGGAGAACCAGAGCAGCGCACGGAAACGCTGTTTACCTTCCCGCTGGAGCGGTACCTATTTATCTACTTGCATTTGACGTGCTTTCAAACTGCTAGGTTGGCAGGAGCAGGATCTGAGCAACGGGAGCTCACCCCGTCACAGGGATTCGAACCGCTGACCTTCTGATCGGCAAGTCCTAGGATCTGTGGTTTAACCCACAGCGCCACCCGTGTCCCATGTGTAGGGAATTAGAGCATAGGAAATGGTTATATTCAAGTGTACAGGAAGTTTGAGGCAACTGCAGTTTTGGTTCATCTGCCCCATTTCTTTAGCTCCTAACGTAAGTTGCACTATCTTGTCCCCTCATCCCTCAAATGATCAGATGTCCCACTTCAGGAAATGCTGGGAATCAAAGTTAGATGAATTACAGCTCACCTCTGAATTTACTGCAGATTACGTTCAAACAGAAGTTGGATCTGTTAGATTAAACAGCTTCTGGGGAAAATATGTGAGAAAGCAAGAAGCCAGCTTTGCTGCTTCTTGGCTAGAGCTCCCCTGCCTGTCATTTTGGTGGCTCTGATGTCTGCTGAACTGCATATTTATTGTGACCTCCAAGCAAATCCGGGCTGGTGAGTGCTGTTGGCCAAATGGTTTTGAACAAATTTGTTTTTTTATAATGTGCTTGCACAGACCGAAAGAAATGGAGCCACGTACTGGATTTGAGATTTAAATGCTTAGTACATTAAAGAACTAAAGGGGGGAGGAATCATCATTATTTTAAGGCTCAGACGGGAGTCATGAATACAAATTAAGCCAAATAATAGTCTTGTAAAGAACAGGAATGTCATGGACTTGATTTACATTTTCAAGGAAAGCAAACAATATGATTTGCCTAGGGCTTTACCACTTTAAACTGTAGGTGATGATTTGCTTTTCTGAATGCTCTCTGGTGTTTCTAACGAAACAAACAAAATCCTGCACCTGGATAGCACATCAGGAAGAAAGCTAGTCTGAAAACTTTCTCCTTGACATGCTAGCCTCCAATGTATGCAGGGTATGTTTTTTTTTTTGAAAAATATGCAGCCCATTACCTGTGGTGGTCTGAAGGATAATTATATTATGTGGTTTCCCCCCCCTGCAGGTTTGAATTGGGCCTGTGTTTTAATTTATTGTAGTCTGAGAACTGTATTTACACCATCCTATGGTAATAGAGGATAGTAGAGAACTGAGGCGAGAATGACCAAAAATGAAAAGAAAAAAGCATATACTTGGGAAGCTGATGTGAAAGCTTGGATGAAATGGGAAGCAATTCTTAAGTGAACAATCTTATAATTTTCTAGTATATTGCTAGGAAAAAAAGCATAATACCATGTTCTCAACTACCTTTCCCTCTGCAAAGCTCATGGGTGAGTTCTGATACAGGCGCAGGTCCTTGGCATCCTGTTTCGCTGCTTGGGGTGAAACAGGAATTGCTGCCCTGCTCTACTACTTCTCTTGGTGGCAGAGAAGTGGCACCAGCACCAACTTCTGGCAAGATCCCACAGATTTCCAGTGAAACCTCACAAGATCTCACTGAAAATTGGTGCCACCTGAGGTGGCAGTGGTGGTGGCGGCGGCAGCTTCACCCCACCTAATGACTGGGCTGGTTCCGTGTAAGCTAAATGGCACAATCCAGCCACAAGCATGCTCAGTAGCCACAGAACATGGAGTCAGTTGGGGCAAAGGAAGTGGTTATTGAAGAGGAGACCCAACAGCCTGGAGGCTTCAAAGCATTGCTGAAGCCCACTGAGAGTAGGAATGGGCAAATCTGTCCATTTCAGTTCCTGTCAGTTCCTTGTTTTCCTGCTCAGTTTTCCATGTTTCCATATCAATGCTTTTTTTTTTAAAGAAGTCATGAAAATTCACCAGCATTGTACCGCAATTCCCCCGCCCCATGTATACATTTCTGCATGTGATTTAGCTTAATACTTGTTTTTGCAAAGCAGTTTTCTGCAATATAATGCATTCTTAATGCTATTTTAGTAACTTATGCATTTCTATGCACACTTTATCTCAGTATATGCATTTTTGTTCACATTACTTAGCTGGATAACTGCATTGCAAAATACTGGGAAGTAGGAAGCTCAAAGGATGGCTGTGTAATAATAATAATAATAATAATAATAATAATAATAATAATATATTTCTTATACCCTGCCCATCTGACAGGGCTGCCCCAGTCATTCTGGGAGGCTTCCAACAAAACCCCTCACAGAGGTACAATTTTGGAAAGTTTGGATTACGTAGGTTCACTTTTATATGCGAAATGATTTTAATTTTTCCACCAGTGTTAGCTGAGACAAATAAAAAAGCATAGAGGAGGTAAGGAGGAGACTGGAAAGTGGGCAGTTACACTTCAGTGTCTCATCCTCTAGTTGATACAAATTCCAAAGAAAATGGAATTTGTTGCTGTCATACTGCATTGTCCTCTGCAGGGGGATTGGCCAGAACAGACTTGCTTATAGGTAAAATAAAGGTAAAGGACCCCTGGACGGTTACGTCCAGTCAAAGATGACTATGGGGTGCAGCGCTCATCTCGCTTTCAGGCCGGGGGAGCTGGTGTTTGTTCACAGACAGCTTTCCGGGTCATGTGGCCAACATGACCAAACCGCTTCTGGTGCAACGGAACATCATGACGGAAACCAGAGCGCACGGAAATGCCATTTACCTTCCCGCCACAGTGGTACCTATTTATTTACTTGCACTGGTGTGCTTTCGAACTGCTAGGTTGGCAAGAGTTGGGACAGAGCAACGGGAGCCCACCCTGTTGCGGGGATTCGAACTGCCGATCTTCTGATCAGCAAGCCCAAGAGACTCAGTGGTTTAGACCACAGCACCATCCGCTTATAACAGAACTTAAAACAGAACTTTAGCATGGATTACTGAAGTCAAGCTCTTAGTGGTTTATAATGATGTTTTGAAGTGTCAAGAGAAACCCTTATTATAGGTTTGGGATTGGTTTGGCCTGAAGCTGACAGAATAGTAGACAAGACGCCTGCAGTCTGATACACTATTATTCCCTATTGCTGACAGGGAGCTCTGCTTAGGGAGAGTAGTTGACGAGCCCTGCAGTGCAGTCCATGATGAATATTGTAGGTGAGACACGGGGTTTGGATTCCCAGTCAAAAATTCCATCTGCACCTCAGGTGGCAGCAAAAGTCTATCTACTTAAGTTGTCTCCTCAGAGCACCTTTGGGCCAAATCAGTTGCATACAGAAGCTTCTCACTTCACTGGGTTGCATGCAGTCTAAGTTAGTACAATTCTACAAGTTAGAACTGAGATTTGTTTCTTTGACATTGCATTTTTCCAGCTCCCACAAGTCTTTGTCTCTTGCTCTCTCACACACAGTGTATATTGTGGGTACTGTTCTGTACTCATATAACAAATATTTGTCCAGGACAGAATTCTATCCTATTTATTCTATCCTCTTGTGCAAACAGTCATTCATAAAATGATGAAGAGTAGGATCCCATCTATGTTTACTCAAACGTATATTATATTAAATTTAGAATGTGTACAGGGTTGCAGCCCACTTTCCTGTCTCTTCAATCAATTTGATATGAGGTTGCTATGGCAAATACTGAGACTCTTTACTCCCTTTCATGGGAGATAATTGCCTAACTGACCCTAGACCAGCTGGTTTATTTCATCGGCTCCCATCTGAAGGGTACAGACTGCAAGTGCACAATGCAATTTACCTGGAATTGTGAGTCACAGCATTCCACTACACAGTAGCTGTAGCTACAGGTCATGACAATGTGTAAAAACCACTGCCCTCAAAACAGATGGTTTTTTAATTCCCAGCCATTGTTTTTCCATTCCAGCCAAATGTAATCTGCAAATGTATCTCATATGCTTCATGATTATAAACCTGTGTCATGGATAGTGGTCCTATATTGCAAGACATACAAACCACACATAGGATGCATTTATGTAATGTGTTATTTAGATATGAGAAAAGCCCGCAGGAGTTGGTCCGTATCTGCAAAGCAGACTGGATCCCTAATGAGTCTGTGTACTCTTGAACCCCCAAGAGATGCAATGTGGAATCACAGCTGATCTAAGATACATAATTCTATCAACATAATCCCTTGCAGTGCCACAGGATGCTGGAAACAACTCTCATATCCCCTATGAGTATTGAAAAGGCTGTCCTAACACATGCTTCTAAGGTCACATTGCTGCTTCATTGGTACCCCTAAAAATACTTCCATCCCAGGTAGCACTGAACGAAAAGGTGTGTGGGTGAGGTTTCATGACTATTTTCACCGGACGAGGGAATGTGGTGACGAAGCACTGAGCTTAGGGACATACCATGCAGTTAAACTGTATCTCCCCATGTATGTCCTTTGTTCATTACAAAGGAAAATGTACCCAAGTAAACACTGCACCCCGAAGTTCTCAATTTTCAAAGAATTGGGGCTGCACATAACAATATTTGCCTTTGTCTTTACAATGAGCACTGGTATTCTAGAGTAAGGGTGGAATTTTCTTAAACCTCATTTTGACAAATTGAGTGGCCTGTCTACTGTAAGCTATGAGAGATGCTATGACTCATGAATCTTCTTAAAAACATCAATGCTTAAAAACATAGCCTCCTTACTTGGTCTTGATGCTGACTTGGTGGCCTCGAGTGAGCTAGCTTGTCTGGTAGTCTTCTGTCAAAACCATGTCCGTTCTCCAAACGAGACTCCCGGGGCTTGTCGAACCAATCCGTTTCTTCCCGGCGCAGGTGGTAGGCTTTGAAAACCAAGGACACGTCATAGGTTCTGAGCCAGAGATGTGAGAAGAGCAATAGTCTGGTGTGCGCAGTCAACATGCATATAGCAGTTAATAATTGGCCATGCATTTTAAAGCAAAAGTAGCAGGCAAGAGTGGAAGCAGACAAACTCAGGTTAGTAGAAAGTGACAGAGAAGACCCAGCCTTGTTGACTGCGGACCCTTTGCAGATATGTCAGAATGCCATAACAATTTATCTGGGCTTGTTTGGTTCCTGAAATACTCCATTGGAATATGTTTCTGAGGTGTTTCCTCTTAGCAGGTAGTTTCATAAAACCCTTTGCACCACTCCTTATGAACTCTCAGTTCCATCACTGTCTCGCCTTATTATTTATTTATTTATTTATTTATTTATTTATTTATAAAAGTGTTTATAAACCACCAACTCATTAAAAATATCATGGTACTATACAATAAAACATGTAAAATACAGAACAAGTGACCAACACTGAATCAAATTAATTCTGTCAATCAAGTGTTTGGCTGCATGAGAAATAAGGGTGTGCACAGAATCATTCTTGGTAGACTTTTCCCAGTTCTGAATTGCTCTCCATCTTCACGTCCACAAAAATCTGAGTCTGGATATTTGCCAGAAGAGATGCAAGACTCTTTAAAGCAGGTTAGTAGCAGTAGGTTCTTATCTCAGCAGACATTTTAAGTCACTTCAGATTTTATATTTAGTTTTGAACTGATTTGGTCTATATTGCACTTGTTAATAATTGTATACCAATTAGATACACTTGTAATTAAGCAGTATATAAATGGCGTGAACTCTTGTGTGAAAATAGAGAGAGATATCTCCTGTGTGACAATTACACTAATTGCTATAAACACCCCAAATTCGTAGATGAAATCTCTTGAACTGCATCGTTTCATACTTACTAAGAACAAAAATGGAGAATTTATCATAGACGGCATCTGTAGAAGACAGACTTAGCATTCAATTTGTCGTCATATCCCCTAAACCAGGATGAACTTAAAACTTTTGAATAAGGGATTATCCTTTCTATGAACTCCAGGATATAATGCCCTAAATACTAGGATTGAACTTTTCAAACTTGCTAGACTACGGTACTAACGTTACTAACAATACAACCCTAACATTACTACTTTTGAAATAGTAGTGTTACAGGATATGAAAAAGGCAGAACAAAGATCTTCTAAGAGATGGCACAATTTATCCCATGGTTTTTGGTGGCTGCTGCTTACTAGCTATGGAGCATACCTCATCTGAGGACTTTGATGAAATGATTTCAAAGTTAGAATGCAGGGGTAAATGAGGAATTGTGGCAGCAGCTGGCAAGTAGCAGCTTTGGAGGCACCAAACAATGCCTTATCTTTGCTTTTTTGTGGAACTGATGCTGCTTTAAGGACTGGCACTATCTCTGTCTTGGGTGCTTGCCTGATACTCATTGCTCCTGTATTTTTGTAAAGATAAAATCAAATGCAACATCCTTAGTCACTGGTACTCTCTCCTCATATGTGAACTGACTCTACAAAAGTTGGCCTCTGAAAGTTTAGGAGGTGCAACAGTAAGAATGCAGAGGCTTCTCAACCAGCAGTTTTGCATGTTGCATTTTAGGTATTTTCCAAATGCCTTTGTTTTCTGTGAATGTGCATGAACCCATAAATTCTAATCTGCTTAAATACATTTTTTAACTAGAAGATCACACTGGTTAAATGCAATGACACATTCTTAAAATGTTCGTTTAGGGAATTGCATCTCCTTTCTTAACAACTTTCAGAATCTATGGTTCATGTCATATAGCTGTCTCCAGACATAGCAACACAGTAATTTAAAGTATATGCATGCATATAAAGAAGCTTTTTTTTTCTTCTTGATCATAGTGAACAGTATGATCCGTATAACATTACTTGAACTGAAAGAATTTATGGGCTACTTTTTGCTAATAACGCTTTCACATAATGAGTTTGATATTACCATTTCATGATTCCTGGAGTTCTGGTGCTGCTCCTGATATAGCATGGATACAGTTTCCACTTCCTGCTATGGAGTTAACCCATAAGCCCCAGCCATAGATATAAAGCAGAGTTGCAGTTTTCATACAAAACAAGCAATGGTGTCAATGATGTGGATGCAAATGTTTGTTGTTTCATGGAAAGGATTGCTGGAGCAAAGATGACTTAAAATTCCAGTGGGCTCTACATGCTAGCATATTTGACAACTGTGAAACAAGAAGAATGGTCAAAGGGCCATGTTTCATTTCAGAAAAAAAGTGTTATGTGTATGCCATGTAGGTGTTATGCTTCTTTATAACCTTATAGAGAGAGAGCATGTATTTATGAGTTACAGAATATGAAAACCTAGGATATTTTGGTGAGAGTGGCTAGAGTAATTTTTTCGTTTTGAGGGGTGGGGTTACAAAAATAGATTCAATTCCTCTTTTACTCCAGTCAGTCTGTTATCTCATTCCTTTTGTTTTCTCTGGACTGCTAGCAGTTATTACTCCCTTTATGAAGAAAAAATGATTTAAAGGCTTGAAGAACTCAGGAATGAAAAGAAAAGTGGAATGTTCAATGGAGCAAACTGAGACCTTAGACAAACTTTGGATCTTAAAATGAATAGGCATGGTTCCAGCAGGGCATGTAAAATGATACATAGCCTCCCTCCACTCCCTTAATGGAAGTTTTAGACAACTTTTAAAGTAAGAACGCATAAGCTTTAAGTAACCACAAAAAGTAGAAACCAAAACAAAATGTAAATCTGAAGAACATGTATCGGATCCAGAGCAAATTAAAACACGCTCCGAAAAGCTCTACTCAAAAGTAAGTATCCACTGAATACAATTGGACTTACTCCCAGGTCAGTGAATATTGGACTGTAGTGTAAACCAAATTTAGGTACCCTTGAAATCGGTGCAAAAGCATACGTCATGGCTAACTTAGGTACTGTTGATCTCAATGGCATTTAAATGCAACTAACTTTCTCTGGATCCAACCTCCTGTTTTATACTTCGGTGAGATGGGGCAAATTCCAGGTCATTCGGAGGGGAAAAGCTTTATATCAAATATTCACATCTATTATGATTCTATTTTCAGAGTGATCTGAAGGAAGGAAGTAATGGTACTGAAGTAGATAAGAAAGTGTGAGGGGAGTAACTGCAGCAAGTATTTCTTCCACAGTAATCACGGCTATTAGCAAACACAACAGGGCATGCAGTGTATTTTTATTGGACAATATGCACAAAAACTCAACAGAGCACATACAAAGAAAACGTGTAAAATTCATTAACTTTCAAAACGTCTTTTGGAAATGGCTTCTGAAACAGTATTAAAACATGTTATAAACTTTACTCAATTCCAACAATGCTGATACACAACTTACAGTTTAATATTTAACATCAGCATAACATTTTTCTTTGCTTTTTAAAAAGTAACATTTAGTATTTCTTTTTCGTTTTCTTTTTTTATAGAAAAAACACCTTTGTGTGCATCTGTGTGAGATAGGCTTGTGCAGTTGCCTGTAGACTTCCCAACCCACCATGTACTTGAACATTTACTTGGGACTTTTATTATTTTCTTTTAAGAAGTGGTTTCCCTACTTAGGTTTTCCTGTCCCATCCTACCTGCCTCCTCCTCTCAGACTCATCCCAATACTTGGAACAGCATATGTAATAACCACACATGAATAGAATCACTTAAAAAACATGCTTATATGTCTGAGGTACAGGTTATAGTTTATATAGGGTCATTTATACATATGGATAGCATTGAAGTTATCTGTGAAAGTTTAATGAGAAAAGTTTACTGGGGAAGCTAATTGACCCTGACATCTGAACAATATCATATCATCATACTTTTAATTTACAAAAATCCATACATAACAGCATACACTTTACGAAGATGCAATTATAAAGGCGCAGTAACGAAGTCTCTAAAAATACAATACCCCATCATAACAATATTGCTTCTACCCATGATTCCATCGGGGATTAAAACAATGATTTGAAATATATAAGGGAATTACTTTCATAAAGGATTTTGTTTGTAAACTGTGCTCTATGGCTCTTGGAAATTTTTGGATTGCTGAAGATTTGCAGCAAGCTTATTGCACAGATCTTTTCACATTAACAAAAGGATGGGTCACAGTTTTATGAAGACTATATTTATTTTGGGTGGTATTTTCAGCCTCTCTTGATTTTAGCAGAAGCTTATTCCACTAAACACAATGGAAGAAGACAAACCAATCCTGAATTATTGCTTCTGAAAATCCCAGCCAAAATACATATAACAAAAGTGGAGTGCAAAAAAATGCACACGCAAACTAAAAGAAAAAATAAATACAACTGGAACATGCAAGTCTATCTATGTACCCATCCAGAATCTGAGCACAGAGTTAAATCAGCCGACCAAATGAAAAGAATATCTATCTATATACACACACATACGTACATATATATATATATATACGCACACACAGAAAAAGAATGCAAAAAAAGAAAAGAAGAAGAATTAGTCCCCAAAAGATTATGAAATCAGACACATGCATAGAAATGAGGATTTGTGTTGTGGGAGCGATAAAGCAGTCTGAAGTCTAGTTTACCTTCACTGTCTGACATGGCGTGCTGGAAGTCGTCCATGATGAAGGCTATATCCCGGTCATAGCCTCGAGCTCGTGATTCTTCCCTCATATGCTGCTGGACTTCGGGCAATGAATGGCTTGATCCAAACTGGTCCCTAGTGTCTGCAGATATAGGGGGCAATGGCCCGGCTGCTGCTCTTGCCATTCCCATTGGCTGACCCACAGGACTTAAGGGACTCTCTTCTTCTGAATTCTGCGCAACTATTGGGATTCGGCCCCTGCTCTGACTTATGGGTAGACTCGTGGGTTTAGTTCTTCCAGAGGGGGCTGCGTGACTGAAAGAAACGTCTAGTGGTTCAGCCTCTTGGGCCTTCAATCTTAAAGATGAGCTTGAAGAATCTCTTTTTAGCGATAAATCAAGCCCATAGACGGATGACGGTCGGGAAGAAGGTCTGGATCTGCTGCCACTGCTGTAAGATTTGTCAGAATCATCATGTAGTGTGGATCTCATTGTTGTACTCAGTGCAGCCCCAAGGCTTGTGCCAAGAGAATGTGTGAGAGTTGGCCCCATATACTTCTGCTGGTCTGTGATATTTTTTCGAAGGCCAAACGTTATATCATCTTGGAGGAGCCTTGCTCTGGAAGTAATGCCGCCAAGAGATGATGTGCTCGAAGTCAAGTAGGTTGAATAATCAAGCTCAAGGTCCCTGCTTTCCTGAATGGGTGAAAATTTAGATAATTTGGGATCAATCAAGGCCTTCTTATGCTTTGACTGCTTCTGGTAAAGAAGGGCGGCTGGAAGCTGTTTGGCAGCTTGCTTCTCTAAGGTAAGCCTGCTTATGCTATATTTCTCAGATTTGGGGAAATGTCTGTAGCTAGTATCTGCATGGTAATACTGTGAAAGGCCTGCCAGGTGATCCAGGCTTTCAGCCCCCCTTCGGAACTCCTGCTTGATCTGATGCTTCAGCAGCTTCAGTTCATAAGGGTCTTCCATGGGATCTTCATCAGTTTTCATGTAGCTGTGCAACCGAGAAGAAGTCTGCAGCGGTGCGAGGAAATCTGAGACTTCTTGCACTCTTCGCGCCTCAGTAGTTCGAAGCAGCCGATCGGTTTTGGTCAGATCCTTCTCATGTAGACCATAAGCAGAGCTCAGAGCTGATGTCCCTTTAGTGAGGTCTCCAATATCATCAATCAGCACGTAATTACGTGGCGCATGGTGGTCAATATCTGCATAGAAGGAGTCACCAGATATGCTTGAGATGGGACTACTGGCCATGCTGCTCCTCTCATCGAGCCCCATCCTTAAGTCCAAGGTACTGTATTTACTACCCAAATGGGACACGACATATGTGTTGTCAGAAGATGCAGGGGCTATCATGAGAGGCTGGTTACGAATCACGTCATAGTTCGTTGTTATCTTAGGCTCCAGATATAATGAAGCCTGCCTTGTTTTCTGTGGGATCACCATTAGCTGTGACGAAAGGTAGGAAGGCTGTGGGGTTGGAGGAGGCTGAGCCTGTGGCGTGAAGGACATGGTTGCCACAGTCTGGAATGCTGACTGGGTCTGGTAAGGAGAAACCTGCTGTTGATATAAAGGTTGCTGCTGCTGGTAATGAGACGGCTGGGAGTACGGAGTTGGCGCTTGAGTGGGAAGGGCAGGTGAAGAGTACTGATACTGAGTATAAGGACTCGTAGGAGTTGCAAACTGCGTTTCTGGTTGGGTTTGTGGGGGGATAAACTGGTCAAATTCTGTTTGGGGCGCAGTCCTTGGTCTTTCCAAGCCATGCTGAGATTCTATTCTCGTGGGCCTGGTGCTGCTAACCTCACTGTCAGACATATAGTCGCGTTCCTCTGCTACACCTTGAAGATAGGCACGCTCCCTCTTTTCTCGTTCTTTTAGCAATGCCTCTTTCCGCCGATTGATGCCCATCTCTAGATACCGAAGTTTTGCATCTATTTCTTTCTCTTCCTCATCTAACTCCGCTTGCTTTTTCCGAAGCTTGGCTGACTCTCTTTCTACCAGATCCAGTTCTCTGTCTATATCCTGGAGGATTTTAGCTCTAGCCATGGTATTGCTTCTACAGATCCTCCGGCGTGAAACTGATCCCACAGTGGTGAAGGCAGATTGTGTCCCTACTGCAACATCTTCTGGAGGTGGGTTGGGTAGAGTCCTCTTGACCTTCTTTTGCATTCCTGATGCTGATACACTTGAAGATCCTTTAGTCTGCGGCATAAGAAAAAACCACAGGATAATTATTTTAGAGAAATGGACAAATATGGGCCAGCACAACTTGTGATCTCCCAAGCCAAATACAACCCACCAAAATGTACTGCTAGATGCCTGACTATCCTCATGTTTTGTGGTCCCAAAGAGACTGCAAAGCAGGACTGTGTACAGTTCTAGCCACCCATCTCAAAAAGGAAAGCACAGAGCTGGACAAAGTGTAGAAAAGTACAAAGAAACTTTTCAAAAGGCTGGAGGGAGCACCTTCCCTACTAGGAAAGCCTAAAGCACTTGCGGCTTCTTACTTTAGAAAATATGATTAAAAGAACACACAACACAAATTTACTAAATGATGCCATTTGCAAAAAGTGAATGGAGACCATTTTTTCTCAGTGTCATAACAACAGAAATCAGGGTCATCCATTAGATTCAGGACAGATAAAACCAAGTACTGTATTTTTTGCACCAGACCATAAGATGCACCTAGTTTTTGGAGGAGGAAAACAAGAAAAAAAATATTCTGAATCCCAGAAGCCAGAACAGCAAGAGGGATCTGGCTTCTGGGATAACCTCTTGCTATTCTGGCTTATAGGATAGCTGCCCGCAGCCTCACCCGGGCAGCGGGATGAAGGCTCCCCCTGCCCGGAAGAGGCTGCGTGTGGCTAAGGCAGAAGCCAGGACAGCAAGCAGGATTGCTGCGCTGTCCTGGCTTATGGGATAGCCGTGTGCAGCCTCTTCCTGGGCAGAGGGAGGATGGCTCCCCCAAGAGCTGTGCTCCCTTTAAAGAGCGTGTGGAGTGTGTGTGTGGCTCTTGGGGGCTTTTCCCCAAGGAGGGAGAAGGGCAGCTCTGCGCGCTCTTTAAAGGGAGCGCTGAGCAGAGCCTCCCGTCTGTATTCGCTCCATAAGATGCACACACATTTCCCCTTACTTTTTAGGAGGGGAAAAGTGCGTCTTATAGAGCAAAAAATCTGGTACTTCACCTAACACAAAATTCATGTATGGAACTCACAGCCACAGGATATGATGTTCATCACAGTCTTAATAGAAGACAAATCCATGGCAGATAGATCTATCCATGGTTATAAGCCATGGAACCTGTACGGCTGAGTACCAGTAGCTGAGTGACAGAGGGGTATTGCCTTCATGTCTGTCTGTGGAACTTTCTGGAGGCATATGCCTTGCCACAGTTAGGAACACACTGTTGAGCTAGATATACCTTGTGCCAGGACTGCTCCTATGTAACAGCCAGTTTATGACCAAGTGAAGATGCCCAGGCGCCAGGATGACATCTCCACCATCTGGAGGTGCATGCCTGGGGATCCTTGGATCTTGACTGTTTACACACACTAATACCACATCCTGTAGAATTCCATCAGTTTTATTTTATCTGCACAATCTAGGGACCAAAAAGTCGTAGTGAAAAATGGCCCCCAAATGGTAACTAGTCATTCTGTTTTGGCGAGCCTAACCCTGGTTTAAGGAACCATTTGGCGCCTAGCTTATATTTCTTTCTAACACTGCTTGAATGCTCTCCCCAGGGAGGCTCATCTGGTGCCATCATTAGGTACAGGGCAAAAACTTTCCTCTATAACCAGGTCTTTGGCCTTTTAGAAGTGGGTGGGGATGTCTTTAATGTATTCCTCTTTCCTCTTGGCTTTAATGTATCTATGTGGGGTTTACTGTCCATCTGTTAGGTTGTAAGTCACTTTGGGTTGCCCTGGGCAAGATACAACAACGGATAAATCTAATAAATAAAGCAATAAAATAAATAAAATAGCTCAGAGCTGGTTCTGGGCTGGAGGGATATGCAGAGGTCTGCGTCCGTGTGTCCCAGGGGATTGGAGCGCTGACCTCCTGGCACGTACAGACACAGAGAAAGTGCTCAATGCTCCCGTCTATTTGTCTTTCCTGTTGGTGAGCCTTTGGGAAGTGGCGCCCAACAGCCTGTGCCTCCCTCCTAGGTATGTGAAGCAGTTTAAATATCCCAAATGAAGCATTATTTAAATGGTGATGAGCTCTCTTATCTGGGTTAACCAAACTCTAACCCAATTAACTCAGTTGGCTTTGCATATTTTAAACAGTGTATTTAGTTCAATAAAGTATTGTTTTGAGTATTCCATGCTTATTTGGCATCAGCATGGATAATATACTTGCTTAATGATTCAGTAATGATTTAAGAATCTTCTGAAATGGGAGGGTGATTTTGTGCTACTTAAAACCAACCTTTGGAACTGCTTTGAATTCACCAGTCCAAATGAACATGTATTATTAATGGAAATACATACATTTAGAACCCCTTAACATATATTGCAGTCCTGCTACAGAGCCAGAATGTTGGTTATTTTGTCTTTTCCAATTTGACAGAACTGTTGATGAGGTCAGGCATCTACCAAATTATAGGAAGCAGCCATGTGATAGGAAATGCTAATACATCCAACTGCTTCTTTTTTGTGTAACAGCCAAGCTTTAATATGGAATACGGAATAACTCCTAATGCATTTGGGGATCTTTCAAATTGAGTTACTGATTTGATTTTAGCCACCTGTCCAGTGACTTCCTACTTGTTGCTCTTCTCTTGTTGATCTAGATTTGCATCTGTTAAGGGATCCCTTAACACCTTCCATTTTTTCAAAATAGTAATAAAAGAAGCAGGTAAAACAGGGACTCCTTTCATAAAAAGGGGAACTGACTACAGATGGGGAGCTTAGTGAAAAATTTCAGCAGAGCCAGAAATAACTATGTCACCTTAGTGAAGAAACGCCTCCCATAGTTGGAAACTTTCAAACCCCAGGAGCTATGACCAGAGTCTTCTACCTCCTAGCCAGATTACACAAAGTGAGCAATTGAGGTCACCCTATCTTATCCAGTACCATCTATGTGGATTCCATCCATGTATCCTATAAAGCCGGCATCCCAAGTTATATGACAACACAGGCTTCTTTTGAAAACTAAGGGTTGGTTCACATGTGTAATCCTTTTCAGTGGAGGCAGTTCACCTATTCAGTTTCCAGGGATCATGATAAATGAAGTAAGGAACATATGCAAATATATGCTCCTAAATTTGATCAGGAACCTCCTGGAAAATACCATTCTGTAACTCCCATGAATGTAACAGCAGCACTATGTACTACAGTTCCACAGGAAGATGGACAATACAAGCTGGATCAAATAGTAGTAGTAGTAGTAGTAGTAGTAGTAGCAGTAGTAGTAGTAGTAATAATAATAATAATAATAATGTGATGCAATATTACAATAGAAGGCCACAAACATTTGCTTTTTAAAACTTATGACCTTCCAGATGTTGCTGAACTGCAATTCCCGTAACCACTGACCCCTGGTCATGTTGGCTTGGGACTGGTGGGAGCTGGCAGTCTTTACAGCAATTAGGGGGGCACAGGTTAGTTACTGCTGATTTAAAAGTTCACCATTTAGGAGAAATATTGATTTGAAGCATTCCTATGAATGTGAAACCCTTTCACAAGCCCCCTTTCCCCAGATGGAAATCTACACCTGAACATTTTTCATTTTCTTTTTCTTTTTACTAGATCCACTACATGCTTATCAAAATATTGTTCAGTAGTTTTTCATTGTTTAGCTATCTTGTGTCACCGTAGATATTGTACATTTCAGTAGAAACTTGCCAACGAATGACTGAATTTTTACAAAACAATCAAGACTTGCTCTTGATTGTTTTTTCTTCATGTACAAGCACAAATTACCAACTGTCTACCAACTTATCCTAGAAAATGTTTTATTTCATGATATTATGCACTGTGAACAACAGACCCTTCTGGTGTCACCTGACTCACAATTTATTGTTCATTTCAGGCTATGAATACTGCAATAAATTAATAGGAATAAAGGGAAGATTTCAATAAATTTGCAGGCTACACTTAAAAACTTCATGGCCATTAGTATCTTCTGGTCATTCAGTAAACTGTGTGTTATTACACTCCTGTAGGGTTGTGGAAATATGAGCAATTTCATGGTCACAGTCAGTCACATACAAGCATACAATTTCACCTCTGCCCTGATCTTACCAGGAAGGCAAAGGAGAGCCTTTCTTTCAATCTTGGTCTTCTGCCTCATGTCCTGCCCATGCTAGATTCCTCCTCCAATGATCTGGACCCCCCAGATACTGCTGGAACTCAGGAAAAGTGCAGCACAACAGCTGCAGAAGACCAGGGACCCTCAGGGGAGGCTGGCAAGTGTCCTGCCCTACAGAAAGGGAGCCCAGTCTCTAAAGCAGAGGCAGAACCACCCCTGAGCCCCCAGGGGAAAGTGTCCCTGACTGGTGCTGGACAGGTTCTAAGGTACGTTGCAATGTTTAGAAATTAATGGCATGCATTATTATTACTATTAACCACCTTCTAAACCACCATCTGATGGCAATCTACACATAAAACAAGCAGTTAAAAATGCAAAGACAATGGAGACATTTAAAACAAGACTAAAACCCCAACAAGGTGATGACGCTACATCATAACTGCACATGGAAGCTCACTTGACTGAATCCAATGCTGCGGCAACATCTCTCCCCATCTGGAATGCTTAACTTGGAACATCTTCCCTGTTGTGAAAAGCTGTCTGCATGCAAAGATATTTTGAGATGGAGGTAGTTTTTTAAAATTCTTATTAAAAAAGTGATTTCACTTCTCGTGCATTCTGAACAGGCACAGACATGTGTGAAGGCTCTTGAATGTTTCAATACAGGGACAAATTGAACGCATGTCCTCCCCCCCCCCCAATGTAAACAGTCATTGCAAAGGGTGAGGTATGCAGCAGGATCAAGACCACAGCAAATGGAGAGGTTCCTGCTTGGCTATGATCAGGGTGAAAATCCCCCTCCTCATTTGCTATTGGGATCAATGGAGGCTTGCCTCCTGGAACTAGTAGAAGCTAAAGGGGAAGAGTGGGCATTTCACTGAGATCATAGAATGAGGATTGAAAAACTCTCCCTAACTGCTGAGGTCCTGATTCTTCATGCACATGTTAACTGCTTTCAAAGTTGTGTACACACCTTACATTTAAAGCATCCCTCACAGACTCCTGGGAACTGTAGTCTGTCCACCACAGAGCAACAATTCACAAACTAAGGTTCCCATGATTCTTTGGGGGAGAGAATCATATTTTAAATGTATGGTGCATACGCAGCCACTGCTTTTAGTTTGGTCCTTGTTCTGGATTAATCAAGAAGGGATGTATTTAAATGTTTTATTGCATGGGTGTCAAGTTGAATAAAATATTGGGGGGGGGGCGGGGGGCGGCAAGTAAACCCTGCACTACATAATTGATGACATGACAGCCCCTAGGAGTTGGCTCCTATGTTATATTGTTCAGTTTGTATTCATGGCTTTGGCTTTAAAGGTAAAGGTAAAGGGACCCCTGACCATTAGGTCCGGTCGTGGCCGACTCTGGGGTTGCGGCACTCATCTTGCTTTATTGGCCGAGGGAGCCAGCGTACAGTTTCCGGGTCACGTGGCCAGCATGACTAAGCCGCTTCTGGCGAACCAGAGCAGCGCACGGAAACGCCATTTACCTTCCCGCCGGAGCGGTACCTATTTATCTACTTGCACTTTGACATGCTTTCGAACTGCAAGCAACGGGAGCTCACCCCGTCACGGGGATTCAAACCGCCGACCTTCTGATCGGCAAGTCCTAGGCTCTGTGGTTTAACCCACAGCGCCACTGTGTAAAGTTTTCAGGATGGTTAGGAAAACAAATCTAAATAGGGCAATATCCAGCCACAGTGAAGCACACCAAATTCCTGTTTATTTCTTCATTTCAGTGGAAAGGCTCAACTCTTCTACATGGAAATAGATGAGTCCTAAAAATGCTTAACTCTGGTTTGGCTTGAGCTTCTAACCTTTAAAAACTAGGGGATGCATTAGGATTTCTGCCCTCTGGTCTGCTACTCCTTGTTCATGCAAAGACTGTTAAAAACTCCCTTTGGGGTATATGAGTGCATCTGTTTGTGTGGGGCAGGAACACTTGGCATGAATCTAAACAGAGACAAACTGATAAAATGTTTGCCATGCTTCCAAACTGGACGTTTCCCAAACAATTATTCCCTCAGAGGATGTTAAGGGCAAAAGTTTGCCCTGTTTCCAAATGGAACAGATGTGCCAACAGATTTTGGCACTTTTCCTAGATACCTTCCCTTGAGACTTGGGTTCCCCAGAAGAGGATTTGCACAGCTACCAACTGAATAAAGATTATTAATTATATGGAGCTTAATCCAAGGCACAATAGATTCTATACCCATAGTTCCCTGTTCTAAGTAAAATGCTGTAATTAGAAAGAATTTTCACTTTTAACATTCACTACAAAGCACTCAATACAGAAAACACGACAAAGAAGCAATATACTCCTATCTTTATTATATTATTGGAACTTGAATTGGCTGATTTCTAGTCATTGCTCAATAAAGTTAACACCCCTGCAAGGGTGAATCAACGCCCAAACATTTGCACTCATTTACTGATGTTTGAAGGTTACATAAAGGCATGCAAAGTGACAAATGAATGCTTGACTTGACATAGGATCATAGAATCATAGAATCACAGAATCATAGAGTTGGAAGAGACCACAAGGGCCATCGAGTCCAACCCCCTGCCAAGCAGGAAACACCATCAGAGCACTCCTGACATATGGTTGTCAAGCCTCTGCTTAAAGACCTCCAAAGAAGAGCCAACTCCAGGGGCCGTGGGTACCTGGGCACCCACCATAATATAATTCTAGAAGCCGGGCACCCACAAAGTCAATGAGAAAAGCCAGCAGGAGGCAGCACTGTCTCCAAGAAAGAAGCAGTTCAGCTCCATCCTCCGCAGCCAGTGAGCGAGGCACCCTTTTCCAAGCGCGGGGGGTTGCCTCAGACATGGAGGCAGAATCTCTCTGAGTCCAAGCCCCTCCCCACGGAGAAGGAGGAAGAGGAGCCGCAATGCAGACATGTGATGCCACACGTAGCTTGCGCGTAGTGCATGTGACGTCCACATTGTGGTGGGCACCCACAATCCTGAGGGCAAGTTGGCACCCCTATGCCATATCAAGATATGTAAACCATGTAAAATCAGGGAAAGGTTGACTACAGCCTCATATAGCCTCCCTTTCCCAGTATTCCTGCTCCTAGAACAGGCTTCCTCAACCTCAGCCCTCCAGATGTTTTGAGACTACAGTTCCCATCGTCCCTGACCACTGGTCCTGCTAGCTAGGGATCATGGGAGTTGTAGACCAAAAACATCTGGAGGGCTGAGGTTGAGGAAGCCTGCTTTAGAAGAACAGAATGCCACTTAGTTCCAGATGAGCGAGTACCATGTTTTTGGAACTGGCAAAGTGGGTTCAAATCATAGTTGTCAACGTTTCCCTTTTTTTAAGGGAAATTCCCTTATTCCGAATAGGATTCCACGCAAGAAAAGGGAAAAGGTTGACAGCTATGGTTCAAATCCAGTATCAGCCCATGTTCTTACATGATGGGCAAGCTTGGGCAAACCAATTTTACTTATACAACTGTAATATATGTAATATCTAGACAATATGAATCTATTCTCTGACTCACAAGTAGGCTTAGGATGTTTACTTAAATCTTTAAGTTGTTCACCTAAGGGTGATTGTTTTTATTGACTAATGGTAGAAATAATATTTAAACTAGGAACAATCATTCCACTAGTAATATCCCAAGCTCTTTAGTGTGAAGAGAAAGCAGGATTCCGAAAACTAAAACAGCTGCTTTTGTATTTTGGGATTAAAATTATGCAAGGAATTGATAAACTTGGGAGGATTTGCTTGATGCAACCAGTTCAAAAATAGTCTCATTGTTTAAAATCCTGTGGCGGAAGCAAATCTATAAGTTACTTCTCAACACTAAAGTTTATCTCAGTTTAAACTGTCAGCAAAAAACGTTTCTAAAGTACTTCTTTCTCTGAGAGCTGAAGACATAGCAATACAGGGAGACTTATGAACAACTACTTTACAAAAAGCATTTGAAACACAATTTACTTAGGAACACTACTTGGCCGAACTGACAGATCCTGAAATCAGGAAAAATGTTTTGTTTTTACTATGGAATATACAGTTATGGAAGGAAGAATGTTAGGCATTTTGTGGGATCCTACAATGTTCAGACAACACATGGCGACCATGCTAGGGAATTAGGTCTCCTTTGAAATAAGGTAAGGGACAACGGCAATAGCAGCTGCTGTCCCTGGGCAGTGCTGTGGAACCCGTCTGCTACAGCTTACCTGAACTGGGCTGAGGCAGAACAGGATGGCAATGAGGTCGGGGCAGTGCAGATGAACCAGCGGAGCTAATCCAGCTCTCCTGTTGGTGTGTCTGCACAGTTTACCTGGAGGGTACTAGGGCGGGGCAGCAGTGAGGCTGGGTCTATGCACAGCTGGAAGAGTCAGACTGTTTCTACCAGTATGTCCATGCAATCCCAAGCTTACGGCCACTCTGCTCTGGCCTGCCCCAGTGCTGTTCAGGTAAGTTGTGGCGACGCCTATGTTGGGAAGGTGGGCTTGTGGGTTTCTTGCCACACCAGCTGCTACTGGGCAACAGTAACGTCATTTTGGCACTTGTGAAAACTCACTGTGCGATACAGCAGCAAAAAAGCTAAAGCTATTCTAGGCTGCATCAACAGAAGTATGGTGTCCAGATCAAGGGAAATAATAGTACCCATCTATTGTGCCTTGGTCAGACCACACTTGGAATACTGTGTTCAATTCTGGGCACCACAATTTAAGAAGGATGTTGACAAGCTGGAACGTGTGCAGAGGAGGGCAACCAAGATGATCAAGGGTCTGGAAAGCCTTATGAGGAACAGCTGAAGGAGCTGGGTATGTTTAGCCTGGAGAATAGGAGATACGATAGCCATCTTCATATCTCAAGGGCTGTCACATGGAAGATGGAGCAAGCTTGTTTTCTGCTGCTCCAGAGGCTAGGACCTGAACTAATGGCTTCAAATTTCAAGAAAGGAGATTCCGACTCAACACCAGGAAGAACTTTCTGACAGTAAGAACTATTCTACAGTGAAATGGACTCCCTTGGTCAGTGGTGGACTCTCCTTCCTTGGAGGTTTTTAATCAGAGGTTGGATGGCCATCTGCCATGGATGCTTTAGCTGAGATTCCTGGACTAGATGACCCTTGGGGTACCTTCCAACTACAATTCTATGATTCCAATTTCTTAGCAAATAACCACACTTTCTTGATGGAAGTCATGGATGTATGTGCATTCCAAGCTACTAGATTTCTGAAAGGAAATATATGAAAACAATTTAAATATGGAGGAAACTAGTAAATTCCCTTTCAACATTGATTCCTATAAACATTGGGATTAACTCTCATTTAAGTATTCCCCATTTTATTTTGAAGCAGCACCATGTTCCACCTTCCTTGCAGTTCCATGTCTAATTAAGAATAAAATAAACACCTCCTATCAGGTTTCAAAAGTACCAGAGCTTCATTGCCAGCATTGCCCAATTACCATTCACATACATAGATCAAGTTAATGAAGCAGTGCTTATTATAATACATAGGCTGTCACTCAAAATGAACTTGTACTTTGAAGAAAGAAGGGGTCTTACCAAGAAACCATCCGTGTACGGGAAATGTGCTCTGGAAGGGTCTTCGGCTGTTGGGCTCAGCGGTTTGGGGTCAGACAAAGAGCGCTGCATCACCTTGGCGGACTTGGGGCTCAGCTGCGGAATCTTGGGGACCTCGGAATGCAGAATCTTCTGAGGACTAAGGTCTTCAGCGACAGGCTTCTCATAGGGTACAAAGGCCGACTCTATAACTGCAGCCGGAGATACAGGCGAAATGGGAGAATAAAGTACTTTGGGAGATTTGGGAGGGGAAGGGGCTACCTGAAGGGTGGGTTCTGGCCGGAGGTGTGAAGAGTAACCTATTTCTAGTGGTGTTGGGCGCTTTTTATCTTTCTGAGGGGAGGTAGCTGTGAGGTATTGGGGGCTTTGGGTGTCTGAATCCGTTTCTGTCTGACACCCCAAACTTCCTCCTTTGTATGTCTTTTCTGGAGCTGAAATGTGTTTTACGATTTCTATCTTTGCATCTAGATGGGCCCTTGCTGAAGGGGTCCGTATTGTCCCTACTGGCTCTGTTTGTACGGATATCTCTGCCACCGTTTGCACTGCAATACTGGCGACTTGGGGAAACGGCTTAGGCTTGTCTGCCTCAGTGGTACCTTCGTATTTCCCCACACGGGCTTTCCTCCTTGACCTGTTGGTCGGATCCCATTCATCTTGGTCCTCATCGTCTGTCTGAACACTTGTATCCACACTCTTTTTTGTTCTCCTCCTCCTGTCTGCATAGCCCATGTCCGCACCATCCTCATCGTCGGTTTGAACTCCGCTCTCCACTATCTTTTTAAGACACCTAGGCTCTTCTTCCAGAGCTCCGTCAAGTTCCTCGTATGGGCCACGCAGCTTTGGCATGGAGCTCCTCTTTTTCAGCTGCTTTTCCTCTCTCACATCCACGTCTTTAAGAGACATCTCTGAGACAGAGCTTAGCAGGCCAGGCCTGGGAATGTACTGAGTTACACCATCTGACTGAACTGTGTACCAGGCCTGGCTTTGTGGAATTTCGATTCCCAGCACAGCAGAAGCAGTGGTAGTGGCTTCATCACCAGCCCAAAACTGCCCATTGGGGGCAGCAGCGTACTGGCCTTCAAGGATGACTTGGTCTGTGGTCGTCTGTGGAGACACAGTTCCAGATGGTTCGTAATTGTACTGATAGATCTGCTGGATCTTCTGCTCTTCCAAGTGCTGGTGGAGCTGCTGCTGCAGGTGCTGGATTTGTTCAATGTGCAGTTGCTGCTGCGCTAATGTTTCCTGCCTCATCATGAACTGTGCCTGCCTCTCTTCTTCTTGCTGATATAAGAGGTGGTGCTTCATAGAATGCAACTCCTCAAGCTTCTTCTGAACCATGAATTGCTCTTGTTCTCTGAACCGCTGAATTTCTTGACGCTCCCACTCAAGCTCCTCTGCAAAACGTTGCTGCTGTAGTTTTTCGAGCTCTAGAAGTTCGCGCTCCAAGTCAAGGTGCTGCTGTTTGCCTTCTTCGGGGGCAATGAGGTGTGTAGCTTCATCCTCAATTATATCTACAAAAGCTTCTGAAGCTGTAGTGAAAACAGGCATCAAGTTGGTTGGCTCACTAGTAATGGCTTCCATGGGAAGAGGTTGCAACCCTGGGTCAATGTCGATGTCAGTAATTGCACCCTCTTTCTCAGAGGCTACAGTTGTCAAGAAATCATATGATCTTGGAAGTGCCTGGCTATGTTGTAAGTTTGATAATGAGGGCATTGTGTCAACTGTCTGAAGAGAAGATAGGTCTCTAACGGAAGTACTGAAAATAGAACCAGGTTGTGTGGTGATAGCAAATGTGGATGGCACTGGAGTCGCAACAGATGAATAAACAACTCCATTAGATGATCTCAAAACACTTCCAATGCCATAAGGGGATCCTATGGATGGTACTATTCGTGCTTGGGAATACTGAGGTGCACTGATCCCAATGCCAGAAATTACTTGCCGAGTCTCTGGGTAAGGACCCGTAATCTTGCTTGAGTAATCCATAACTTCACCTGAAATTACAGGGCAGAGTTATAGTCCAGTCTTTCAAAACAAAGCCCTTTTTTGCGAGTTCTGCAAGCCATCCCATCAAGATGAGTTAAATGAGCGGAAGAGCAGGGGGCAGCTGCATGCAAATCTTCACTTTAATGCTCTACATTAGCTGTGCAGGAGGGAAGGGAGGGGGGGGAGCATTTCCTGAACATGCAGGCACATGCAGGCACCTCTTTGTGCAAAACGATTTATGTAACGAAGAAACAAAAAATAAAAATAAAAATGCATGTATAAATCCCAGCACAGTTTGCCACAATGTCCAACATAAATTTTAATAAAAAGGGGAAGAAAAAAATAGAAAATAAAAATAATTCATCCTGAAATGAGATGAGCAACACCATTACTATATTTCAAAGTAAGATCTGAGGCCTTGTCATACTGACCTGTTGTTACTCTGCCAGAAGTTAAGTCTACTGCTACATCTGTTGCCCCAACTTGGTAATCAAAGGTATTCTTGCTTTTGTACATAAAAAGTCCGGCCTCTGATAAATTGGTATCTGACATAGAAGGTTTCATACCTCCTATTCCTTTATAACCATAGGGCCCTGAGCGGTCATACTGATAGTGATCATCTCTATAACCAAAACGATCTTCAGGTAGTGTTGTGGCGGGTGCTTGAGCTGTACAGCTCCTGCCAAATGGTAGCTTGTAAATAACATCACAACAAACAGCCCTTCTCCCTGCAGTCAAGTCCACAGGTTTTTCATCATCTTCTATTACAGTGGTAACAATTCCTGAAGTTGTTTCATCCACTGTCACCATGGTTCTGTGGGATTTTGTGGTGCTGAGATCAACTACTTCACTCTCGACTGGTTCATGAGTAGTGGAAACGTCCGTCCAACCATTGGTTACACCCACAGGAGGTACCATAGCAGGCTTTGTAGTGCCCCATGTGGCTGGAGTACCTAGGGACAAATTTATTGGCACCTCATCTCTGTCTGCAGAGAGTCCCTGGACGCCTGTTACTCTAGGTCCAGGCTCAAAATGTTTTGCTGTTGTTAGCTGCAGTGGAGTTGTCATTGCATGCCCCAGATCTACAAGACTTTCTGTACTTGTACTATAGCTTACAGTAGCTGTGCAGGTCACTATTGTAAATGTTTCAGTGACTGGTGCTAAAGAGATACCAGCTGTCGATGCAGCGCTGAGATTTATGATAGCTGGCTGAACAGTGCTTACCGGCCGACCCAAAGTGTCACTTGCCATAATTTGCCTTCTCACATCCGTGGGAGCAGAGGATAGGTCCATGCAGCTACCTGCCCTTTCCACATCCATTTTAGTCAAGGTGCGAAGATCAATGACATCACCAAAAACATGGAATCTCCCGTTCTCTCTATATCTGGGTGGTTCAATGATATGTGCCGGCTCTGGGGGTATGGTTATGGAAACACTATCTAATCCAGCATTTTTGAGCAAAGACACTGTAGTCCTGGCAACCTCTGTTGATATTAATTCTGTTGCTGAACTAGGAGCTATCTCAAAAACTGACCGTGCACTGACAGGAACAGGAGAAACAGATTGCAAAGCTCCTGGACCATATTTGCTTCGATCACTTATGCTTTGCATTTGCAGAGCAGTCATAGTTGGAGTGAATAATGATTGTACAACCTGTGGACCCTGTTCTTTAGGGGGAGATCCTGAAGGCCAACTGGTAATTGCCTGACTGGTAATAGACTCTGTGGGAGTGCCAGGCTCAGAGGGCAATGTGATCACAACATAGGTTTCCCCTGAGGATTTGGACAATCTTGGGGAAGATTTATTAGAATGTGGAGACAGCGGGGAAGTAGGGGATGGCAACTTATACTCTACAGGGGAAACCAAGTTCAAAGTCATACTGCTGGTGAAAGACAAACCCACTGGTTTTGGCTGTGTTTCTGCTGGTTTGTGAACAGTGGTCGGTAGCTGAGGAACTGCTGGTTTGGGAGCAATAGGGGGTTTTATTATTTCGGCAGGTCTGTGAGTGAACACAAGTCCTGCTGGAATTGAAGCTGGCTTGGGAGGAACAGGAGGGGGTGTCGATGTGTACATTTTTGTGACGGGTGGTCCAGTCATGTTTATAGCAGATGTTGCTTCTGCTGTTTTGACGTCACTGGCAGATGGTACTAGGATGGGAGTTGTGGTCACTGGAGCCTTAGCTAGGGGTTTCTTTTTAGGATAAATAGCTGGTTTGGGCAGAATAGGTGGAGGAGGTGGTGGTGGAGGTGGTGGGGGTGGAGGTGGTGGGGGTGGCTGAGCTGGAGACTCAAAAGAAGAGCTTTTGTAAAATGAAAATGTTTGGGGTGTAACAGGGGGAACTGGAGAAATGGCAGATGGCAACACAGATACAGTAGGCATGGCAGAGGAGGATACTGGAGCTGTACATGTAAATTTCTGGTCAGATGTAGCATCTGTTAAAGCTTTTCCTGTTATGGTCACAGGAGGTCTTGCCTGTTTGTCTTCATAAAGTCCCTTCATAACATCAAACTTGGCTGCATCTTTTACAGCTTTCTCATCTTGTGGTGGGAACGTTTCTATGGCATCAGAAACAGAAACTAAGGGCTTGGGCTTTGTTTCTACAGAGGCTGATACAAAGGATTCAGTTTCAGAAAGGGAAACCATAACCTGATCTGCAAGGGTCTCCTTAGCAGCTTCAGAGTACTCTTTCGTGGAACTTATAGGAACTTGGGTCACTGAGCTGGTCCCTTCGGAATCTGGAAACTTGCTAATAGCATCCACTGTTTCTATGTAACCTGAAATCACGCCATCTGGTGAAGAACTACCAGTGGTGTAAACTGAAGATGTGGATGATGTTAGGGAAGACGTATCTGATGGTATAATGGACGTGGCACTTTCTGAGGCCTCAGAGTACATCAATATGGATGTTTCGTGGGAAATTATTTCTTCAATTTCTCGGGCGTAATCTGTGAGATATTCATCCTCTATTTCTTCAGTTGTGAAGTGCTGAGTAATTTTGACATCCGGAATAGGAAGCACTGAAGAGCTTACTGAAAGTATGTCTGAACTGGATGAAATAGTGCTTGACGTCAGGGAGGTGCTTTCTGTTACCTCTCCGGATATGCTCGTTTTTGTATCTGAAACTGTAATTAATTCAGGAGATGGCTGGGTAGGACTGGAGCCTGGAGTCAACTGCATTTGTTGTCGCCTGATAAGTTCCTCATAAGCAGCATCTGCATCCAAGAGCTGTTTTTCGTCACTTGAAGATGGCGCCACACTGTCCAGTACGATTATCTCATGACTTTCTGGCATGATGTAAGAACTAGACACAATGTCTTCTTGAGGCATACCTGAATGCAAAGACTCTATCCTGTAATAGTCCTTTTGTAAGCTGGTAGGCTTTTGCATAGGTTCTCCATATATCTGATCTGGGGGCACTGATGTTTTTTCTTTCAGTTGGCTAAATTCATCACCCTCTTCTTGCCTTGTCATGAGGCTAGCCTCCATAGCCCCACTATAGGCATCTTCTACTAAAGATTCATATATATAGTCCTCTATTAGCATGCCACCATATAAAGGCTCTTTCTCAAACACTTCATCTTTTTCATTTACATCTGGAAGTGGCTTGGCTTTGTGGGATGTATGCAGGATTTCTTCATATACCTCTTCAGCACTTCTTAAAGGCTTTTGACCGCTCTCTTCTTTGACAAACCCAACAGGCTGCTCTTCCGTTGGAGAATATAAAGAGACAGCTGTAGGTAATTTGTAAACCTTCTGCACTTCTATTATTTTTTCTGGGCTGATTTCAAAAGCTTCAGGATCTGACTCAATACTTGGGGAATATTCAGAACAGGAAGACCGATGTAGTTCCTCCATTTCTGCTGCCTGGCGCAATTCTTCTGTCGGAGAAGCATCCTCAATCGGAGATAGGTTACTTGGTGGTGTCTTTGGCCGTTCTCTTCTTCTCTGGGCTCTGAGCTCATCCTTGTCTTTCTTGGATTTTTTGCTAGAGCTCTTCCTTTGCTGCTGTTGCTGTTGTTGTTGCTGCTGCTCTAATTCACGTTGCTTCTCCTGCTCTTTTAGCAACTCTTCCTCCTCCCGAAGCTCCTCTTCTTCGGAAGAATCTTCAATAGTTGGAAGAAGAGGACCATGCGTACGATGCCTGGCTTTACGATGCTGCTTACTTTCTCCACCCATTTTTTTGTGGCTGGGACTGCTGTCACTATCTTCATCAAGGGATGACACAGACGTAGGAGATGTGCCTGGAGTGAAACTGGAGGCATGCAGACTTGAAGATCCTTCTCCTCTTGACCTATCCTCTGGTGAATCTGTAAGACTCTCCATCTCTAACTCTGGTTCTTCATCAAAATATAGACTTCTCTTTGGTTGTTCAGATTCCTCAGAATATTTATTTGCTATTGTGCTATTAAGTTCTATTGTTTTGAAACGCCGAAGACCTCCTCCCGTTACAGTGATTTCTTCACTTTCTTGACTTTTTGTTTCCCTGTATTTTGGTTCTGGACTTTCATCAAAGGTCTCATCATCATCATCATGCCAGGAATGGCGTCTGCTGGCATCCTCTTCATAGCCTGTGCTACTTTTGCGCGTCATCCTCTTATGTTTTCCAGCTATTGCTTTTTTGCTTTTCACTTCTTCCTTCTTTTGACTCTCACTTGTACAGATTTCTTTCAGCTGGTTTCTCATGAATTCATCATCTTCAGAACCTGACGCATCTTCATCAGCACTCATCTCCATGATCTGTTTTCGAATGAAGTCTTCATCGTCACCTGACCCTGGACTGTCTTCTGGTTTGTATTCATCACTGCTGGAAGACCCAACGCTGGTCCGTCTTTTTCTCCGTGGGACAGGTGAATTCTCACTCTCGCTGCTATCTTCTACAGAGTCATAGCGCTGCCTTCTTGTTGATGTATCTTCTGTCGCTTCTGTCTTCTGCTTGTACCCCTTCCGAGAAGATACACCTTGCTTACTTACCTCTGCAGAATCTCTTCCATCTTTTTCTTGAATATTTGGTTTTGCCAAATCCTCATCAGAACTGTAAGATTCCTGTGTGCTAGGTGTGGACTTTGCTCTATGTGGCTCTTTTGCCTGCTCACTATAGACACCATAAAGGTCTTTGGTCTTTACAGGCTTCTCTTCAATGAGGGAACTTGCTTGAGCTTCCAAAATGGATAACACAGTGCTTTCTAGCTTAGCAAGATCGGAGGGACTGGTTGGGCTGCTTTCATGTGAAAGGCTTTCTTTTATACAAGTTTCTTTCAAAACATCCTTTTCATCACTTGGAATAAGACTGGGAATTTCACCAAGTGAACTTGAGATGCCATCAGATGAGTAACCGGTGTCACTTAGACCTTGTGGACTTTTTTGCTGCTGTGAGCTTGATGTGTCTGATTTGTCATCTTCTTTTTCCTGAAATATATATGAGCGCACACACATATTAAGATTCAGATTCAACTAATTAAATAATAGCATCACTCATCCAAAATAATGTTAATATCTATTATGATCATGATAAAAATGGTCAGTTAACAGAAACAGTTTAACAGTTAGGTTAAAGTGCTAAACTAGAAGTGGAGAAATATACTAATTCTCTTATCCAATAATTTTAATCACAAAAATGCCACTTGAAATAAGACTTTTTCAATTAAATGTAATTACGCTCTGTTCAGTAATTCAACTGAAATTCATTCTGACAAGCTTTTATGCAGTGCAAATAGGGGGAAAATTATTATCAAGAAAATTTGGTGATGAACACAAATTTGGATAGTTTTAATAGGGGGTTGGCAAATTCATGAAAAGATCATCTATTTTCGACAACCTTGGTGGGAGAATGAAAATTAAATATGGAAGATTTGCTATGATTATAGGCATCTTTCCCTCAAAACCTATTTTACTTATTGTGCTGTTGTTTTTTATAGGCTAGGATTTGGACCCTCATGATTGCGGGAGGAAACTGATATCCATTGCCCTTGGAGCATTAAAATGATATTTCTCAGCATTTGGCAGGGCAAGGGGTTTGTTTGTTTTTTAGCTCCTCTTACAACATTGTGGAAAATAGAAATGTATGGATTCTAACTGAAGCTTATTCATAGGTTGTGGTATGTAGCCCAAACCCTATTCACCAAACCCTGAAACCTTTTAGAATACCATGAAGCTCTCCTGTGCTATATCAAAGATCAACCAAATGAATCTACAGCACCTCAATGACCAGTTACAGATAATTTAAAGGAAGTCTTTTATCACACTTGACAGTGTTATTAACATCACAGAGACTCTTCTCTTAATATTTGATAATTTGTAGGAAACAAAAGTTTTGAAAGTAAGTATAGGCATGAATGCATGAACTTATTAATGAAGTTGGGCAAAGTTTTGTTCATTTCAGTATACACGAACCTACCAAAACCAAATTTGCATGGACTTGTTTTAGTCATTTATGACTTGTTTTAGTCATTCTATGTCAGTAAAAACGGTGGTGTGAATTAAAGTTAGTCATTCAAAACAAATTGGGTGCACTTCAGGAAAAGTTAAAGCACTTTAATTTCTATTTATTTCAGCTGGAGAGTGAGGCATAAATGCTTGACATTTCTCTCACTGAGATAAATGGAAATTAAAATGCTGAAATTTGCATAGGCTGTGATCATTGTTTCTAGGATCTGGACCCATGTCATTCAATGAAGGAAGAGTTGGGAAGGAAAGTTAAACACTCACTGCTTTCTCCTTCAGTGCTTCCACATGATCAGGCTTTGGCAAAGGTACTGGCTGAGCAGAGATTTCTTCTTTTTGAGATTTCTGAGCTTTAGATATGGTTTCTGGAATAGTCATCACTGAATCCTCTTTTTTTACCTCCTCCTGTTTTATTGTTTCTTTTCGTACCTTGGCTTCTAGTTTTGCTTCAGAAAACTGCTCTTCTACCACAGCCATGACTGGTTTATGTTTGGGCTCAGGAAAAGGGGGTGTCTCTTGTGAGGGTAGAGACCTGGTGTCCCCTTCCAGGGTTTCTGCCAATTGTGTTTGATCGTTACTTGACTTGGAAGAAGCTGGATCCCTCTGAGGTGTTTCTATCAGTGTTCTCTGCTGAAGTTCCACACCATCCCTTTGAATCTGCTCAGCAGAGGCTGTCTTCACTATTTCCCCCTGAGTTAAAGCTGAGTTTTCCTGCTGAATTTGATCAGCGGATGGAACTTTGGCCAGTTTTGCTTGCTGGAATTTTGGATCGGCTCTTTTAATTGTCTCATCTGAGGGTACTTTTGTCAACTTTTCTTGCTCAAGCTTTGCATCTTCCTTTTGGATTTCCTTCCGGATCTGATCAGCAGATGGTGTTTTTGCCAACTTCGCTTGCTGGATCTTTGGGTCTTCCTTCCGAATCTGATCAGCAGATGGTGTTTTTGTCAATTTCACTTGTTGGATCTTTGGGTCCTCCTTCCGAATCTGATCAGCAGATGGTGCTTTTGTCAATTTCACTTGCTGGATCTTTGGGTCCTCCTTCCGAATCTGATCAGCAGATGGTGCTTTTGTCAATTTCACTTGCTGGATCTTTGGGTCCTCCTTCCGAATCTGATCAGCAGATGGTGTTTTTGCCAATTTCACTTGCTGGATCCTTGGGTCCTCCTTCCGAATCTGATCAGCAGATGGTGTTTTTGCCAATTTCACTTGCTGGATCCTTGGGTCCTCCTTCCGAATCTGATCAGCAGATGGTGTTTTTGTCAATTTCGCTTGCTGGATCTTGGGGTCTTCCTTCTGAATTTGCTCAGCTGATACAGTCTTGGCCAGTTTTACCTGCTGAAGCTCTGGGTCTTCCTTCTGAATTTTATCAGATATTTTCCCCAGCTCCTTTGGCTCTTCCTTTTGAATGCCTTCTGAGATCTTATTGGCAGATGGCTTTGTGGTTAGTTTTGGCTCTTCTTTGGGAATTTGATCAGCCAATTTTTCCTTCTGAATTTTTGAATCTTCCTTTGAAGTGCTTTGAATAATTTTATCAGTTGATGCCAGTTTTTCTTGTTGAACTTTTGAATCTTCCCTTTGTGTACCTTCCTGGATTTTATCAGATGAAATTGCCTTTGCCAATTTGCCCTGTTGAAGTTTTGAATCTTCCTTCTGAATTCCCATTCCTCCTCTTGGCTTTTCCAGCATTTGAGCTGAAGTCTTCTGCTCAACAGGTTTAGCCTGGCTTTGAGGAGCAGTTGATGGCTTGGGTGATGATTTGGAAAGTACAGGAGGTGTTATTTTGTCCATATCCCCAAGCTGTCCTGATAATGCTCTTTGTGTCTGGCAGTTTAAGCACAGCCATTCTTGTACCTATAATATAAAAATAACGTTACATTAATTAAGGATATTTGCTGTGTTAAAATATCAATATTAAAGCAATATTAAATATTAAACATCACTCTGACTTTACAAACTTTTGGCTGCGACACTAAATATACAATGGGTTGTATCAAACTAAGTCATACTCGATGTATACCTATTGAAATCATTGGTTTAAATTAGTCATGTTTAACTTAAAGTGAACGGATTTAAATGGGCCTAATCCAAGTATGAGTTAAACTGCAGTCCTAACCCCACTTACCTGGGAGTAAGCACCACTGATTTCAACAGAACTTACTTTTGAGTGGACATGGTTAGGATTGTATCAGTTGGATAAAACCAATAAATATTGTAAATCATTGGAGATATTGTCCACAGAACCATGGCTACCATTTTAGTAGCATAAATTAGGAGTGTCCAGAGATTAAAGAGTTGTAGTTGATTAACTACCTGTATTGAAATGGACTATATAACTGTAAATATATTCACAAAAAGGCAAACTCTTATACAGAGATCTTTTCAAAGATATTGAAAACAGAGTGAAATAACTTAGGATTTAATAAATTAAAGCACCACTCCTTGTTAGGGCAGGCAAAAATTATTATTTTCATTCTCCTTACTTGGTTCAAAATGGTTTTAAACAAGGGTACAATTCAATCTCTGTCCTGCTGATTAAAATTTGTTCCCACTGATTAATCAACTACCAGTTCAACATACAGACTTAAGAGAATTCTTTGTTTAACAGACATGACAAAGAATGCACGGCATGCATCATCTGAAAACACCAACGACTGAGCTGTATAAGGAAGTATAGTTCTGAGCAGAAATCTTGTAATAAGCTTTTTTTTATTAATTTAATACCTAGACTAAAATCCAACTGCTAATAGATATTCACAAGGCCGACTCTGGCTAAAATAATTAGGGATAAAAGCTCGTTTAAAGAGCACTGGAAAATATAACTCACTGCATGCTGTGTGTTGTTGTACTGTAGATTTAACTCTTACACACAAAGCACCAAAGTCTGCAATTTCAAAACTAATTTTTGTGGAATGTAATATTTTTTAATTTCAATTTTTGGACAAAGTTAAAGAGAACAGTAGTGATTACTTTCTAAAAGTTTTCAATGTTTTTGGGATACATTAAGTCAACAGTCTGAGGAATGACCCAGCCAATTTCTACCTTGTTAGATGTGCGCCTTATTTCAATGCAAGAATGAGGCACATCTGTTGCTAAAAAGCTAAGAGGATGTTCAAAAGTCAACAGATGTGCATACCTAAATCTCTCCACTGAAATAAGTGGGAGCTAAAAATGCTTAGCTTTGGCTTGATTATGCCCTGGTTTCTGTGGTAAGTTTCTACCATGTTATAGGAGCATCCATGAATGTTGGGAAGCAAGGAAACCTTTCATAGAATCATAGATAGAATCATAGAATTGTAGAGCTGGGAGGAATTCCGGTGGTCATCTGGCCCAGTGCCATGCAACACCGCCCAAAAAAATCTCTCCTCACAGTTTGCAGTCCTGCTAAGCCAAAAATCTGCAGGACATGGAACAACTTAATGCAGTCCTCCTAGGTGATTTCCAGTAGGGACCAGAGAAGGGAATTCCACCAGTTCCTATAGAATATGCATGCCATAAACACCACAGTCCTCAGAAATGAGCAGTGCTCTGAAGGGATACTGAATAATACTGCCTTTTTAATAGAATCAGAAAATCATAGTGTTGGAAGTGGCCACGATGGTCATCTAGTCTAATCCCCCTGCAATGCAGGAAACATGGGACTCAAACCCACAATCCTAAGAGTAAGGCTGGATTTATATATAAAAACCACTACGGCGGCGGGGGGGGGGGGGAGCTCCCAAGGCAATCTGCCATTGACTTTGGATTCTGCTCTACAGCGCCATCTGTGTCGCATTTTTATAACACATTTTAACGTTACCAATTGACCTGTGTAGCTGAGTCCTAAGAGGCTCATGCTCTACCAAACATAGCAAAACTAGAGCTTACATACAATAATAAAGTTGTCTCTTTCTTACTGGAAGCTAGTTTTGTGAAGCTACGAAAGGAATGAGAGGAAACGCAAACAGAGTCCCTCTTCAAAGATCGACAGAAAAAGTCCCTCCCCCATTGTTTCCATCTCTTCCTTCCACCTGCAGACTTGAACAAAGGCATTTCTGTAGCAGAATTTATAATCTACTTGGGGTGAAGTGGGGACATGAAGCAAAGCCCAGCAGTTATAATCCCAATCAGCTCAAAATCCACTTTCCTGAGGCAAAATTCACCTGCCCAATAACATGGCGCCTACTCACAACTGTCTCTAAATGAAATCGTACTAGATTTCTTGCACTTGCCAAAACTGCGATTCCAGAAAGCACCAGCTACAAATATAAATGTGTTCTCCCCACCTTTCCAATCAAATTTGCAAAAGGATCCCAACTTCACCATTGGTGCAAGTTGGGGCTGGAAAATAATGTTACATTTCCCCAGTTAACAGGCTATACAGTGGTACCTCGGGTTACATACGCTTCAGGTTACATACGCTTCAGGTTACAGACCCCACTAACCCAGAAATAGTGTTTCGGTTAAGAACATTGCTTCAGGATGAGAACAGAAATCATGCAGCGGCAGCAGGAGGCCCCATCAGCTAAAGTGGTGCTTCAGGTTAAGAACAGTTTCAGGTTAAGTACGGACCTCTGGAACGAATTAAGTGCTTAACCCGAGGTACCACTGTATATCCCTACAGATAGGCATTGTTTTGCAGGTTAGTCAAGTATAGATAAGAAGTCCTACCTCTTCAGTAATCCCAATAAGCGGAACTCCATTTTATAGCTCTTATTTTTAATAAGTGCATATGTAAGGTCTGTGCTTATACAGCTCTGCTTAGAGTCTCTGTTGTACAGTTTTCTACAGCGGGTTTTCCAGTGAAGAAACAAATGTAAAATCCTTCTTTCCCAATGTGCACAGGTTTTTAAAAAGTGCCTTGTCAGTGCATGTTAGGTTTTGAGAACTGCGTGCTCATTTGAAGCCTCTAAAGTAAAAGAAAGATTCTATGAACCTTATTATGTCATCAGCCTCTAGGCTGTTGGTTCCCTGTCAGAATGGTTTTCTGTAAAATTGAATTTTGTACCGTGAAGTCATATGCCTCAGCTTTAGCCTTGTCTTCTCCTCAGTTAACCTCATGCCCTGAATGCAAGCTTCTTCCCGGGGCCATCTTTTCAGTTTGCCTGCAACCCATATTTATTAGGGCCCTAGAAATGGACATTCCGCCCCACCCCTGGTAAACACTAATGTTCTCTGCAATAGTATTGTAAGAAATCCAGTAGCCAATTTGATTATTTCAAATCAATATGCCACATTCAGCCCCTCTCATCTTGGCCTCCCTGCCCTTTAGCCTCCTTGATTTCTAGATGTGGGGGAGCAGAAGAAACACTGATGGAAGCAGTAACTTGGAGAGAGAGTGGATGTGACCAACTGGTTTGGCGCTATTTAATTTTGGTATGATCTCCTTGTATATTGCAGTTTTTTGGGGGGAGTTGCTCTATTTCACACTACTTGTCCTTGGTAAATCTCTTCTTGCTAAAACTGCTATTCTTCCAAATTTCACAACCACATCTCTGCAAGCCTGATTTGCATTTTCAAAACAATATGAGAACTGAAGCACAGCCATCTTTCAGAATTCTCTGAATTTTCAAATGCAATTCTTTTGCCAAGTGTACAAAACATGAATAAAAATGCAAATATTGGTGAAAATAACATACAAAAATGTATTATTTTAGGGGAAATATTGTTGCAAAAAATTGTATAAAAGGAGAAATTTGCAGTATAATGCTGATGAATTTTCATGAGGACTTTTTTTTAACAAAACAAAGAAATCACAAATTGATGTGGAGATATGGAGAACTGAATTTAAGATTTGAATAATGAGAAACAGAGAAACCCAACCGACAGATTTGACAGTCTCTATTTGACGTGGGTGGCGCTGTGGGTTAAACCACAGAGCCTAGGGCTTGCCAATCGGAGGCTTGGCAGTTCGAATCCCTGTGACGGGGTGAGCTCCCGTTGCTTGGTCCCAGCTCCTGCCAACCTAGCAGTTCAAAAGCACATCAAGGTGCAAGTAGATAAATAGGTACTGCTCCGGCTGGAAGGTAAACGGCGTTTCCGTGCACTGCTCTCGTTCGCCAGAAGCCGCTTAGTCATGCATCTCTTTCTTAGATCTTTATAAAGGGCAACAATACCTGAGGCAGAGCTGGCTCTGCCGTTAGGCAGATTGAGGCAGAAGCCCCCAAGATGGCAGCTTGAGGCTGCCTTGACCTGCCTCCACTGCTGGTGCAGACATGATGCTGGTATGAGTGCCGATTTCAGCTTAAATTGCATGAGATTTTGTGCCATTTCAGTGAGATCTCCTCTGAAATTGGCGCCGATGCCAGTGTCACTTCCCCCCCAGTGGCGGAGGCAGCACGGCGAGCGGAGAAGTGGTGCCAGTGGCAGACCTGACCTGAGATCCTCTATTTCACTTCATTTTGTGGAGTGTTCCCGTAATTCCCATCTAAGAATGCTGAAGGCATAGTTTGAAAATGGTGGATAGCGAAACCTTTCAAAAACATGATGAGGTAGGTAAGTGTTTAAAAAATACACTTGCAGAACATGATCTCTTTTGCATTATTATTATTATTATTATTATTATTATTATTATTATAGCATTCATTATTAATAATATTAATTGTGTGTAATGGAAATTGAAAAATATAATATTAAACTCAGTATTAAATATAATCAAAATTATATGTAACCAGGAGTACTTCTTGCAATGGACCTGTGTCCATTGCAAGTGGCCGGGTTTCATACAATGCGATATACTAAAGTTTGGTTTGTCATGGCCGTGTAAAGGTGTGGATATCTCTCTGTGAGGCTCTCGTATTTTCTTTTCTCCTCCCTGGTCCTGTTTATTGCTGCCTGTGTTGAGCTAAGCAAAGGTTGGCCTTAGACTTGCAGCTAAGCGTCATCCTTACTAACTATGAGTGGTAGCCTAAGTTGGTTCTTGGCTACTGACCATGGTTAGCAAGGAGGTAGCTTAACCACAAATGAGTCCCAGTTTGGACGGCACGCTCAGCCAAACCTTGTGCTTGGCAGAGCAGTTGAAAAGAGCCCAGACATTTGCACAGCCACAGGAAGCCAGTTTGGCTTACTGTGTCACGTGAACCAGGCTGGTGATTTTTTAAAGTCAAAGTTGTGATTCGCATGATTCAGCAAAAGATTAAGATTTTAAGCGCCAAATATTGTGAGAGATACAGCTGAAGGTGTTCTCTGCTATTGGCTAATGTTGGAAATAGGTCAAGATCTGACTTCATGTTAGCAACAGTTCATTGTGATAGTACTATCCATCGTGAAAACCAGGAATTCGCATTTCAGATTTCCCATGCTTCACGTTCTCTAAATTAAAGATCTGTCTTTTGTATTCACAGTCTTAACATGTCTTTTCTATGAAAAGAATTGATTATAAGTAGTGAAAAGGATGTTGCATGTTACCAGAGCAGAAAGAAAATAATCTCAGTAATCATATTTGGTGTGCAGCTGATAGCAACATGGTCACATGGCCTGTTGTTGCTATGGCACTATACCTTTCCCAGGTTCTTTTAAGCAGGCTCCCAATTAGCTGACTGAAAGAATCTGCATTTACTTACATTCATAACAAATGAACATGCCAGGCAAGCTTAATTAAATGGCAGTATATGACCTCCCATTCATATTATTATTGTCTTGAATTGATAGTCACCATTGTGTCTAACCGTCTCATTTTAACCATACAGCAATGAGGAAACACTGGGTTGCATTCATTTGGAAACTAATCCAATGATTTTCAATTACCATTTATACCAACTTTGAACAATCATGCATTATTCTAATCTAAATCTTTCAACTAGCCTTTTGCTCTCTCGCACACGTCATCATATGGCTTTCATCAGTACTGCAAATGCTCTCCACTCTCATTTAACCCACCTCTGATCTTCCACAATCCTTCGAAATACTCTTGTCTCAGTACTACTGTACCTTTTCCAGTAGGCACATTAAAACAAATTCACAGAGGTGAGGGGCTGTGGAAGGTTGATTAAAGCAGCTGGAGACTACAGGAAGCATTAGGGAGACCTGATCCTTGAATACTGCAGCTCTAGCCTCTGGAAACTGTCTGAAGTGCACAATGCAGAAGATAATAAAATGAATCTGTTCCTGCAGGCCACGTCCAGAAGGGATATCATTCATCAGTTCTACCAGCCCCTTGTATACCTGACCTCCAAGAAGTCCTGGAGCCGGAATCCAGAGTAGGCAGAAGGTCCACAGTAGATACAAGGAGTGCTTCCAGACAGGTGTTTATTGTGGGATCGGTGCTCCTCATGCATGTACATTTTTCACAATGTCGACACAATGTCATTGGCCACAAAATGCAAAGTTGCAATTCCTAATACAATTTCTTTTCAAAAACTAAGGTAATTCACTGATGAAAAATCCAGCTGGTTTAAGTCTTTCTTACATTGGGTTAAGCGCTGCACAGCCAGCAGATGCTGAAATACATGTCCCATAGGCTCCCTACTCCTGCTGTAGGATCATCACCAAACTTAATGTCAGCTTGTCGAGTTTCACCAAAATCTTTTGCATGAAATTAATATCTAATGCAGCAGAATTCAGAAAAAAGGTGGACTTTTCACATTATTAATGCAAAACTCAAAGTGAGCCAATTATTCTAATGACTTGCTGGGGTGAGGCAATTTCATATAACCAAAGAATAAAATAACAAGTATAAAAGAGAAGCTAGATTTGACCTTGGGTTTTATTTTTTCATCCATCACTAAAATGGTGTTGTTAGCTCCTAGGTATCAACAAAATGCACAGCATTTAAAATCAACGGGTAATGAGTTTGCTGAAAGAAATTAGAATTAAAAAGGAAAGGAAAGGAAAGGAAAGGAAAGGAAAGGAAAGGAAAGGAAAGGAAGAAAGAAAGAAAGACTCCTTTACCTCTGTGCTGCAATAAGCAATTTGTTTTATATAACTTGTCAGCAGTAACTATAGTAACAAAATAATTTAAGAAAGTACACATCTGCAGCATTGCCTAATCTGCTGTTAAAGCTTTCTCTTGGAAAGATGAAACCTCTCATAAGTTTCATTGGGTTTTTGGGGGGAGGGGAGGGGCAAGCAATTTCAAAAAGCAACCAGTTAATCCTACCGGTGGCACTTATGTGATACCCTGGTAGCATGCAGGGCTGTTTCTGAGCTTCTGGATGGGAGCTACATGGGCAGGGATGCCATCTGCATGAACTAGTGCCTCCATGTGTGGGCTGTGCATGCAGTCGCAACAATTTCAACAATCATGGCAGCTTGAAAAAAAATACACTGTTGAGGGGAGAATGGGCTACCCCAATTTGTGAGATTCATGAACCCTGTTGAGATATGTGGCGATGCTGCTTGATACAAATGTGAGCTCTTCAGAACTTCCATTTGCTCCCATTGCGTACATGGGGCTTCCAGGAAGTGGGGCCCAGTTCTAAGCAATCTTGATTGAGTAAGAATGTGCATCTCTGCCCACGGAGCCAGGGAAACCATATGTTGTAAGATAAATTTAACAGTCTCCTCTACAAGATGTCACTTAAAATTGCCTGAGATGATTCCAAAGCATTCTAGCCCTGCTCCAGCACTCTGGCGCGCACACACACACACACACACACACACAGATGGAGTTTTCGCACTAGCAAGGCTGCTGTGTCTTGGAAAGCTCATTACTGAATATAGGACTACCTCTACTTTTTCTGGCCTGGAAGTGAATGGGCTGGACTTGTTTGCACAAAGCTTTCTGCACCTTATGATTATGAATCAATTTCTGTACACTTAATGCCAAAATAGGCTTCTAAGTGGTTCACAGAATATGAAAACCAATTACACAACACTGTTAAAAAAATATACCATAATTATACAATGACACCATAATTATAGAACACAATAAAGCAATTCCATTAAAATATTAAATATAAACATCCATAATTAAAATATGCAACAAAACAATCCCATTAAAACACAACAGTAAAAACAGGAAACTCAGGTGAAGACATCTGCATAAATATTTACGGGAGTCTTCTGAAGAGTTTTCCCCACTTTGGGATGACAACTGCCCTGTGGCCAGGATTAGGTGGGGTTTTTGTCAGTCTTCTGCAGCCTCTTCAGACTGGTTGGCAGAGCAAGGAGAGTCCCCTCAACCCCAACGAAGAGCTCAGCTTCTGTCCACAACCCCATTCACAGCTCTTATCACCAGAGAAGTACCCCTGGTCCGATGCCTGCTCCCTTCTAGATGGGACATAAAGGTAAAGGTAAAGGGGACCCCTGACCATTAGGGTTGTGGGGTTGTGGCGCTCATCTCGCTTTATTGGCCAAGGGAGCCGGCGTACAGCTTCCGGGTCAGGTGGCCAGCATGACTGAGCCGCTTCTGGCGAACCAGAGCAGCGCACGGAAATGCCGTTTATCTTCCCGCCGGAGTGGTACCTATTTATCTACTTGCACTTTGACGTGCTTTCAAACTGCTAGGTTGGCAGGAGCAGGGACCGAGCAACGGGAGCTCATCCCGTCGTGGGGATTCGAACCGCCGACCTACTGATCGGCAAGTCCTAGGCTCTGTGGTTTAACCCACAGCGCCACCCGCATCCCTGGATGGGACATACCTCTCTGGAAAATTCTGAAAATGATTACATTTGTGAAATGCTTTTTAAAAAAAATCTTGCCACATTCTGATGTTGATGTTGGGCTTTAGGCAGCCTGCCATGAATAAAATGACACAAATAATACATCTTTCATTTATTGCAAAGTACCCTGGATGTATTTTTTGTAAAGAATGGCATGATACAAATGAGTAAGTTAACCTTACTAAACCAAATTTGAATATTATTGATCATTTATTGTCACCAGATGGCGGAAATGTATATAAAATGGTACTTAGGGATGAGTGAGTCATTGCATGAGAACTTCACTCCCCCCCCCCCCCGCGCTTTTGGTTGTAAAGCCTAGAAAATGTGTCTCCCTCCTTACATTCCACTCCATCACATAATTATGTATCCAGGCAGTAGCTTTCTTCATCTGTATGCTTGCGGTTGTTTCTGACCCTTTGTTTCCACCTCTAGTATACTCAGAAAACACTTTCTGTAGCCCACGGCTTCTCCATGCGAAGAAGCTTTTTTGTTAGCTTTCCCCCAACCTCTCTGCATCCTGATTATTATTCACTGCCTCCCACCTGAGGCCAAGGTTTCCCAGGTGGAAAAGACCATGTGATGTGAAGGAAGCTAATAACCTCTGTTTAGTCCTCTTAGTAATCCTCCCAAGTGTTTGTTCCTGAAGCTGATGGCCTATTGATCAGCACCCAAACTTAAGATTCAGCTGAACGAAGTGTGATTGAATAGTGTCAGTTACTACTAGGGTGTAGCACATTGTTACACATCGCCCCAATCTCTGAGCAGTGCAAGATTCTAGGGGTTCCAGGAACAGGGTTTGTGTTTCCATTTGGGAAAATGAGACACAGTGGAGATTGCTGGATCTTTATGGTATATGGTTTATTTACACACACACATATATATACACAAACTGAGCCTACGATGGAGGGGATCACAGCATTAGCAACCCAAGAGGTTCCAGCTTCTTCCTTGCTCTACAGTTTGCTTTCCTAGGTCATATAACATCCAGCTTACTCTCACACTAATATAAAGTGCTGGCTTTTTCTAACACAGGGAGAGACCCCATTTCTTTCATCCTCTGTTGTGTAAATGACCCGTTACCCCAGGCTTAATACCTCAAAGAAAATTAGTCTGACTCATTTAACACTTATCTCATGTTGATTCCCTAGGATTGTCATTGTCTAATACGCACCTTAGTAAGTTTGCCTGGCTAAGTTACACACATGTTAATTCCAAGGAATTAAAAGCATCTAACACACAGCCCAAATACACACATGGGTCTACCTATCGCCTCACATCACTTCTGATGCCCCAAGCCGTAATTAAATTCTAGAACCTACAAACCTATAACAGTATAATGAAAAAGAAATAAGTCAACCTATTGCTTTCCCCTCCCTCTGAGCTTTTCCATGGCATCTCTTTCACCTGGTCTGACAAAGCTGTTTAGGAGAAGGTAGAGAGAGGAGCAAAACATCTGAAACAAGATCACCACTAAGTTGCATCAGATCAGTAGATATTGATCTGTTTTCTGTATGTGTGTGTGTGTGTGCATGCATGGATGTATGTATGTATGTGTGTAACATTTTTTAGGAACATTTTTTAAACTGTAACATGGAAAAATTTGGGAGACATTATGGTAACCTTCAGTACAGAAATTGATCCTGCATAGTGGCTAGAGTTATTTACAAACACAAACTCTCCCTTTAAGAAAATACAGTAGTACCTTGGTTTGCGAACAGTCTGGCTTGGATACGTTTTAGATTACAAACACGTCAAACCCGGAAGTGCGTGTCCCGGTTTGCAACATTTTTTGGGATTACAACCCATTTTTTGGGGGGATTAAAAACAAAAAAAATTTGGAGGCCCTATTGGCAAGAGCATGCCTTGGGTTACAACCTGTTTTGGTTTACAAATGGACCTCCAGAACGGATTATGCTTGTAAACGAAGGTACCACTGTACACGATTCTCCTTAGTCTATGCGCTCAATAGCTATTTTGGCTGCCTTGTCCTATTATATTATTCTTGCCTAAAATGCATTACATAAATTACATTTTCAGAAGCGCTTTCCTGGGAAAGATGAATTATCAAATTACATTATATAAAGGCAGGCATGGCCATGATGAAACATGAGAGCTTGGATGATTGAAGCTGCAGGAAGTTCAGTGTACCAGCGTACCATATATTAAATGATGCAGACCTAGAGAACCTGGGAGATGGAATCCGAGAACAATGGTAACATTTTGGAGCTCAGAAAAATAGTTCAACACACCCTTTTTACCTAGAGCTGAAGCTTCCTAGATGTGCATAAGTTCCATGAGTTCAAAGAATGGCCTAAAGGCACAGGAAGGCAATCCCATCTCTGAATTTAATAATGCTTGTACCAGAACAGTATTTGGAAGGAAGACTGCTCTAAACACATCTGTACTTGACTCTGAACTCGTGGGAGGTAGTACAACAATTCAGGAAAGGGATATGTTATAGGACTTCTAGAACTGTGCTGTAAATCTGCTCCTGAGTTACAACATCTGGATTTATCTGGGTTCTGAACATCCCGGCTAGGTCTAAATAGTGGAAACACATCAATAGAAACTCAGAATTCAAGTGGTGTGTAGTAAGATTTTAAGAATGAATGTAACATTCAAGAATTTGCATAGTGGTTGCATAACTGAGCTAATAATTTTGAATAAAAGTGATACTGATCACAAGCGGTTGTTGGTTAAATGATATGAATTCCCCTGGACGTGCTCTTGCACTCTACTTAATCCTAAATCCTGAAGCCAAAACATGCTAAATAATCCTGTGTTCACTTTGCTCCCTCCTGTACAAGATTCAATTTTTTAAAAAATAGGGTTTCATGAGGGTTTTTTTTTTAATGTTGCGAGTGTGTGTCTTAATTACAGTGCTGATGTACAGCGCTTTTCCCTTCCGTCACTGTCTTCATGTACCACGCCATGCAATTTTCGCAATAGTTTTTGCAATTTCACAAGAAATTGCCATCTTTGACCTGGTTCGCACAAATGAACTTGATTGAGCCTCATGCACCAATGCTCTCCTGCCCCCTCAGATCCTTCTTCACCGTATCCTAAGTAATGGAACTAAATGGACAGACTCAGGATCTAGAAGGGGAACAGGAAGTGTTAGGACAGGAAATCTGAACACTCTCAGTCATGGAAGCTTAGTAAGAGCATACTTTGTGGGCACACCAAGAACAGAATATAGACCTTACCTCTGAGCAGACTGGTGGGAGCACCCCTAGAACTGAACCTAGACTAACTTACCTCTAGTCTAAAGTCTACAAATACTTTATGCTAATAAAACATCCATTGTGAGTCTGAGATTGGAAGCCAGAGTAGAACCTCCAGGTTTGATCCTGGCTCGTTTCAACGGAACATACGTTATTTACACTGTCCACAGTTCCTGGTTTGGATGTAACAATCTGTGATGAGTTTAAACTAGAACATGGATACTTCCAGTGTCCTCTTCTGATCCATACTGGGAATAGGAGGCTGAAGCAGAACACCAAACCATCACTTGGCATCACACCCAAACCGGGCCCATTATCACTTAAGAATGTAATACGAAAATTCACATGGAAGGTACAACTTCTGAACTAGGCTTTGTCATTTAAATAGATCTTTATGCTGCTGCAAGATTAAAGTGGTTTATTTTGACAAATAAATCTTATCAAAGTACTATATCTTTAAGTTCTGGAATGAAGCAGCACTCGCAAATCAGCATTCAGCTGCAACTCATTTCCCTCCCTGTTTAGGAAGCTTTCGTTGGCAGTGTAACACTAATGAATTTCATCCAATAATGCAGCACATGGCACCAGTGTGGCTCTAACTTTTGAGGGGAGAGACTTTGTAGTACTTGTCTTCTGTAGCTGTCCGCTGCAGCCCACACTGCCTTTGTGATTCAGTGAGATGGTCTGATTAACTTGCAAGCAGGAATAATGCCATCAGAACAGATGGGCTTTAGTGGAGGAAGCAAAAGGCCATGTGTACTATAATCTAGGGTGTTTGCTCAGAATTCAGGAACGTAGCCAGGAATGATCTGCATTGTGCAGGCCATCCAGAAATACATGCGCCCCTGTGGCCAAGAGGAGATGTCACAGTTAATTTTAGTTTTTGCTGTGATAACTTAAAGTCACAAAGATAAACTCCATTTTGACTGCAGGTGTGACCAATCTGTGAGATGTTCTTTTTGAAGATTCAGTTACTAAAAAGCTAAAGGTAAAGGGACCCCTGACTGTTAAGTCCAGTTGCGAACGACTCTGGGGTTGCGGCATGCATCTCGCTTTACTGGCCAGGGGAGCCGGCTTTTGTCCGCAAACAGTTTTTCCGGGTCATGTGGCCAGCATGACTAAGCCGCTTCTGGAGAAACCAGAGCAGCGCACAGAAACGCCAATTACCTTCCCACTGGCGTGGTACCCATTGCACTTTGACATAGAAATCTTATCAAAGTACTATATCTTTAAGTTCTGGAATGAAGCAGCACTTGCAAATCCACTTGCACTTTGACGTGCTTTCGAACTGCTAGGTTGGTAGGAGCTGGGACCAAACAATGGGAGCTCACCCCGTCGCGGGGATTCAATCTGCCGACCTTCTGATCAGCAAGCCCTAGGCTCAGTGGTTTAGACCACAGCGCCACCCGCGTTACTATAACCCCCAAAATATTGCTATGACATGAGAGGTTTGATCTATGTTGCATTTAATTCTACATGGATCTTCAGAAACACACCTTAGTACTTCTTAAGAGTTTAGTTTTTCCTCTTCACTTCTCTCATGACTAGAGATGGAAGATAAATTCAAATAAGTTTGCATTTAAAAGCAGACTTAGCTGATTCAAACTCTTTGAAGCAATATGTGAACAGAAACACAACCAATCCTTTGAAATTTGCGCTTTTCTGAGTTTTAAAATGCAATTCTTCACCCAAGTAATTTGTACAAAAGGTACATAAACCAGGGTAAAGTCCATATAATTGCATATAATAGTAAATATAACATACAAAAATGCATCACATTAGAGGAATCTACATACAAAAAGTGCATACAGTGCTTTTTTATTAAAAAATGTTTAGGGGTACTCTCATTTCCCTACTCATACTGAAATACTGCCCCTCAATGAGGACAAACTTAGATTCACAAAATGTTTAGGGGTGTACGTGCCCCTGCACCCCCCCAGAAGAAAAGTACTGCAAAAAAAAAAGAGGCGAAATGCTGGTGAATTTTCATGAGGACATTTTTTTGGGGGGGGGAATCATAAATTTATGTGGAAATGTGGGGAGCTCAACTTAAGAATGGATAAATGAGAAACTAAGAAAAATGAAAAACGACCTATTCGCTTATCCCTATCTGTGACAATTAGGCAGACTTAGTTTTTCAAAAGTAAAAAATGTATATTTTCACATATCATTTCAGAAATCTTTTAGCAGCCAGGGCTCTACTTGATCCTCCAAATTATTTATTTGTGAGCAAACCCTTCGCCAACAGATTATAGATTTGTATTTTGGGTACATTTGTTATGTTGAATTAATTTTGTCACCAGTGGTTATTTCTATTTTCCCATTGTCTTTGTTGGTTTCTGGTTGTTTTTCATTGTTAGTTACATACACATTTCATGTTTTGTTAGCAGTACATTTTTAAAGTGCTGTGCTTATGAGTGGTATTTGCTTTATCTATTTCTTCTGGTGAATTAAAACAAAGCAACAACCCTCAATCAATAAACACAAACAGCCATTAAAAACAAAACTAAGAGGGAAACAATGGTGTAAACCAAGGCTTTTTGCAGTTTAATTGTTATTCCAGGGTAATTGTTATTCCATGGTAGATGAAGGGAACGCAGTGGATGTAGCCTATCTTGATTTCAGCAAGGCATTTGACAAGGTGCCCCATGATATTCTTGTAAAGAAGCTGGTAAACTGCGGTCTTGACTATGCTACCACTCAGTGGATTTGTAACTGGCTGACTGACCGAACCCAAAGGGTGCTCATCAATGGTTCCTCTTCATCCTGGAGAAGAGTGACTAGTGGGGTGCCACAGGGTTCTGTCTTGGGCCCGGTCTTATTCAACATCTTTATCAACGGCTTGGATGATGGACTCAATGGCATCCTGATCAAATTTGCAGATGACACCAAACTGGGAGGGGTGGCTAACACCCCAGAGGACAGGATCACACTTCAAAACGACCTTGACAGATTAGAGAACTGGGCCAAAACAAACAAGATGAATTTTAACAGGGAGAAATGTAAAGTATTGCACTTGGGCAAAAAAAAAAGAGAGGCACAAATACAAGATGGGTGACACCTGGCTTGAGAGCAGTACAGGTGAAAAGGATCTAGGAGTCTTGGTTGACCCCAAACTTGACATGAGCCAACAGTGTGACGCGGCAGCTAAAAAAGCCAATGCAATTCTGGGCTGCATCAATAGGAGTATAGCATCTAGATCAAGGGAAGTAATAGTGCCACTGTATTCTGCTCTGGTCAGACCTCACCTGGAGTACTGGGTCCAGTTCTGGGCACCACAGTTCAAGAAGGACACTGACAAACTGGAACGTGTCCAGAGGAGGGCAACCAAAATGGTCAAAGGCCTGGAAACGATGCCTTATGAGGAACGGCTAAGGGAGCTGGGCATGTTTAGCCTGGAGAAGAGGAGGTTAAGGGGTGATATGATAGCCATGTTCAAATATATCAAAGGATGTCACATAGAGGAGGGAGAAAGGTTGTTTTCTGCTGCTCCAGAGAAGCGGACACGGAGCAATGGATCCAAACTACAAGAAAGAAGATTCCACCTAAACATTAGGAAGAACTTCCTAACAGTAAGAGCTATTCAACAGTGGAATTTGCTGCCAAGGAGTGTGGTGGAGTCTCCTTCTTTGGAGGTCTTTAAGCAGAGGCTTGACAACCATATGTCAGGAGTGCTCTGATGGTGTTTCCTGCTTGGCAGGGGGTTGGACTCGATGGCTCTTGTGGTCTCTTCCAACTCTATGATTCTATGATTCTATGATTTGTAAAAGTAGGTCATAGCAGGGACCTTTTTCTTTAAAAACAAACATGAAAAACCAGGAGAAGGAATACAAATGGAAAGCAAGAGAAATGAAGGCATTGTCAAACAAAACAAAACAAAAAAAAAATGCAGCAAAGCAGGTTTCATTAATGCCTATCAGTACAGGAGGTACAAACAACCCTACACTCATTAGCATTTCCCAAAGTGTGACTGGGAGAGAACCTGGGATTCCTTTTTCACGTAAACAGGTTATAAAGGGAGACTGCTGATTTGAGAAACCAAAAAGGTGAAGAGTCAGTCTTACATGTATCTAAGAGAGAGGCAAAAAACCCACCACCTGACTCACTGCTTGTGGTTTGCTTGGCAGAAATTGACCGTGAGCATTGGCTTGTATGCAAAACAGAAACAGTAAAACAGGAAAGCGCCATTTCACATCCTCCATGACAGGAAGCCATATGGTCTGCAATTCTACGTGCATTTTAAAGGAAGTTTCAGCCAATCATGAGTTTCTGGTGAATTTACTTAGATAATATAACTAAGTATCTGTGCCTTGTTAACATATTAACATCTTTAAAAAATGTATATCCCAAAAAATGTATGTCCACGTATCTAGAAATGCAGGGTGCAGAAGTGATCCTAGCATTTTAGGTATCATGTTATTGGATTTTAAAGATTTTAAAAAAGATTTTCTTAAAAAAAGATTTTTAAAGAAATAAGTCAAATTCAGATCAGTAAAACACATACAAATATATTCAACCCCAAATATGTATTTTTCACATAACTTATTTCACATTTTCTATAAATACATTTTATCCACCAGGAAAGTTTCAGCTGCCTGGAGAAAGATCTCCGTATATACTAATTCCCTACAGAGGAGACCCTACAGAGTTCTTTCAGACCATATAATGAATAAACCAACCTCTTATACCAGCGCTCATGAGTTCAATGCACCTGGAAAGGGTTCTAGCACCTCAACATTTTATTTAAAAGCAGTCCCAACACTAGTTCAAATGAAAAAGAAATATACTCTGTAAATAATAATAATGCAATGAAAATGCAAAGCAACTATCTAGCATATTCCATAACTTTCACCACTAGTCTGAGTAAACAAACAAATTAGGACCGGTTACTGTGTCTGCTTACCCTGAACCTAAGGAGCAGTTAATTGTCACAAGATGCTAAAAGCTTCTAGCATTTACTGCATACAAAAGAAGAGCCTTAGTTTAAATTCTTTCAGGTGGATGTCATGAACTGTGAACACCCTTTACTCACAACCCTTCATTATACTGCCATGCATGCAGACTGGTTAAATAATGGTACAAGAATCCACGTTTTTGGTTAATGCTTCTGAACAGAGTGAGTATGGTCCTCTATTGATTTTATAATCTTCAGAAGTATTATTAGAATTGTTAATTATAAGTATTATACATCGTGTTTAGAAGCCTCTGCACATGGGGGCAGCATTTATAGCCTCTGATAGACTGGTCCCCCGGAATTTGTCTAAAGCAGGGGTTGTCAACCTGGTCCCTACCACCCACTAGTGGGCGTTTCAGGATTCTAGGTGGGCGGTAGGGGGTTCTATGGCACAAGCTGAATCCTCCTTCCATCGAGCGCTGGTGGGCAGTAAGGAAATTTACCATCAAGAAAGATGCATTAGTGGGTGGTAGGTATAAAAAGGTTGACTACCCCTGGTCTAAAGATGATAGTCCTAATTGATTATGGAGGACAGGCTTTAAATGGTCACAGTTTGTGATCTAGCGATAGGCCTTATGAAACAACACCAACAATAACAGATTGGCAGACACTTATGATAGAGTATTTCCAACAGGCAAAGCTGACGGGAAACGTCAGGGGAGTTTTAAACCAGAAAACATATGGAGAATGGAAAATATTTAAAGAATATATAAGATTATATTGCAAAAATGATACCATGACAACAAAAAGAGTTTTGGAAGTTTTTTTGCAAAAAAAATTTATTTGATAGATATAATGTTGTATAAATCTTTAGTCTCCCCCCCCCTTTTATCATTTTTTTGTCTTTGTTTCAAAATTTTCCTTCCCCCATTTCTTTTCTTTCTTTCTTTTTTGTATTTAAATCTGAAATTGTTACTGTGTGATATCATACTGGGTTCATAAGGAAAGGGTTAACTAATTGTAAAATGACTAACCTATAGGAACCTAAGGGGAGGAGTTAGAGTTAGAGTTGTTAAGAAGCCAGTCTGGAGTTAGAGAAGAGAGAGGGAGGATAAGTCTGTGGGTTGGGCTAGTCTGATGTGAGACAATCTGTTAAGAGGAGTCAGTCAAACAGTTGAGGTTATCAGTCAGAAGGTATTAGGAAGGTATAGGCCGGTAAAGAAACTAAGGTTAAGAAACTGACAAGAAAATTATCTGAGAAACCATAAAATTGTCAATGCTTATAAAATAAACTTGTTTATTTGGTTTAATTTTAACAACTGTCTGGACTCAGTGTGTACCTGAGAGTAACGGGTTGGTGGCGGCGGGGAAGCGAGCACAGTGGTGGCACAGGGATCAATAGACCGTCAAACGTCCGGGGACCCTGTATGTCCGCCACACTTACCTTGTATGTTTGTATCTTTGTATTTTAAACCAATAAAGATTTAATAATAATAAAAGCAATAGGCCTTATCCAGGAATTCTGTTTCCTTGCATTTAAATGCGCACATAAGGGAGTCTGGAGGTGCAGTGACTATTTCTGACCCCGGTGGCCCATTTACAGCCCTCCACGAGACTGAGGGCAAAGTTCTGAAGCAGGAACCACTTCTGCCCTTGTATATTTTCAAATTGGGCACGTGCGGAGCCTTCGCAAGTAAAGGGTGTGCCCTGCTTGAGACCTTCACCCACAAATTTGTGGAAGGCTATGAAGGAGCCAAAAATGATATGTCAGAGAAGATGGGGCTTGGCTCTCCCTTGTGTTGAGTGTTTACATGTGGTAAAATGGAACATCCACAAAAGGCTTAAATCTGCCTGGAATGTGCATTTCTCAGTCCTCCTTCCCTCCACGATTTACTTTCTACAAGTATTTTCTCTGCTCTAGTACACCCTGTTGCATTTCTTCCTTTAGTTCTGCACTCCAGCTGCATAAAACCCTCCAGTTTTTTCCTCAGTAAATCAAACATTTTGTGACTGATCACGCATATGCTCAGAGACTTGATACTGATTTCGTTAAACATATTGAACTAATACCAGCTATAAAAATAACACTTGTTTTTATTCCTTGGGTAAAAGTGTATCCTGCTTGTTTTATTCCTTGGGCAAAAGTGCATCATGCCTTCCATACAGTCAGCTAACTAACTGCTGAATTTTCTTTGCCCAATTAATGAAGTATCAGGAGTCTAATTAATGAACTTACCTTCAGGACCAATTTTGAATATCACTTTGAAGTTATTGATGTTATGTGGCCTCAATTATATATTTGAAATTTTAATTTACACTGGCTGTGTAACAGTGGCGGGGGTGCCCAGCACAATACAACACACAAATGTATGTTGTTGTTGTTGTTATTGTTATTATTTATAATATGTATTTTCCCCTGATGGCACTCAAGATGGCCTACAGATAAAAACAAGAACTGCCAAAAACATTTTAGGTAAAGGTAAAGGGACCCCTGACCATTAGGTCCAGTCGTGACTGACTCTGGGGTTGCAGCGCTCATCTTGCTTTACTGGCCGAGGGAGCCGGCGTACAGCTTCCGGGTCACGTGGCCAGCATGACTAAGCCGCTTCTGGCGAACCAGAGCAGCGCACGGAAACGCCGTTTACCTTCCTGCTGGAGCGGTACCTATTTATCTACTTGCACTTTGACATGCTTTCGAACTGCTAGGTTGGCAGGAGCAGGGACCGAGCAACGGGAGCTCACCCCGTTGCAGGGATTCGAACCGCCAACCTTCTGATCGGTATTCATATATAAAATCTGTTTCAATCATACATATAATTCCCAAAAAAAACCCCAACCCTTGGCATGGCAATCAATTCCGAAAAGCCTGTTGGAACAAGGTCTTCATCTGGCAGCAGAAGATAACGAAGGAGCCGCTCTGGTTCCAGAATCTGGGAGCAGCCACAAAGAAGGCATTCTCATGAAGATCTCAAAACCAAGGTAGGTACATATGAGGGAATACGGTCTTCCAGAAAGCTTGGACCTAAGCTGTGCAGGGCTTTACAGGTCATAACCAGCACTTTGAATTGTGCTTGTAAATAGATAGGCTCTCTCTGCTGGCAGGACCCACCTGTGGGCGATTGCTGACACCCAAGTTCCCTTAACTCTCCCCAATTCTCCCCTCGCCCCTTTGCTCTTTCACACACTTGTTTCCCCAACCCTATACTTCCTTATGTGCTTCTTCTTCTTCCTTTGAAAAAATGGGGAGGGGGGAGAGTGTTTTCGTTTTCTGATGTTTATGTTGTTGGTTTCCTCCTAGTAGCTTCCCTCCATATTTTAAAGAAAATGTGCTGATTTAAACATTACCTGTACTATAAAATAACAGCTGCAACAATATAGTAAAGGTAAACAAAAAGTTGTCACTTTTAGACCCCTAAGCTGTTAGGACATTGCCATTTTCGCCTCTACAGAGTTCCATCCTTATTTCAGATATCGCAATGTTGAGTTGGTGGTATATCACAACGTTGAAAACCAGACATCACCCAATCCTAGTGTCTATGCATGTTGATTAAAAAGTAGCAAATTAAAAGCACACACACACACATCTTTGGAAAGTGCATATACATCTCCCTTGTCTGGAAGCAATTCCCATCGAACCCACTGTGAATCTGATGAAATAGAGAAACAGATTTCGGTATCATCAACTCACTGGCAACAACTCACTCCAAATCCCTAGATGTCCTCACTCAGCCATTTCCCAATAGGCTTTTATGAGCCTCTGGTAGACAGTAGAGTGTGAGGCTAAGAATGCCGCCTGCAGAGTTCTGGAGAACTTTGGGTTTCACAGAATCATAGAATTGAAGAGTTGGAAGGGACCCCGAGAGTCATCTAGTCCAACCCCCTGCAATGCAGGAATCCTGCCCACAGCTGTGGGGTGGGACTGGGACTCGAACCACCAACCTTCTGGTTAACAGCCAGATGCACTAACCCAATGCAGTTGATTTCGTTGTGTGTTTTTTTTGAATGTAAATGAAGCTGTTAACTTTTAAAAGAAGAAATCACCCACTGCTATGCTTCAAATAAAAATAAACCAGATTTCTTCAATGTTCCACAGGAAACATTTGGGGGCAGACTCACTTCTTGCTGACTGCAAATTCAATTCCCACCCCTGCGTATTCCTGCGTCGCAGGAGGCTGGACTAGATGATCCTCAGGGTCCCTTCCAACTTTACAATTCTATGATTCTATGGAGACATTAGAGAAATAAAGAACAGGGGTGGAGAGACAGAGTGACACAACACTCTGTGGAGTCCTGATCCAACTTTGGGGTGGGTGGGTGTGCTACTTACATCACATTTAAATTCAGAAGACAGAGACCCACAAACCACTCCAATCCACCTCATCATTTGCCCCCCCCCAAAGGTGATGCACACTCCAATTTTTAACACAGATTTGAAAGGGGTGTGGATGATTCGAAGAGCTCTTGAAATGTAACACAACTGCTCTGTCAAAAAAGATTTGCACTTCTTTCTTTAATTCATCTCCTTAATAAGCGTTAGACACCCCCCCTTTTTTGCAATTATCATATAATCAGGTTTCCACTGATTTTCAGCAGCAGGGAAGCAGCAGACCTTTTGCAGATAGCTGCGGGGCCATTTTAATGATCAAAACCCAGAGAGATTGAGGTCAAGCTTTGAAAATTACATCAAAATGGTGCTTAACGGTTTATTTGTGAGAAGGGGCATTTCACCGGCACAGAGCTCTCATGACAGTTGCATGTGTTTGAAAGGTAACAAGACCTTTAAAAAGCAGCCTTCGAGATGTGTTTTTGCATCATTTTCCCCAGCAGGCTTCTATAAAAGCAGCTTGTGCCTCTGGACAGTCATTTCAACCTTGCTCACAATGTTAGCACGGCACAAATTCCACAGAATCAAAGCACACCGCAAGTTCAAAAATGGTCCCTGTAAATTAGATTAAAGAAGTATGGGACACTTCTGCTCCTAATATTCCCTTACATTGCTTCTGTAATCATTATGCCACTGGAATGTGGGTCAGTATTACGGTTCCCTGCTGCAGGTGGGAAGCTGTGGTTGGCTTGCTCAAGGCAATAACTATCAGTTGACGATTCGTGCCCTACTCTCAGCTTGCTCGTTCCATGCTCCATCATAATCTTCGTCATCAACATCTCATGACCTAGCAGCTCCCCACTGACTGAGAGCCACAAGACAAGCACCTTTCACCATTCAGCTCATGCCCTTGCAAGGCACAATTCTAAAGTTGTACTTGGGGAGGTGGGAGAACAAAGCAGTCAGGTGCCCGAGTTGAGCCTCCTTCCACCCACTACACCAGCTCCACCCTCCAGCAGTTCTTGCAAGCGACTAGGCTTAAATAGCGGAGTGGGGGTGGGGTGGGAGAGTAATAACACAGTCAGGAGTCCCAGGTGAATCTCCTTCACCAAACACATTTGTCGCACACCTCCTGAGGTACAGTAATTCCCTTAACAGCAGTTCATCAGTCATGTTCTTCCTTTAATTATTTCCTCTCCTATCTGAGCAGGAGGAAATGCAGCAAGTCAAGGCACAAATATCTCAAGTTCTCTCTATTTGAGGAAGGTTGGCACTGCCAAGAGTCCATATACCCACTGCTGCTGCTGCTGCCAACACCGCTGACCTGCTTGCACTCATCAGACAGAGATCTGGTGAAGAGGTACTGAGGCTTGGTTGGGGAAAGCTCCCTTCCTTTTAGGTACTCTTGACCAACATCGCTTTTAATATTGTTTTTAACGCTGCAAACAGCACAGGGTGAAGGGTGGGTAATAAATAAGTTAAATTAATTAATTAATATTAATAATGAAACTTTGGGCTGGCATTGTTTGGCATCCGTTCCCGACGCCATCCATGGGTGAGGTAAAAGCCATCAAGAATGACGCCATGAGATTCAGCCTTGGGAAGCAAGGAAGGAGAACAGTGGCATCAGCCCCAAAGGTTTCAATGTGCTACAAATCAGCCGGCAGAGGAGGCGAGTGGGGAGGGAGCAGGCCGGAAGTACAAGAGGGGACGGCCATAAATTGGGTGGCGGTAGGAAAGAGAAGGGAAGGAAGGAAACCGAAAAAGGGGAGAATATGTGTGGGAGTCAGAGCAAGTTGATGGCGGACTTAAGAACAGAAGATGAAGGCTACTGAATCAGACCAATGTCTGACGCCATCCATCCATCTGGTTTCACAGTGGTCAGCCAAATGTAACAGCACTCTCCTGCCCACGATCCTCAGCAGCTGCCATTCAAAAGCATATTAGCTCTGGCGCTAGCTGAAATGTGTAGCTATGGATAGTTTTATTCTTGTGCAATTAAAGCATTCCAAGTTAGTGGCCATCGTTGCATTTTGTGGCAATACATTCCAGAGTTTACTTATGCACCGGGCGAAGAAAGACTTCCTTCCTGCTACTTCATCAGATGTTATAAGCTTCTAAATGCCCATAATAAAGAGTCAGAAAGCCAAATTAGAAGAAGAGAAACCCTATGAGTCTCTGCTGATTTGAACTGACAACTTCTTTTAATGCAAGTACACAGCCTAGCAGACATACACACAAGACACAACTCCTTATACCCACATTTACTCAGGCGTGGTTCAATACTCAGCTTACTCCTCCACCAAAATCACTTAGCTCCTCCATTTGAGTCAGAGAGCACCCACTCAAAAAGAGTGGTGCTGTTATGAGAGCAGAATTCTTTTTCTTTATTCAACTAGTTTTATAAATTAAATCCATTAAGTGAAAATGGGTTATATGTACAATGAACGAACACTGTGGCATCTTGAAGACAAGCAAATTTATCATTGACATAAGCTTTTGTGGACTGCTGCTCACTGCATCTGACTACAGCCCCTGCAGAGTTTAAGGTGTCACAAGGTAATTTTTTTTGTTTCCTGCAACAGGCATAATAGTGTTCCTTCTGGAATTTGTAGTTAATATATAGGAAACTTGGTGGGGGAGGGGGACTGAGAATAAATTTTCCCCAACGTATGGTCAAGGTGCAATTGATGGTGCTTTTCAAATGGCACTACAGATTAAGAAGTTGTGTTTTTTTTTACATTTTCAATATAAAATGTAACATGTAGTCCCACAGTGCTGAGATAAGAGAAATGATGCATGCTCTTTGACAGTTGCTGTCAAAGAGCAGGCAGATGCTAATCTCCAATCTTAGCACTGTGGTGATCAGAACCAAGATTGGTGATAAGAGACCCTTTATTTTCAATTGTAGCACTTAGATGTTAGATTAGAGATAACAGGTGCCATATGATGTCAGGTGACTGACAGGTGGGCATGCTTTGTCCAAAAAGGACTTGAGGGCCAAACCCCACCTTATGGGCTGAGGGTTCCCCACTATTGCTTTTGAGGATTAGTGACCACTTCATCAGAAAAAAAGCAAAGCAAACTCTAATGTACAGCTTGTATGTAATACATCATCCTAACACAAGACAACACCCTTCAGTAGTTTAGTTTGCCAAATAACAAAGTTTGCAGCAGAATTAACCAAAGGTTGTAGAAGGGTGAAAACAAAGAAAATAACTCCCAATAATCAAATACCTGATAACTTTAACATCCTGTTAGGTTCAATGTCTAGGCACCATTTTGTGCCCCAGTACAAAGCTGTAATACAGCCCCAGCTCCCCTGCTTGTCCCCCCCCCCAATATACATCCTACAATCCCATTCAAAGGAATCCTATTGGTTATGAAGTTGTTTTAATTATGAAATTACATTTTCTACCTGACTCATCTTATGAAAGCATCAGATTGGAGTAGAACAATGCAATACAGTTGCCATATATTTCAATATTCTGTAGGTCATGAAAGCCCCGGAACGTAGGTCCTTGTCACACTGCATTTTTAATAGTTTGCTTTTTAAAAATTTATATAGACTTATTTTGAAAAAGATCGTAAGTCAGAGCAGGGCAACCTGCACAGGGCCACCAATGTCAGCCTTCATGGGTGTCCTGGTGCCCATGGACAAGGGGGTGGAGACCCCCGGAATAGCAAATTCACCGTAACACAAACATGTTTTTAATTTCTGCTCATTTCTGCTTAACCTTTTACAGAAGGCTACTCATAAAGAAAACTAAAACACCCATGAGTTGTGCGCTTTAAGCCATTTGCATTTTATGAGTACAAGCAATTGGCTCTGGACTCAGTTCAATTGGGACACCACCAATATCCCATTACTGTTAGAGCTGGAAAATGTATTATCCTCAGTTCTTTCAGGGAATGTAATTTAAAGTGATGGGTGGCTTTCAAGGCTAAACTCCCTTCCCAACTGCTGTAACACAAAAGAGGTGTCAAGAGTGAGAAATGTACTACAGAAAGCTGTAAATCCAGAGTAAACTACTCTCTTTAGTATATATTTTAGAACACATGGGGCCTTGTTGGATCAGACCAAAGTTCCATTTAGTTCCACATCCTGTTTCTGCCCAGTAGCAAGTCAGGTGCTTCCAAGAAGCCTACAAGCAGGTGGGAAGGCAGCAATCCCACCCCCTGCTGTTGCCTCCTCCATTCCCTCCCCTATTATTTAGTGGCACAGTGCCTCTAAAGATGGAGGCTCCATTTAGCTGTCACAGCTAATAGCAGGTAATAGACTCTCCTGCATGCATTTATCTAATGCCTTTTAAAAACATCTAAGCTAGCAGCCATCACTTTCCTTGGTGGAAAGATGGTATATGGACACAGTAAGAAAATTAAATGCATATATTCATACCGTGAGAGTGAATTCCATAAGTTAATTATGTGCTGTGTGCAAAATGTTTATTTATTCTGTCAGGACTCTACTGCCTGTCATTTTTACAGTTTATTCTGTCATGTCAATCAAGTTGTAGAATTTCACTATGATTCTAGTATTGTGGAAGACAGGAAACATTCTCTCGATCTATCTTCCCCATGCGTAATTTTATAAACCTCTGTTGTGTGCCCCTCTCTCTCTCCTGCCATCCCAGTAATCTTTTATTTAAAACGGAAACTCCAACCTTTTCAGTGCCTTTTCTTGTGGGGATGGATCCCCAACCCTCATCATCATATCGGTTACCCTCTCTTTACCTTTCATAGCTCTACAGCATACTTTTTGAGATGTTGGTAATCAGATCCATCCTGCAAATCTGGCTGCTCCATAGATCTATATAAAAGCATCACCACCAATGCTGGCCACTTAATTTTCAGTCTGCATCCTAATTTTCTCTAAGAGGGACTTTGCTTCTTCTACAACTGCTGCACACTGAGTTGTTGTTGCCACGGGTCTATACACTATGTCCTCAAGCTCTCTTTTGTCCCAGCGTTGGTTACAGCAATTTAAGAACTCAATATTAAAATAGTTTAAACCAATATTTAGTTTGGTCTGCATCATGTTACACAGGCTTTCCCAACCTAGCGCTCCGTCTGTGCCTAGCTAGCTGGGGCTGGTGGCAGTTGTAGTCAGTCCCAGAATATCTGGAGTGCACCAGGTTGGGCAACTGAACCTCATTTGTCATATTGCCCAATTGTTCTTCACTTTAGAGCATCCTGAATAATTTGGTTTCATTCCAAACTTGGCTATCATATTGCTTACTCTGACTCCAAAATACCACCAGCCCCAAGGGAAAGTCAGTCTTTTATGACGTCACTGCAAGATTACAACTTCCCTTCACGGTGATTACTCTGGAGTAGCTGCGTACGTAGGAAAATGGAATGAGAAACCTAGCAGAGGGATGAACTATGCATGCCCAGCAATTCAAATTTCTCTAATAAAGGCTGGATGGGCAAACTGCATGGCTTCTGTGCCATGTGACAGTCACCTCAGGGAGCGTGACATATGTTTTCAGAAGGAACCATTCATTCACACACTTGGTTCCTGAATATAGACATTAGCTAAGTCTGGTAGGATTGTTTCACGCACCACAATCCAGCATTATATTAGACTATTAAGAAGAATACGCAAGTCATATAATATAAAAAATCGAGCCTGCTTTAAGTGGTTGGCTAGGATGCGGGTGGCACTGTGGTTTAAACCACTGTGCTGCTTGGGCTTGCTGATCGAAAGGTCGGCGGTTCGAATCCCTGCAACAGGGTGAGCTCCGGTTGTTCGGTCCAGCTCCTGCTAACCTAGCAGTTCGAAAGCCCGTCAAAGTGCAAGTAGATAAATAGGTACCACTCCGGCAGGAAGGTAAACAGTGTTTCCCTGCGCTGCTCTGGTTTCAGTGTTCTGTTGTGCCAGAAGTGGCGTAGTCATGCTGGCCACACGACCCGGAAAAACTGTCTGCGGAGCGGACAAACGCCAGCTCCTTCGGCCTGTAAAGCAAGATGAGTGCCACAACCCCAGAGTCGTTCGCGACTGGACTTAATTGTCAGGTGTCCCTTTACCTTTAATAAGAATTATAATGGTGTGAAAAAAATTTCTCAATTTGTGTGGTTAACCACTGCAGGGGAACCGTTTACTTTGCGGAAGACACAAGCACTAGATGCGCCAGGTTAAATCCTGTCCTCCTCTTTGATGGCAGTTATAGGAGCATCAAACTCAAAGAGCTATGTCACACATTAAACAACAAAGCAGAAAGATGCAACATGCACTTCCTGTTTCCTGGACTGTGTTTGAACTGGACCACGATGGAATAAAATGTTCACCTTGCCTTACAGCATTTTATGGGATTTGCTTAGCTCCTTGCAAACAGCAGGCCTGGGCTGAATTTAAAAACAAACAAACATCTTCATATGGGCTGCAGTCCTTCAGTCCTCCTCATTTCCATCAAAGCAAAAAATCTGACATGAAGTCCTTTGTGAAAGACTTTGCAAAAGATCCATGTGAAAGTCTTGAATGGAATCTGATCTGACAAGGACCGGAGGTGTTAGACCAAGACAAAAGTAACTCTGAGCAGAATTTGATACTTTAAGATTAAATGTTCTCAAAGTTTAATGAGCTGTATTATTTACATACATTCTGTTCTCCTTTGGCAAGTTTAAACAATTATTTTTATACACATACGTGTGTTCTGTAAATAAAACTATTCAAATAAAACTATAAAGGCGAGTGATATCTATTTTTGTTTCCGTACTTAATATACTACTGAACTTTGGTTAGTTCTGTATAATTGTATATATAGTGATCCTTAGATAGCATCTTCATTTTAAAACAGTGTTACTAATGAAACTGATGTTCGGAGTTTGAAAAGATGGTGGATGACATATTGCTGCTAACAGAACTGAATAAGATCATGGGAGAGAACACGATTCTCCCAAGTAGTTGCTAGCAAGTACTGGTTAACCCCTACAACATCCAAGTTTTTCAACTTTCCAGTGTGTTTCAGCATATTCAGCATACTAATATACAAAAGGTGGAAGGTAGGGAAACAAAAGTTCGGAGAGAAAATAGAAAGAGATAGTGGCAAAATTCTGACATTGGGATGTTAAGTGTTTGGGAATCACAACTCCAGTTTGGATGACAGCACTCCGTTATCAGCTGAGCCCAAACCCTCCCAAAGTTCAGATATGGTTTGGCTTGGAAAACTGTCCCACCACCGGCATGTCAATGGACTCAGAAAGCTCAGGAAAAGCAAGGAGATACGTTACGAGTGAAAGAGGTAGGGTAGGTAAGTGTTCAACAGCTATTGGGGGATTTATTTCATTTTGATGTGATTTTATTTTGTGTTTTCACCTAGCCAGCTTTACCATATACATAAATGTATGTCCAATCTGTTTTACAAGAAATCTTACACACTTTTAAAAGTTTTATTTTGCTTCCCAAATCTAGCATGAGTATCTCTAACCGGCACAACTGACTGAACACTTCTCTACTACCATTCTAACTACAAAGCCAAATATTCTAATCACAAATGGACAACAATTAATTGGCAAACTGAAATCCTAGGTTGTGGACTCTCCTTCCTTGGAGGTTTTTAAGCAGAGGTTGGGTGGCCATCTGTCCTGGATGCTTTAGCTAAGATTCCTGCATTGCAGGAGGTTGGACTAGATGACCCCCAGGGTCCCTCCTAACTCTACAATTCTATGATTCTAATATAACATGCTACCTAACTTGGTTGTGGTGTGCTGCTACAACTATTTAACACATCCCATCAATATTGGGCAATATTTCCTAATGCAAATGAGTGACAGATGTCTTCCAATGTTTATGCAATGAAAATAAGGACACATATATTGTTACTGTTTTCCACAATGATGTAGTGAACCAGTGGCACAGTCTAGATACTTCTGATGGGTTCAAAAACTAACATATTCCATTCAATAATGCCCTATCCTCTGGAAGACACTTGCTTTCACCTGCTTGACAAAAATCAAGTATCCTACATATAGATGTCAATGTTGTATAGCATTCTCAATGATTATGCTAATTTCCTTTTTGATTAAATAAAATTGACTATTGATATCTTTATCATCCTTTTTAGCTCCTGGAGTGCCGAATTCTGGAGTGCACCAAGGTCTCAACATCAAACTACCCCTGAGATAGTTTTGACTTACGGTATGTCAAAATTACGATTCTAAACAAAACATTTCAAAATACCAAAACTCTAAACAGAATCGGATGTGGTAGTTGACAATGTCTCATAAAGTAGCCAAAACCTGAAGACGACTATGAGAGCTAAATCTGTCGTTGCACCTAGCGTTTTGAAACGACACAAACAAAGGATGATTATAAGAGCATTGTCAGAATAATGTTCCCTGCGCATTTCAGAGGCAGAAAGATGTCAACTAGATTTCAGTCTCAACCGCAGGGAATTCAGTTCGAACTATGTTGTATTCTTTTCAGAATTAATAAAACGGTTGATTTTTTAAAAAATTATTGCCTTGATTCTCTTCACTCTAAGATGGCAAAAGTGAAGAGGCTCTAATACCATCATCATCAAACCTTTTATTGGCATCACATACAAACATCCATAGCAAATCAATACAGAATTCCCACCTTCCCAGTGACACAAAACATTTGTCAAATGAAAGAGGCAAAGCAGTCTAACATTACATCTCTAGGTCTCCAGGGAGATCAGACATCAGCAATGTGTTTTGATGACAAAAAACCAGATAAAGATATTTAGCCACTAACTTGGTGAGCTCCTGATTATTCCCCAGTAATAGAAAATGTATGACCTCTAACTCTGGTTTCCACTTGGGGATGCAGAGTAGATCTAGGAACTGCTGGCGGAGATCAACATATAGTTTACATTTAAGAGCCATATGTGTAAGAGTTTCCACCTGATGGTCTTCACATGGGCAAATTCTTTCTCCTTCCACCATTCCCAAGAACCTTCCCCATAGGAGGTTGGAACGATTTGAATTAAACCTGGCCAGCGAAAATGCCCTTCTTTCTTGAGGATTAAGCAAAAATTTGAGATAATTGTGGTTAATTTCATGTGCCCAAGAAAGTTGAAAGTTAAGAGGGGAGCATGTTTTCTCTGCTGCTGCTGTTAGTTCCTGGCGTTCAATGTCCCACAACCTAGTTTTTATTATAGCCTTGGCAGGTGGTGGGGACATCGATCACAAAGATTCCACTGACAGCCCAAGTTGCTGTACCTTTATGTTAAACCGTTGTAGTCCTGGGGAAAGAAAGGGATCTAGCAAAACTTCACTAAGGAGAGGATCTTTATCTGTTGCGAGGCAGATGTTTAACGAGCATGTAAGAAAACTCGCCCAGGCTACAGTCTCTACCTTGTGTTGACCTCCCTCTAGACACAAGGCTGCATAGGGTACACAACGTGGGACAGCAAAAATCTTAAAAAGGAAAGCTGCCTGCAATCGTTCTACCAGCTGGGTAAACCCTGGCAGCCAGACTGGAATTCCATAGAGCAATTGAGCTATAACTTTGGCATTGAAGACCTTGAGGGCAGAGGAGATATGCGAATTACCTCTTGTTATAAAGAAACGCAAGTAGTAAGTAAATATAAATTACTTCAGTGTAAAAGTACAGTACTTATTCATAATTATATATCCTCCTTGAAACTTACTAGATAAGCTCATAAAGTGCGAATTTTGCTGTTTCAAACTGCTTGCATGCATATAAAAGCCTCTCATTTCAAAGGTTAGAACGTTACATACTTGTATGTACATGGAGAAGTTTTTGTTTTTGTTTTCAGTGTGGAGACCTTGAAACTTAATGTAGTACAGTCTAGAATCAGAAATATCACACATGAGATTGGGTGTTTTCGCTCACAAATGAACTAGTGAATGTTTCTAAGCACAATTCAAAGTGTTAGTCCTGACCTTTAAAGCCCTATATGGCCTCGGTCCTGTATACCTGAAGGAGTATACAGCCCAAACACTGAGGTCCAGCGCTGAGGGCCTTCTGGCAGTTCCCTCACTGCGAGATGCGAAGTTACTGGGAACCAGGCAGAGGGCCTTCTTGGTAGTGGCACCCGCCCTGTGGAAAGCCCTCCCATCAGATGTCAAAAAAATAAACAACTATCTGACATTTAGAAGACATCTGAAGGCAGCCCTGTTTAGGGAAAATTTTAATGTTTAATGCTGTATTGTGTTTTTACTATTCGGTTGGGAGCTGTCCAGAGTGGCTGGGGAAACCCAGCCAGATGGGTGGGGTATAAATAACTACTACTTCTTCTTCTGTCAACTGATATATAGTGAAGTGGCTTCCTGCTTGTAACAGGTGGGTGAACATGCCACCCCAAGCTGGAAGTTGGAAATTGCTAAAATTAGTATACTGAAGCAACCATTCCATCCTATATATCAGTATTTAGTGAAACTATGGATCAGCCATAGCTAACGCAGAAGTTTTCTTTCTAGTGAGGCAGTGCAGCACTAAATACCACTACTAGGTGTAAAAACAAGGGACAGAAGTTGCCTTCATCCCAGAAGTATCCAGCTGGCCACTACTAGAAACATAGTGTTGAACTTGATTAGTCCTTATCACCGTCACCAGGCCCCTTTTTATGTCGTTTATATTCCCCCTCTGGAAGTCTGTGCAGATTACAAGGAAGAACTGGAACAGGTAATACTACGCTGTGTCTCCCAAATGTGAATTGGGGTTTTATTGCTGCAAGTGAAAGATAAGCAGTAAGTGACATATCTGCCCGTATTTGGAAACAGAACGCAAACAAGTGCCATTCCTGCTGCAAGTAATCCCAAAGTCACATCTTCTAGTCAGACCACATCCCTAAAAGGTGCTGCAAAAGCAAAACCATTAAAGACCTTATTTTGCCATATGCCAAGCCACTGAATGCATTTTAGTTTGTACTGCTGATGTGTGAGCTCCCAACTGCACCAAAATCAGTCGAGTGCTAGAAGAATAACTGCATTGGCTGATTATCGTACTTGCAGCCATTTCCATTGTTCTTTTATTTTCATTGCTAGCAAGTTGCCCATCATAATTAGAGCCTGTATCCCATTTCAGGATCCAACCTCAGTGAGAGTCAGTCATGTTCAGTTATAACAATAAATTTGTTGTGGTTAGTAGAATAAGCCCAGGCAAGCGTCAGGATAACACACTTCCTGCTCCTCCTCCAGCGCAGCCAGGGGAAGAATTCAGACGCTTCTGCGTCTACTTTGGTCTAACCATAGCTTACTATTATGTCTGAACCCAGACAAACTATGGTTAGCTGAAACAAGCCTACTTTAAATCTTGGTTTAAGAAGCTGGCTTGCATCAACTAACCAGAGCTAATAGTAGCCACAATTTAGGGCTCAGACATAAAGCTAAATGATGATTAATGTAAATAAAAAGTGAACATTTAGAATCTCCTTTTCATGGCAAATCAGGCCAGAGTTGGAATGGAAGAAAGTATAAATGAAGGGAGAAAGCAAAGGGGTACACCATATGTGTGGAGGCTAAACCTGTCCATTGCCTCTACAATATATGTGTGGTTACATGTTTCTTATATACATAGATATTTGATATACATAGAGATGGATAAGACATGTGTATCTTAACTATTATACACACACACTGTGCCAAAGCAGCTCTGCTAGCAAGTCACAGAGAACCTGAGTCTAGCAGTACGTGGGCTGGTCGTTCTCCCCTAAGAGAGCTTCCTTATTCTATGCACATATAGGGTATAAAGAGCCATTAGGATGCTGCTGCTGAAAGGGATTGTTGGCTGTAATTAAAACTAAAGTGGACTGTCTGTTTATAAGGATGAGAAACATCTTTCTAATAGAGAACGTGACGAAGCAAAGCTAGGAATGAAGGAAAGGGAGCAGATGAGAGACACACAAGCAAAGAGGTTAAGAACAACAGCTGATTGCCCATTTGTTCACCCTTCCTCAAAAAACAAGCTGCAGACAGTTTCTGTTCACATAGATATACAGGCTAGAAAAAGGCAAATGGTTAGAAACAAGAAATGGCTATGCCTTTAATTAACTAACTAACTTGTTGTTGGCATCTGTCTGTCTCGGGAGACAATGGAGCAGTGCACCTTTGGGGGTGAAGTCAAGCTGTTGGAAGGTGGCTGTAGAGACTGATACAGAAGACACATGTTTTGTTGCAGCTGGAGCAAAAACATTTATCTACTACTTGACTAATAAAACGTAAGTGGTTTTTAAGAAATATTAAATTATCTATAAAACAAGCAATTAAAAACATTCAAATATAATTAAAAATAACTGTAAAAGAAATGTAAACACATGAACATCCACGTTTCTGGATAGGCTTGCCTAAGCAAATATCTTTTAAGCAGTCACTGAAAAGAGTTCAGCGAAGGCATGAAACTCCAATGTCAATAGGCAGGGAGTTTCAAACTGTAGGTCTTGCCACACTAAAATATGTATCTCTTATAACTGTGGAATAAGCATTATGTGGCACCTTTCTCAAGATGGGGACTCCACCCAAAGACTAGTCGTTCCATCTTCCCTTCCCTTCCCTTCCCCCTACCCCACCAAGGCCGCCATTAGAACCAGAAGAGAGTCATTTCCCTCCTTTGGGTCAATTACTTCATGTCTCCAAGTTTTTCTACTTCCACCTCCTTTCCTGCTGGCGGGTGGAACCTGAGAAGATGGAGAGAGTGTTTGAATCAAGGACTCATAACTCCTTGTGTTCTTCCACCATTTCCTATTGGCAAATAAAAGCCAAGGAGCGTTTTTTTAACTTAGAATATATGCCATTCATAAAAATAAATCTCCCTCACACACATACAGAGTGTGTCAGGGAGAAGGTAGGTCAGAGGCATTGCCTACTTTCTATGTTCAAGCAATGTCTTTGTAAGGAGGAGCATCTGAAATCTGAAGACACAGGCTTACCACCCAGTGACAAATAGCCCTGAGGGACACCTTGCAGGGCCCATTATGAAGAAACTACAAAATTCAAAATTAACTGAACTGAGCTTATCTTTGATAAACAGCATTTCAGGTCCTGATGCTTGAGAAATACAGAAATAGCTACCATATTCCCTTTTAGCTGTAATTACAACCAAGAATTCATTACTGTGAGGAAGGAGAAAGAATTTTAATTCAATCACTCTATCATCTGGATTTCACTGGTGCTGAAACACGCTCCCCTTTACTGCAAATAAATGGGACTTATCAGCACTAATCGATAACAGCTGTGATATTATTTTAAAAAATGGTTCGCCCATAAAAGGCAGAGGTAATTCAAAACGTCTCATTAAGCAAACACACTAGGGCAGTTGACATTTAAAGACATTCTGCAGTGCCAACTGAAAGAAGCAGAGTACATAACACACATCCAATTAGTTCATTATGTCTTGTTAATGCTTTCCAACCATTTGAGTGTATGGTGGCTGGGTAGGGTGGTTTCTAGAATCTGGAAATATTGACCCTGAGAAGGAGATTTTGGGTAAGCCCCATTTAAGATTGTAGCTCTAAAGTCCTCATGACTGAATTGAAGTGAAAAGGGCACCAAATCTGGTCATCTCTAGGCCCATGCATCCTGCAACAGCATCAGGAGATAGGCTTCCTTTCTGCCAGTTGTGGTTTCTACAGTCAGGGCAGCAATGTGGCTTGACAACCCTTAGAGAGTTTCACACTTCCATCTAAACTGGTTGAGCCATCATGGAGCCAACCCAGTGGCAGTGAAGGCACCAAAGAAGGCACATTTTGCTGCCTCCATTTTATCCCCGTTGTGCCATCTGGAGGGTAGCAACATGGGAATGGCCCCTTTTTTTAGGCCCTTCCCCAATTGTGGAATGCTCTCCCCAGGGAGGCTCGCCTGGTATCTTTAGGCACTAGCCGAAATGCTTCTCTATAACCAGATACTACGGCCTTTGAAATTTGCTTGTGGGAGGGGAGTTATTAGTTTGTTTTTGTTTTTATTATGTATTTTGTGTTTTCATCGTGTCTTTTTATGTTGTGAACGGCCCTGTGATCTTCAGATTAAGGGCGGTCTACAAATTTTAAGAAGAAGAAGAAGAAGAAGAAGAAGGGGATGTGGGGCACAATATCATGATGGAGGACTGGGAGAAATTGTGGAAAAAAGGAATCCAATTTACAGCTTGTAATGTATTAAGAGAAAATCTGATGAAAATGATGTACAGATGGTATTTAACACCAGTGAAGTTAGCAAAAATATATCATACTCATGATAATAAATGCTGGAAATGTAAAGAAAAAGAAGAAATCTTTTACCACATGAGGTGGATGTGCCCCAAGGTAAAAGACTTCTGGGAAAGGATTTATAATGAATTGAAAAAAGTGTTGAAAAACACATTTATTAAAAAACCAGAAGCCTTTTTACTTGGTATGGGGGGGTGAAATCTCCAAAAAAGATGTTACTTTTTTTCTGTATGCCACAACAGCTGCAAGAATATTGCTAGCAAAGAATTGGAAGAAACAAGATTTACCAACTATCAAAGAATGGCAAATGAAGATGATGGACTATATGGAACTTGCCAAACTGACCGGGAGACTCTGAGACCAGAGAGAAGAGACAGTGGAAGAAGATTGGAAGAGGTTTAAGGAATATTTGGAAAAATATGTTAATATTTAAATCTTAGAATAGCTTTGGAAGTGGATATAGGCGGAAGGGTTAGAAGTAGAAGATAGTCTATTTTATAAGTGATAAAATGTGAAGTTTTTTATGGTTAAAGTAAGTGTGAATAAAAAAGATGGTTAGAAATTATGATATATCTAAACTGCTAAAGATGAAGTAAAATGAAAATCAGATAGGTGGGAATTGCGGAAGCCCACTTAACAATGTTTAGAAAAATAAGGATATGACAAGAATTTGTTTGTATTGTTTGTCTTTTCTGTGTGTTTTTTATTTGTGTTATAAAATAAATAAAAAAAATTTGAAAAGAAGAAGAAGAAGAAGACTCAGTATCCAAAATGGTCCTCCAAAGTGCTAAGTATCCTTGCCAATTTCCAGAGTCTCTAGGCCTACGGAGTTAAAACAGGCAAACCAAACCACACTGGTGGTGGCAAGGAAAGAATGTCACCTATTGATCTGAATCAACCAGCCAATTCTTGGCTGCAGGCTTTCAGCCTATGTAACAGTGGCAGAATACTCCACCCACAAGGTGGTGATGGGCCAGTGAGTAAGTGAGCCCTAAAGCAAGGGGTAATTTTCTCATTAACTGAATAACTGAACATCCAGGCATAATTAATAGAATAATTACAGGCAGATGCCTTGCCTCTCTTTCCGTTAAATCCTCCTTCAGCACAGTGCGGGACTTGGGAGATACAGTTCCATTTTGATGCTAAAGCAAGAGGACTATGTCTTTTGCACAAAAGAGAAGAAAATCTTAACACCAGGATATTTTTTGGTGCTATCTCTCCCAAATAAACTTTCCCTGGCACAATATACTGTCTTTTTGCATTTGGAACATCTTTAAAATATAATAGATAAGGCTGCAAAGCTAGATGTTTTGCTTGGGAGAAAGACCCATTAAACTCTCTGGGATTGATACTGACCTCCCACTCATTAGAACCTAGTGATGTAAATTTCCTGATAGGCTTTCAGATTTTTAGCAGCCATCGACCCTTACTACAGTTGAGGCTTAAATCACTTTTTGTTACATGAAAAGCACTGTGTGAACCTTTCCCTAAGAGCAGAAAGCAAATGGATTACAAGCCTGTGATACTTTAAAAACAGTTTTTTTCACAATTATCTGGCTATCAGTTGCATAAATGAAGAACTTTTCCCCTTTAAAAAGAGCAAACAGTTGACCTGAAAGAAATGGTGTCAAGCTAAAGAGAAAAAGCGACAAGAATCTTATAAGCAATATAGAGGATCTGAAACTAGAGAGCTATCTTACGCTTATGTTCAACTAAAGAAAAACAAAAACAAAAATCTTACTAGGAAAAAAAACCACCAAGTTGGTGGTGGGGAACTCTGATCATGGCTACAATAAAGGAAGACTGGAAACTGTTCTGGTATATCATCACAGGAGCTGTGGAAAAAACTGATAGTGTGAATAATTGCTGTATCTCTGGAATACAAGATCTCTTCCCCGCCCCCCTAGATTTCCAGTGATGCAGCTCAGGATTTTCAGAATACCTGTGTGAAGTGCCCCAGCAAAGACTGGGGACCTGTTTACGTCTTATAGCACAGTTTAAACACAGAGAAGCTCCAGTTTTAGATTTTATCCCATCTGAATCAAATCCAATGCCTATTGTTGTGTGACACCTCTTGCCTCACGAATGAAACACAGTGATATATCTGAAGATACCTTCTCAGCTGAAAATAGTGGCAGCAGCAATGTATTAAAATGGTTCCAAATTAGATACAATGAACCTCACACCTTTAAGCCTATTCTCAGGAATGAGAAAACTGCATGCATTTACATGATAAATTATTGAAGCATTGATTACAGGGAAATGGCAGTTTGCATACTGAACATCAGTGGGTGGGTTAATTTGTAAAAATAGAGCAACCAAGGAATATATTTTGATACTTTAATCTTCTTACTCTGAACTCGGGGTTTACTCGGCAGTAGTAATTATGAATGTCACTGAAATCCAAATTTATCCAGATTATTTGGCTAGTAGCGTTAGGAACCTGCCCTTCCCTAAGGTCCCAATCAGGATCCAGACAGGCACTTGCAGAGTCTGCTGAAGGGCAAAATGGATCCAATTTTTAAGACAACTGCTGACCCTGATGTATGCCAGGGACACACTGCCAGACAGGCTGCGCCTGCATAGCAGAGACGGATAATCTGGGGATTGTGAAGGAGGCCTAATCCCTCCTGTGCAGTACTCAGCATTTTCATAAAAGCAGCCGCATTATGGGAAATGTATACGTACCCAAAAGTATCTGGGATTCTGCAGGTGGAATCAGACCACCTCTGCCTCCTTAAATGACTCTGTTGGGTCAGTGGTAGCGGATGCCTGGTCCCCTCAGAGAAGGCCACACCATGTTCAGTTGTCTCTAAGACTAGGCACACAACAACACCATGTGTCTATAATGTGTCTCATGGCCTCAGTTTTTGTTTCAATATTCGTTGTGAACCAGGAAACAGTGAAAAATGTGTATTCTGCCCCTCTCTTCTAGTAACATGCCCTAAATAATTATGGTGTGCCATTGCCGGAATTGGTTGGATCAGTCCTCCTTTTATAGCAATGCTAATTCATAACAGTGGTGCGAACTCTTAAATCCTGTCACCAAATCTAGCTAGGCCAGACATCCAGAAAGCGATAACAGCTGTGAAGATGTTGGGGCAGTGCAGTGACTAAATCAGGATCTTTGCCGCTCCTAATGTTGTTGGATTCCAGCTCGCATCAGGGGGTTGGACTAGATGACCCTTGGTACCCCTTCCAACTACACAATTCTATGATTCTATGAACTCTATCGTGAGCTTATTTAAAAAGGGCAATGGGAGTCCAAAGGAAAATTCTGCCAGAGATAAACACAATTAACTTCTCAAACACTAGAGAATATTATCTCTACAGCAGCCTTTGTGTGTTCCAATTTTCAAGCCAAGGCAATAAAAGCAAGTTATATCAATGTGTTGTGAAAATAAAGAAAAGGTCTTTCATCAGATAAAGTACCCTACTGATACCTTTGAATTCTCAAAAGTGAGCTACAGATCTTTCAAGAAAGGTTCCCAAGGTTACTGTGACCCTGGTAAATCAATATCAACATACATTTAATTTTTCAGTTTGTACATTCATTACCATTCCACACCTCCATCCCTAACAGTAATCCATCCACTGCTGTTACCACTATTGTGGTAAGTGCTGAAAATCTATGTGGCTGGTTTATAAGTTGGGATTGCCACACAGAGAGTGCTTGAAATCATTACCTATGTATGGCTGCTCTAAGGGTACACAGAGCAGCCTTTATATCTTGCACACAGGCCTTGTTTAATTTCTCGAAATAGACTATGATTGCATTTTGTTGATTAATTTCCCTTAGGGACAATGAAGAAGTCAGATGAGGCTGGGATTTATTTGGAAATCAAAACATGATAAAGAAAAGCACAAGTATTCTTCTATGAGGATAGCATATTTCAAAGGTCTCATGATTTGCAGCCCTGAACTTTATGTTCCAAAAAGGAACCTTTACTGAAATAAGATTTCACAGAATTAGTCTAGCCTGAAATCCCTACTTGCTTATTTCTTTGCTTATTCAGTAACATTGCAGTGCTCCAACCCAAATGTCTAGAGGAGACAGAAAATTAAAATAAAATTTGCTGAAGATTAGCACTCCCTTGGTAGCCAAAACACAGGGTACTGATTGGTACAGTAACTTTTTCACAGGAAAATATCAGTACACTATGAGAATTCCCTAAAGATTTTCATAGTATACCACTCTTCCAGTCCAGAAGTTCCATATTAATTTACCATTTCTTTACTTCTTAAAATCTGCCTCACCTTTCAGCCCAGAAACACAGAAAAGTATTTCAGTGTAAACAATGCCACAATCAATGCTACATCACAATCAATACAAAAAAGTCAAGAGCATAAAAGTATTTTTTAAAGAAAAGCAGCAAGAACACAAGAATGTGTCAATCTGAAATAATATAGAACCATAGGAGTGAGCTAAAAACTCAGGGCAGATTAAAAGCAAAATGAAACAAAAGAAGTCTCAATTTTCCTTCTAAAATTCACATGTGATAGACTTCGGAACAAATCAAGTAAGTGCAGCAGGAAATAAACATTCAAAATATAACTAAGGCAGAATTAGAAACTCAGATATATAAGCTTGGTGCCAAATGGCTCCTTAACCCAGGGTTACAGATGCCAAAATGGAATGCCTAGTTGCCATTTTGGGGCCAGACGGTTCTAAAATTATATTTATCAATATGACTTTTTGGTTTCTGAAATTCATTCTGATTGTGCAGACAAAATATAATGGATAGAATTCTACAGGATGTGGTATGTGTGTGTGTGTAAACAGTCAAGTTCCACGGATCTCCAGGCATGCACCTCCAAATGGTGGAGACGTCTTGCGCCATCCTCACACCCGGACATCTTCACTTGGTCGCAAGTGGCCAATAGCTAGGTACAAAATGCTCCTGGAGCTTGGCGCATTTCAAACACTAAACTAAGGGAGCAACCCTATGCTCCCGGGGGCAGTGGCTAAGGGGCCATGGTAAGCTGCAGACCTCTTTCTACAGTGGCAGAAAGGGGTAGGCTGTCAGTGGACTTCCCAAGGCAGAGCAGCAGAAATCAACCCCACCTTTCAGCCCTGAATGATTAAAGATCTGAAAATTTGCCTTACCAACCTGGGTCTAGCCGACCCTAGTATCAACCTGTGTGCCCATCTAATTTCCCTCCCCACCCGCTCTGTCTCTCACACACCACAGCACAAGCAATACTGTAACACATCTGAAACACATGATCCATAGTTGCCTTTTTGTAGTTGCTTTGACCTCCAATGTCAGGGAGGAAGTTGCAGCAGAGGGACAAATGCAAAAGCTTGAAAGGATCAGTGTGGGCGGGCTTTGCGAAACCTCTGACACTGGGATTTTGACAGGTGGGAGTGGCACATGGTGCCCCATGGCTGACAGATGGTTTGCTCCACCTACCTGTCAAAATACCAACTATCAGAGCTTTTGCAAAGCCTGCCCACACTGATGCTTCCAACCTTTTGCCATTGTCCTCCCGCTTCTCCTTCCCCCCTGATGTTAGAGGTCAAAGGAGAAGTTGGGGGAAGAAGTCTTCAGCTGCCTCCTTTCCATCTCATGGCACAGCCAAGCAGTGGAGATGGACCTGGCAGGAGCAGCAGTGCAGTTGGGTGGCCTATGGATCAGTCTCAGCGGCTACAGCAGTGGATTACCACTCCAAGCCACATTTCTTCTTTATGCAGTGCTCTTCAACAAATTGTCCAGGTAGAGGCAGGGGCAGGAACAGCGGATCCCTAAGCTGGCCAGGGCAGAAGCAGCTTTCAAGGAGCAACACTGGCCAATGTAGAGATCTGGATTCTGAAGGCAGGCAACCCAAGCAGGTGGAGGAACCCGTGGAGCTGGGGGACTGCTGCAGCCTGTTCTGGCTGTCCCTCCATGGCTTGTCTTGGCTGCCCACCACACTGTAGTTTGCAGCAGCAGAACCGATCTCTGGCCAAGCAAACATCAGCATGATGGCAATCTTACATATATATATATATATATATATATATATATATATATATATATATGCATTGATGTATCGCTACAGATAAAATTCATATAATGAAAGTGCTCAGCGATGTAGGTTTTTCTTCCCAATCTACTACAGTCACAGTGTAGGGTTAGACACACGCTTTACAGCACCTTTAAATAAATATACCAATATGCAGTGTATGTATGTGTTTATGTGCACATATAGAGGAACTGCTCAAACAAAAGACTAGGTAAAATATGAACTTAGTGCAGAGCTATACAGCAGTCACGAAATTAAAAGACGCCTGCTCCTTGGGAGAAAGGCGATGGCAAACCTAGACAACATCTTAAAAAGCAGAGACATCACCTTGCCAACAAAGGTCCGTATAGTAAAAGCCATGGTTTTCCCAGTAGTGATGTATGGAAGTGAGAGCTGGACCATAAAGAAGGCTGATCGCCGAAGAATTGATGCTTTTGAATTATGGTGCTGGAGGAGACTCTTGAGAGTCCCATGGACTGCAAGAAGATCAAACCTCTCTATTCTGAAGGAAATCAGCCCTGAGTGCTCACTGGAAGGACAGATCCTGAAGCTGAGGCTCCAATACTTTGGCCACCTCATGAGAAGAGAAGACTCCCTGGAAAAGACCCTGATGTTGGGAAAGATGGAGGGCACAAGGAGAAGGGGACGACAGAGAATGAGATAGTTGGATGGTGTTCTTGAAGCTACCAGCATGAGTCTGACCAAACTGCGGGAGGCAGTAGAAGACAGAAGTGCCTGGCGTGCTCTGGTCCATGGGGTCACGAAGAGTCGGACACGACTAAACGACTAAACAACAACAACATACAGTGGAAGTTGGTTCCACTGTACTTAATGAATGTCCTGGCAAATGTGTTTAGGAGTGCAGCCATATATATATATATATATATATATATATATATATATATATATGCAATGCTCATCACCTTTTAAAATATATCACAGAATTCAAACATAGCTCTTTCCACTCTTTGCAAATATTTTTCTATAATATCTGGAGTAAAGTGTCAATTCAGAGCTCAAGGTAGACTCTCTTTCTCTCGTCATTTTGCTACCAACAGACAGATACCTCAGTTATATCCTACAGGGAGGTAGCTTTTAAAAAAGGACAGCTGTTTGGTTATTTAAAACCCAACAAAGTATCGTTTACAGCATGTGAAATATTTAGGAAGGAGTGCAGTCTATTTTATTTTTAACACTTTTAACACAACACTGTATAATTTATGTCTCTGAGCAGATACCTGTTAGAAAATTAACAGGTGGGCGTCAAAGCACATGGCTTGGACAAGGAAGTTGTTGTAGTATCCTGGATTCAATATAGCGTGTTCTCAATTAAAGGAGAGCGTGTGTTGCGGATGGGGCCAGGCAAGACACCCCGTAGTTGCCAGGCAGGATAGGTTGAAGGGGCCCGGCTCGGATTGGTGGATGGTGTTGCTGGGGTGAAATTGATGTTGCCAATTTGGAGGTGGCAACAGAGGTTATTTAAGCAATGCTCACAGCAATCTGCTTTCTCTTTTGCTGTGGGCACCGGATCACCCGCCCTCCCTCCCTTGTTTTGGGCTTGTGCTTTGACCTTGCTATGCCTGTCATGGGGTCGTCTGCCTTGGTGCAGGGGCCTGGTAGGAATTTTTCCATTTGGCTGATTAGTGTGTGCCATTTGGTTTTTGCCTACTGCGTAGCAAATCGTCACAACTTGTAAGGTTGGCGGTTAGGCACTGGTTTAAATTGGTTGGTGGAGGGGTATGGATTGGCTGTGCCTGCCCCTCCAATGCTGCTGCTGCACGGGAATTCCGTTAAAGGAATTCAGGGGCTGACCATCCTTTCGTCCAAACACCTGGAATTGGGTTTGGGCCGCTTAAGCCCCTGGGAGCATGCGGGGAGAAGCTGAGGGTCTGTGCCGCAGCTCCAGTTATCCCTGATCTTGTTCCTCCACACTGGCTTTCGCTGGAATCCGGGAGTCAGTGCTGTCCCCAAGGCGGGGGGGGGGGGGGGACAGATAGTCATAACCAATGCCTAAGCAACCACTCACAATTTGTATGTTCAATAAAGTTGTGGCCAAAATTATGCCAAAAACCTTAAACAAAAATTATGAGTTATTGGGGTAGGGGTGTTTTGGGGGACCTCAGCACGCAAACAGGCTACGTCACACTAGCTCATGAAATTTAACTGACTTTAGAAATGCTGACAAGACTGAAGGATTCTGCAGTCGTATCCCACCAATTAGATCGCTGCTGCTTTCTTACACAATAGCCTAAATTTAATTGGCTGGTGCTAGAACACATTGTATCCTACCTAAATCTTATTTCTTATGTGAAGCAGGGACACACCTTTGTAAAGCCATTTACTGAGATAAGTGTTTGATTTGTCTTCCCATCTCTTGCAATAATTTCTAATGCAGAGGTTTGGGTTATGACTTAATGAAAGTCACTTCCACCTACGAGTCAATTTTGCATTATTTGTACGGCCAGGGGATCTTTTTTTCTGCAAAAGCACTTGGAACAGATGGAATAGACATGGCTGACTGTTCTTCCTAATGGAAAAAAATGTGGTTACTTGTATTACTGTCAAATCAGCTTAGCTGGCAGCCAAATGGTGCCCATATCTTAGATTTCTTATAGGACCATCAAGTTCATGTTCCCAAGAAATAATCAAAAAAAGAAATTGTGTAAGTTTTATAAAAAAAAATGTTATTGAAAGCAGGAAAAGGATGGAAATGAAAGATGAATAGAATGATATATTCATCATTTTAAAATAATTTTCACTGGCTAGATAACAAAATAATGCATATTGAATTATTAGCATATCGTAGGACCAAATTCAATGATATTTTGCTCAGATAAAACACTGAGTGAATATGTTGGCTCTCTAGAGCATAATGTGGTTATTGAAACTAAATAATTGATTTTCCCCAGTGAAAATTCAAACTGAAGTTTGCGTTATCTTTGCAGGTACATGGAAACCACACTAATATATCAGGGCTGGAGACATGCACAACAAGCCTCTCAGATTCCATGGAGGAGTATATAGCTCGCTGCTCAAACTATAGGGATAAATTTCAGTGGGATCTTGCAGGTCTGAATAATCTGTTTCCCGCAATGAAACTGTGTACTCCGTCAACAAACCACACATAAAGAGTTAACGTTCAAAAACAGCACCTTGTCCGAGGAACAAATCTATTAAATGAAAAGAGATGGTGTCTAATTTGTACTGAAGTTTTCCATACTCCAATGGGCTGCAAAATAGTGACACAACGTATCTGCTATGTTCACACCTAACAATTATTGCAATGCTTGGCTGCCTTGCCAGGGATAAGCCTGATTCCAAAGTGGAAATGCAAAGCTACTTTTGGAGGCCATCTTTTCTTTTGGAATAAAGTACCAAGTGCTAAAGGCAATCCAAATATGTACACTAAGGATTTTATTTTGAACATTGAACATTGGCCTGGATTCTACGTTCCCTGACTGTCAGAACAAGAGCTGTTGTGCTATAGCGTAAGGGTGAGAATAATGGTTGTGCAATGTGAAATCCAGCACAACAGTTGAACTAGCAAAAGTCTGTTGTGCAATGGGAAGTACTGGGGCAATCCACATCAAGCGCATTCCTGCGGCTTCTCTTGCACAGGCCATTCTGCGAAGGGGCTTTTAGCTTAGCACGACATCGAATTTCTTCCAATATATGAAATCAAAATTCTCAGAGACATTAATTGTCATGTCATGAACTTTTTTTTTTTTACTTAAACAAGCAAGGATCCTATTAAAAGAATCTGTTTCTCTAATAGACTTGCCAGTACATGGTGTTTGGGGAAGGGAAAATCCAGGGCTGCCCCCACCCATGAGGCAGGCTGGAAGCCCAAGAGGCAGCCCCCCTATGGGTACACATCCCCATCTCCTCCGGTGGGAAAAGAAGCACTGGCAGCGGTAGCAGATTCCTGTGAGATCTTGCAGTGCACAAGATCTAGCTGGAAGCTGCTGTCATTGCAGCTGCAGTGTGGAGGAAAGGGAGATTGGGTTAAATAAATTTGTGGCGCAGAGATTAATCAATGCCTATTGGCTATGAGTGATAGCAAAATTGACCCTCCATGTTGAGTAGCAGTGCACCCCTGAATACCAGTTGCTAGAGGGATAAACTGAGCCGATTCCTATATTTCTGTGGGCTTCCCAGAAACTGGCAAAATTATGGCAAATTGAATTATTAAATATTGCAGCACTTTATATTTTTATTTCCTATTGCAAAAAGCTAATCTAATAATGTTTTATTAACAACCACTGTAATTGGCTTGGCACTGCCTGTCTCCTGCAAGAAGAACCGGGCCTGCATTGCTTGATAGTTTGTGACTTGTTTCGCTATTAACTGAAGGGGAAATCAATTGCATGCAGGGGATAAATTGTGGGGGAAATAAATATGAGGAGTTAATAAATTAAAGGAAAACTTATTTCAGACAACGGCAGGGTGGAAAATGAATTACTTTTTTTGTTTTGTAGCAATTAAATATTGGTTTGGTAGATTCATTTAGCATTTGGGGACTCAGATCTGATTTTTGCCTTTTATCTATTTGTGGCCTTGGAAAGCCACTTACATCCATCTAGTTTAGCACTCTGTTTGGAAGAGAAGCAAGCCACAGTCCTCCAGGAAGCTTAGAAGCAGGGCACAAGGGCAAGAATACCTCCCTGTTGTTTATCCCCAGAAATAGGTAGTCAGAAAAAAGCCTGAGGGCAATACTCCACATTTGTGAGTGACAGGGTCTAGCAATGATCCAGAACATGACATGATACACTGACATGATACAAGACCCTTCTCTTGGCCTCACTTGTGTAATCCAAAGGAAAGCAGAGTAGTATGTTTGGCACCAGCTTGGCTGCAGGAGTTGCTGGAAGGATGCATACAAGGTGTCTAGATATTAAGTACAGGTGAAGGCCATTTTAGGCGCGTCGAAATGTTGCACGATCACCAGGTTTTTTGGACCCAGAAGAGGGAAGAACAGGGCTGGAACAGAATCAGGGCAGAACGGGGTGGGACACACTCATGCACACTCCACTGACACACACAGGGGCCAGGGATGGAACCCCCTGTGCAAACTGGTCATCATCCGTACCAGAGAATAACCTTTTTAAGAAGCCAAGGTGAATCTTCAATATATGTCTATATTCAGAGCCTTTAACAGACTGATCGTCAGTTCAGTCATTTATTAGTGCTAAGTGTACATGGGCTATTCTGGGTTTGGTGGAGATAAACTGGACAGGCCACCAGCATTTTCCCAGGACAGCCCCAAGTACCAGTGGCGAAGATGCACGCTCCAGCACCAGGGGCGGAGAGCAGGTGTGTGTGTGGCTGGCACACATCCAGGGGGCGTGGTGTGCATCCTGGGGGTGTGGCATGCCGCCCACAGGGGCATGGTGCCTGGTGCGGTGGGGGTGGTGCATGACATGTGTCAGGGGGTGGCCGCGATGGTACCCCTCCCTGATGGTGCTGGGGGTGGTGCGCTCCCCCTGCCCCCATTCTTCCTCCAGTGCCAAGTACACTGTGCAAAATCAGTTGTGATGGTGGCACAGACTGTGCTAGTTCTGCAAGTGCGCCCTGTTGGGATCTGAATGGCATGCCAGAGGTAGAAACCCCAGGGCTAGGTGTGCATGCTGCTGAATATGGCATAGGCTGCTCTCTTTCTTATCTCTGATTTCATTTTAGAAAAAAGCAGTGTTGGGGCCTTATGGCTCCAAAGGTACGCTACAATCCCAAAAGTCTGAGGAGTATAATTTCAGTCATCAGGACTTCCTCAGTGCCCTTCATAGTACTCTGTCCCCTTCCCATGACTGGCAAAGGGGAAAAACAACAACAAGAAGAAAATACAAATCTATACAGATGATAGAATTCAGATTCTCTTGGCACAGTATCTTCCTCAGTACTGAATTTTATTATTTATTTATTTTAGTACAAGTACACAGTTCCAGATAGATTAGATGTGGCCTGAATGTGCATTCAATCTCCCTCCAGTTTTCTGTTGTAAGTCATTCTGTTCCACTCACTAATGGACAAAAAACTGAATTTCATTATACTCTTATTATCTGTATTCCAAAGGAGAAAATGTCCCTTCTGTATTCCTACAAAATGAGCCATATATATATCCCCATAGGTTCCCTACACCCTGTATGTGTGTGGTCAAGCATGTGTGTGCATAGATATGGTTTTCTGCAACTCCATAAGTGGTTTGGGCTAGTCAGACAAATAAGAGCAGAGTCATCAGCCAAGTGGCTCAAATTCTTAACATCAGCTCAAGGCAGTCACCATCTGTGAAAGCCACAGCCATCTGTGTTCAAGACTGTTTGTACATTTCTTTTATGAAGAGGGATCACAGCAAACATCTGAGCAGAATTTAGATCAGAACATTTGTTTTCTAGCTTGAGATCTTAGGGGGAAATCCCCTGGCCATCTTGCAAAACGTAAAAACAAAAGTCCAACAGTTCCCCACAAAAAAGAAAAGAACAAGATCAACAGCAGTATGCTAAAAAAAGAGAGAGTAAATTTCCTTTTGTAACTGAATAAGAATAAACTGTTAAGGGTTTTTAAAGTGTTTTATTGATTGTTTTTGCACTTGGTTGTAGCGTGTTTCTAAGTCACTCTGGGTCACTTTTGTAAAAAAAGTGATTAATAAATATCAAGGTAGAGCATTACTATATTTTTAAAATTCTGCCTCCAGGTACAGTGGTGCCCCGCAAGACGAATGCCTCGCAAGACGGAAAACCCGCTAGACGAAAGGGTTTTCCGTTTTTGAGTTGCTTCGCAGGACGAATTTCCCTATGGGCTTGCTTCGCAAGACGAAAATGTCTTGCGAGTCTTGAGATTTTTTTCCCCTTCCCCCCCTTTTTCTAAGCCGCTAAGCCTTTAATAGCCTTTTAGCAGCTAATCCGCTAAGCCGATAAGCCTTTAATAGCCGCTAAACCGCTAATAGCGCTAAGCCGCTAATAGGGTTGCTTCGCAAGACAAAAAAACCGCTAGACGAAGACACTCGCGGAACGGATTAATTTCGTCTTGCGAGGCACCACTGTATATAGTTTCTGAGAGAGAAAAGTGGAGAGAACAAGAAATGATAAGCCACGCAACCTGAAACCGACTGGTGAACCTGTTCAAGTATGCAACGTGATGTAGTATATTTTTCATATTTCTTGTCTCCTCTCAAACCCTTTAAACAAAAATAAAACAGCAATAGTCCCAATGGGAGCTGTGAGGTCATGACCCATCCGTTGAAAACCACTGATCTAGCCCAACGTCTTGTTATTTTATCTGTTGCCTTGTGCCAGCAAAGATGACCCAAAGGCCTCCCAACACTAAAAAGGTTTCTAAAACAACTTGTGTATTTTTTTACAACCTGGGCGTATCAATTTATGATTTGCATTTTAGGCTTTCCTCTGCCAGAAACCACACTTTGTGTTGCTTTAAAATGATATAGTGTTTATTCTTTTAACATTGCGAGCCACCTAGGAAACAGATATCAGGGTGGGGTAATACAAATATAGTAAAAATAATGGTTTTCTTATATAGGATGTTAAAATTTGAAAACCAAACCAAAGAGACAAAAGGCGAGAATAAACTCCCCCCCATCAAGTCTTGTGCCTCCATCCTGTCATGTGCACATGTTACTCACAGTGAATTTAGTCTTCCACAATCAGAGCTATTAGCATTGCTCACAGCAGAGAAATAAATCTGTTCTTTCTGCCTCAACACAAATTTGCAAATGCTTTGAGTGTGATCCCACACATACTAGTCAAGTGACGCAGGCTGAATCAAGGGCGGTTAGTAAAATATATCCGCCTTCCAAGATCCAAAGCACAACGGGTGGGTTGCCCACCCCCTTTTCATATTGTTGCACACACTGAGATATCCCATAACGTATTGATCACTGATGAAAATGAGCATTCTGACATTTTTATTTCTCACCAGATCTCTGTAAATGAAGATAAACTGAAACTAAAAAATAACTGGCACGTCATTCTTTCCTCAAATGCAAAATTAGGCTAGATCTGTGTCATGTTCTTCATATTCAAGCTTTAAATCGTCCCTGCTACCTCTTCCCTCTACTGTGACAAAACAGCAATGTAGTATGGCACCTTGCTAAAGACTAACACATCCTTTCCCATCTACAACTCCCATCATTCCCAATCAGCAAATGGTCAGTTAAGATTGGAGCTGTAGTCAAAAATATCTGGAAGGCACCTGATTGGGAAAGGCTGGTTAAATCTAAAAATGATAATACAGTAAAATATCCACGGCACAATCCTATACATGTTTACTCTGAAATAATTTCCATTGAGGTTGATGAAATTTAGTCACTGGTCAGTGTGTTCAGGATTACAGTTCTCTCCACACACTGTTTGTCTTCCTTTGGCTTGAAGAACCGGTGAAACAAGATCCCCCCTTCGTAGGGCAACAGCATCTCTAGGAGTAGCCAATATTGTGCCTTCCAGCTGTTTTGGACTACAACTCACATCGTTCCCTACCAGCATAGCAAATGATGGAAGTTGTAGCCCAACAACAGGGGGGTGGCACCAAGTTGACTATTCCTTTTGAACACTGCCTTGTTCTGGGCACGGTTCATAACTGCAGATACAATATTCTGAGCAACAGAACCATGTTGATGAATTTGTTGTTGTTTTTCTCTTTGCCTTTGTTGCTAGATGTTATTTGTTCACTATTATTCCTATTATAAACACTCCATACATTTCATATAAAAGATCCATCTTGCTCCTTCTCTGTCAGTTACGGTATCACTGGAAATATTATTTCTCTAGGATCATTCAGATCAAGCCTCATGCTGCAAGTTATTGTATAAGATTCATGAGCCATGTACCAAGAAAGGTCATGAAATGTTATGAAATTTTAATAAGATGCATACCTGCTGAGCAGCACTCCCGGGCAGTAAACACCTGGAAAACCCTTTGGGACATTTCCTCATATGCTGCACTGTAACTATGAGATTTGTGCCCCATCAAAATATTTTGCCAATTAACATTTTCTGTAGTAATTGCCTTCAAAGATACCACTAACATATACTCTGTTCTCAGGGCCGATGCCAAGAAAGAAATGCAGCTAGAAATATTGCCATATTTTATCCGTTGTAATAACTCTTTTAGACAGTTAGTTCCACACATTCCAGAAATGGAGGAAGAAGGTACCAAGAAGGTTAAAATGGTTGGATCATCACTAAAGGAGATTGCAAACCTTTTGAGTTACACAGAACTCTTCCCCAGCAATTTGTTTCTGATGTCACATGTCACAGGAAAAGCTCCAAAAGGCAATTAATATACTCACTGTCACAGCAGAGGAGTAAATGTGGTTCCTATCTACTAATTGGTATCTACTAATTAAAACCTGGCAAAATATAACATCTGTTAATACAACCAGAATTTGAAGCACTAGTTTTAATTTTACCCCCAAATTATCTTCGCCCAGGAAGAAGACTAAACTCTCAAAAGGGGTACACAATTACTGTATTTTAAGTTTGGGAAATATTGTTCTGGCCTTCCAATAAGCCCAATTGGTGAGGAAGCTGCTGCAACATCACTTTCATTCCTTCTCCCCTGTAGCAGTTTTGCATCTTCTTTAAATCGATTTTCCATGTTTAAAAAGGGAGACTAAAGAATTAATTGGTTACATTCATCTATGGACTCTCTGTGTGTGTGTGTTATCTGTACATGTTTATGGCAGACAGGGTGCCAGAGGCATAGGATTGGGGGCAAGGCTGTGTTGGAATTGCTGGTAAATACATCTGCCAATTCGACTGCCAAGATGGGAGCAATCCAGTCTCACCATGAAGGACAAAAGAGTGGCAGCAACTGCTATTTCAGTGTATATTTTATTCAGCCTATGTTTTGCAATGCAGTTATCACAGAAATTAGCTGCATTCCAACTACAGTAGAAAAATAATAATAATATAAGGGGTGGGGGGGGGTAGGTGGTAGCTCTGAAAAGAACAGGTTTGTAGGAGGAACAGGCTGTTGTCAGTGTGTGGGAAGAAGCTCTGGAACAATTGCACTGGGGAGGGGAGAAAGCTGTTGACAGAAACTGTAAGATTTCTGTATAGAAAAATGTGCAAGCTTCTCCAGCGAGTAATAGATTAGGGTTAGGGGCATCAGAGCATCAACATTTCTTACGTTTTTAGCTCCTAACTATTATCAGAATTACCATCCTTGATAGGGGATGTCAACTTGATACTTTGCAAAAACCCTTTTGTACATGGTTGAGCTGAAAAGAAGTATGTATTAAAATAAACCTTTGCCTAGATATTTAGTACCAAAAATAGAAGTACTATGTTTTTAAAAGTTGCTGTTCTTCAGCAACCGACTTCAAAAAGAAAACTCCAGTGAAAAACTGCAGAATGAGTCCTTCTCAGGAAGTCTGGTGGTTTAGGCCTGAATCAAGAAATGATTTCTTTTCCAAGTACAGGAATTAATTAACAAAGCAAACCTGAGATAATTGTGTGGTCACCAGTTACTGATGATGTAAATGGCCAATGTGCAGATCTTCCGTGATATAATTTTAAGCTGCCACAAGACTCTTGTTTTTGCTGTAACAAGGTAAGAGAACAACTCCTTTGGAAGGTAAAACACTTGATGCTGTTAACTGAGATTCAGCAGGATTGTATACATTTCTTATAAATTCTGACTGAAATATATATAAACCTCTAACCAAAAGCAGTGATTTATGGGTTGACCACCGGAATGGAACTCTATATCCATGGCCTAAAACAACATCCTAGCTTACATATTTTACCTTGGTGCAAATGCAACAATACAAACTTTGGTCTTGTTGAACCAAAATCATTATGTCTGAAGTGAGTCAATGTAAAATGTAAGTGCAATCATGTCTACTCAGAAGTAAGGAGGCAGTTGACATTTTAAGGATGCTCAGTCATCACCCCTGTTTGAAACTGTACCTTTGTTTATCTTGCCTGATTTGGGGACCTCCTCACAACCTATGTCATTCAAAGTTGAAACCCTGAACCTAGCCTTTGCCTCTATCCAGGAGCACCCAGCAAAGAAGGGGTTCCCTGTAACCTTGGAAACATCCCTCTTCTGGACCGGCAGGGTGTCTTCTGTCATTGTGATGGTTTTCATTGATGGACCAAGTACAGTGGTACTTTGGGTTAAGTACTTAATTCATTCCCATTTCTTTTTATTGAGTTTCACTTAAATAACCAAAAGAAAAAACAAATCAACAATTTCAGAAGAGATATCCAAACATAACACAGAAGTAACATCAGTTTCCGTTACAGTTATTTGTCTTCCTACTTAAATCTTTATCTCTTTAAATATTTAAATCTTTCCTCTACACACCTATTGACCTCCTTCCCTCCCGATTTCGGGCTTCTTAATAAAAATACTTTCTTTTTCCTGCAGCTGTTAATTGTTAATGGTTTACGCATCGTAAGATCTATATCAAACCTGCTATAGTTTTTAAGTTTCTATAATTCCCTTCAATGTATACCATAAATTTATTCCAGTCACTAATAAACTTTGTATTTTTTTGGTTTCTGATTTTTTGTGTCATTTTTGCTAATTCAACAAATTCAAATAATTTTATTTGCCAATCTCTGATCGCTGGGGTGTTTGGACTTTTCCAATTTTGTGCAGTTAATATTCTAGCAGCAACTGTAGCATACTGGAATAATGTCTTATCTTCTTTTTTAATTTCATCCCCAATTATTCCTAATAGGAAGGCCTCTGGTCTTTTGGGGAAAGTGTATTTAAATATTTTTTTTAACTCATTATAAATAAGTTCCCAGAATTTCTTCATTTCTTCGCATGTCCACCACATATGGTAGAAATTGCCTTCTTTGATTTTACACTTCCAGCAGGCCTTATTTCCTGTTTTATACATTTTCCCTAATTTTGCCGGTGTGATGTACCACCTATACATCATCTTTTCCAAATTTTCTCTGAGTGTGACACATGCCGTAAATTTCATTCCACTAGTCCATAATTTCAACCACTTATCATATTCTATATTGTGTCCCAAATCCATTGCCCATTTTGTCATGACCTCCTTTATTTCTTCATCTTTGGTGTCCCATTCTAATAGTATGTTATACATTTTGGATAATAACTTGGATTTACCTTCAATTATTTCTATCTGAAATTTAGATTTTTTTCTCATTTATCCCTACTTTTTTATCTTCCTTCCATGCTGCATTTATTCGATGGAATTGCAGCCAGCCTGTTAATTTGTCTTTCAACTCCTCATATGTTCTCATCTTCCATCCGCTTTCTGATCTTATCAGTAGGTCAATCTTTCTCCTTCCATATTTGCTTTTTTAGTAGTTAAAATGTTGATTGGCGATAACCACCAGGGTGTTTTCCATTCTAAAAGTTTTTTGTTTTTCTCCCAAACTTCATATAGTGGCCCTCTAATAATATGGTTTGAAAAACCTTTCTGTACCTTTTCTTTATTTAGCCACAAATAGGCATGCCAACCGAATCTGTTGTTGAAGCCTTCTATGTCTAGCAGGTCAGTGTTTTCCAAATTAATCCAATCTTTGATCCAACAGAGGCAGGAGGCCTCGAAGTATAATTTCAGATTAGGTACCGAGAATCCCCCACTTTCTTTCCGATCTGTAAGTAATTTAAATCTAATTCTCGGTCTTTTCCCTTGCCATATAAATTTCGAAAGAGTTTTTTGCCAATCTGTAAACATTTTGGAGCCTCTGATCGCTGGGATATTTTGGAACAAAAATAACATTCTTGGGAGTACGTTCATTTTTATTGCCGCCATCCTTCCCGTCCACGAACGTTTCACTCTATTCCACGTATCTAGATCTTTTTTAATCTCCTTCCATGTTGTAAGATAGTTATCCTGAATTAAATTTATGTTTTTTGTAGTTAGCCAAATTCCCAAATAGTTTATTTTTTTTGCCACCTTGATTCCATTCTGTATCTCCAATTTTTCTCTTTCATCTTTTCCCAAATTTTTAGTCAAATTTTTATCTTTAGTTTATTTAATTTAAAACCGGATAGCTTGCCAAATTCTTCTAACATCTCCAAGGCCTTACTAACACTTTCTTGCGGATTTTCTAGGGATAACATCAGATCGTCTGCGTACGCTTTTAGTTTGTATTCTTTCGCTCCTATTTTAATCCCTCGAATCTCTTATTTTATACGTGATTACCTCTAGTACCATAATGAATAAAAGCGGGGATAGAGGGCATCCCTGTCTTGTTCCTTTTTCAATCTTAAATGAATTTGTTAGATTATTGTTTATAATCAGTTTAGCAGATTGGTTCGAATAAATTGCTTTTATTCCTTCCATAAACTCGCCCTCTAGCCCTGCTTTCTCCATACTTTTTAATAGGAACTGCCATGAAACATTGTCGAATGCCTTCTCGGCATCGATGAAAATCAGCGCCGCAGGTACTTCATTCTTACATTCCAAATATTCAATGATGTTTATGGTATGCCTTACATTATCTTTAAGTAACCTATTTAGAAGGAATCCTGCTTGATCCTTATGTATTAGATTTACTAGACATTTTTTAAGTCTGCTTGCCATCACCTCCGCGAAGATTTTATAATCGTTATTTAATAGTGATATGGGTCTGTAGTTTTTAATATTTAATTTATCCGTATCCGGTTTAGGGATCATCGTAATGTGAGCCTCTTTCCATGTCTCTGGTGCCCTTCCTCCTCTTAATATGTTGTTCATGATATCACATAGCACTGGCGTTAGTTGGTTTTCTAATACTTTATAATATTTAGCTGACAATCTGTCCGGTCCTGGGGCTTTCCCTGGTTTCATCTTCCTTATCGCTTCTTGGATCTCTTCTGCCTTTATGGGGTTATTTAATTGAGTTCTTTCTTCCTCTGTTATAGTCTTCCCACTGTAATCTTCTAAATATTTTTCTATTCGGGTTATCTCTTCGTCTTCCTTTTTATACAACTTCTCATAAAATTTGAGGAAATTTTTCTTTATTTCTTTTGGATCTTCTATCAATTGCTCCTCTATTTTTATCTTGTTTATCACGTTTTGTTTTTGCCTTCTTCGCAATTGCCAAGCTAATAATTTACCTGTTTTATTAGCTGACTCAAAATATTTTTGTTTCATTAACTTAATTTTCCATTCAATTTCTTGACTTGTTAACATTGAATACTGTGTTTGTAGCATTTTTATTATTTGTATGTTTTGTTCATCTTTCGGATTTGTTGTTAATATTTTCTCACATTCTCTTAGCTGACTAAGAATTTCCTCTTTCTTTTGTTCTCTTACTTTCCTCTTATAGCTGTTTTGCTGAATAAAAAACCCTCTTAAAACCACCTTGCTGGCGTCCCAGACTATATCCATACTTGTTTCTTTATTAAGATTCAGGCTGAAATAATCTTTTAAGGTGGCTTTGGCTTTTTCAACAACATCTTCACTCTCCAATAAATATTCATTCAATCTCCATCTGAACCCGCCCTGTGATGTGCCTTTTATTTCGAAAACTATCGGATTATGATCAGAGAGGGTTCTAGGTTGGATTTCACACTTTATAGTTCTTAATGTGAGTTTTCTTGAGACCCAGATTTGATCAATTCTGCCCCAGCTCTTATGTGGCTCTGAAAAGAAGGTGAATTCGTTCCCAAGGTCCATTCTTAACCTGAAACTGTTCTTAACCTGAAGCACCACTTTAGCTAATGGGGCCTCCTGCTGCTGCTGCGCTGCTGGAACATGATTTCTGTTCTCATCCTGAAGCAAAGTTCTTAACCCGAGGTACTATTTCTGGGTTAGCGGAGTCTGTAACCTGAAGCGTATGTAACCCAAGGTACCACTGTACTCTGCTTTATTCCTTAACAGCTCGCACACAGATGGCCCTCCTAAGCTAGTCGGATTCGTTTGCATAATCTAACCTCAGAAATTTCCACGTTTGGCATAGTTAACCAAACCTTGCTTAATTCTAACTTTTACTAAATCAAAGAATTATGGCACAAACCCACAACACATTTAGGGAGATCTGCCCCCCCCCACGGGTGGCGCTGTGGTCTAAACCACAGAGCCTAGGACTTGTGGTTTGAATCCCCATGATGGGGTGAGCTCCTGTTGTTCGGTCCCAGCTCCTGCCCACCTAGCAGTTCAAAAGCACGTCAAGTGCAAGTAGATAAATAAGTACCGCTCTGGTGGGAAGGTAAACGGTGTTTCCGTGCACTGCTCTGGTTTCTCCAGAAGCGGCTTAGTCATGCTGGCCACATGCAGACAAATGCCGGCTCCCTCGGCCTATAGAGCGAGATGAGCGCCTCAACCCCAGAGTCGTCCGCGACTGGACCTAATGGTCAGGGATACCTTTACCTTTTACTCCCCCCAAAAACCCCCTCATAAAATCACCAATAGCTGTGTGAGAACTGTTGAGAAGAGTATTTGTTGGATGTCCAGCCCATAGGTCTATACAAGGATATCACCACCTTTGTTGCTACTGTTTGTGGGGGCAAATGGTACTATTCTTCAGGGAGAGCGTGTCAAGTTTAATCTCTCTGCAAAAGCTTGAGAAAAGGGCTGCTGCCCAGGAACACACATCCAGACACATGACTAGTGTGTGTGAAACTGGGTGCTTGTTATAGTACAGTTCTGTTAGTATATTTATTGGATCAGGGTCTTCTTGCATGCTGGCTGTGGATTTTGAAGGATTGTTCAGAGAGAACGATAACTGAGCTATGAGGAATAATGGAATAATGTTCTGCTTGCTTTTTAGATTCTGCTTTTGCTCGTATGATCAATTGTGGTGAAGTATAATGGTTTTATTGATGACGTGTTAAATGTATTATGTAAATTGTGATGTAGCTATGTTGCTGTTGTTTAATTTGCAAGCAGCTCTGGGACTCATCTGAATGGAAAGCGACAATGAAATACAATCAGTCAAATCAATATTTAAACGAATACCTGACATGACAAACAACTAACAAGACAGTGCAAAACAAAACATAGACAAAGCAATCTGAAAAGAATACTCTACTGTCTTTTCTTCTTTTCAATTACATTTTTAAAAAATCACTATTTCATGTTAATTTGTTATTCCAAAAGTCTCTGAAAGGTCACTATTCATTTTCAAAGTTTGGGGGGGGGTGTATCTTCCTTCTTTAACCTCCAAAGTCCATGTAATTTACCCAGAACTGTGTCTGATGACAGAAAATGTAACATAGGGTGGCACACTTTTATCAGTCATGAGTCCTAGAACTTCAAAAGCTGACTCACTTACTTTTTCTTTTCAAAAAAGAAAAGCATTTGATTCCAACACTAGTTCTGATGGGGTGTAGCAAATATTAGAAAATCTCACAAGATCAGGATTCAAGACACCTCACAAAGAGAGAGAGAAGTTTGTATATATGCACTCAAGCTTAACTTACAATTTATCCAGAGTCCATCTGAAAAGTCCAATGAGCAATGGTTGAAGCCAAGTATCCAGCTCCCCTACATCTCTACAGCGACTAATTTTCTCAATTTACTTTCCCCCAGTAAAGAAGATAATACATCTCAGATCTAACGTGTGGTTTCTCATGAATATTGTGTTTTAGTAACTGCTTTTCTTTCAGTAACTTCATCTCAGTTCTAACACAGGCCTTTATTAGCCCATTAGTACAGTAATAATGTCCTGGGAGAGGCCTCATTTGCAGTTTCATTCTGATTACTGACCTTTCAAGCTGCAATGTGTGAAAACATCTTACGATACCCACTTGCATTAGTCAGCAACTTACATTTCACATAAAAATTTGGTGGTTACATTTTCCATTCTAACTCAGTTTGGCAGGCTTCAAATCCTTTGATGTGACAAGAATTGGTCATTCAATGCATAATTCTGTAATTGTTCATTAGTCCATGGTATAATATAGACAAACAGCCAGAACAAAATGGGACAGAGTTCATCTTGGGTGATTTCAGCTCTTGAAACACCAACACCTGGTGTTTCTGCTAGTTACAAATGTTAGAGATAGTTCTTAATTTCTGATGGAAATATATTACAGATGAAGCCAGCCTAGAAGACACAAGCTTTACCCCAACTATCCCTTTCTGTGGGTGGGATGATTTTGGTTTGGTTTGGTCTGGTCAGGTCTGCTGTTGTTTATTTTTTATTATGTATTTTATGTTGTGTTTTTTTAACGTTGTGAACCACCCTGTGATTTTTGGATGAAGGGCCGTATACAAATTAATAAATAATAATAATAATTTACTAATTCCATGTAGACCAATCTTTCTGCAAAACCTCAAACCAAAAAACACCAGGAGGTAGGCAGAGTACTCGGGTAAAATGTAAAGAGCCAGATTGCAAAAGCAACAGTCAAACGTACTGCCCTCCAATTGCACTATATCAGCCAGCAAAGAGAAAGAAAATGTTCTCAATATTGAACTGAATCCCACATTAAAAGGAGTGCAGATGAAGCCCCTATACAATAGTAGCACAACACTTACACACACACACACAGAATTCAGTTGCACTGTGGTAGGCACTCAAGTGAAAGAAACTGAATGAAAAAGTTGGGCACTAGTATTGATGGTCCCTACACAGCAGACATGGGTAGCAGGACTTAAAATGTAATAAAAGATTTTCCTCGTTTACAAAAGCACATGCATCGTCTCTTCCTTCAGGTTGTGTTTTCTACAGATCAGTTACATTTGTTGTGAGACACTGGTGTTATATGCAGTACGGTGGAACCTTGGTTTTCCAACGTAATCCATTCTGGAAGTCCGTTCAACTTCCGAAACGATCGAAAACCAGGGATCAAAGGGCTGGCTACAAAGTCAATGGGGGAAAAATGAAAAACACGCCTCGAAAGCCCTTCGACTTACAAGGCGCGTTTGAAAAAGGAAGCATTCACTCTCAGGTTTTCGGCGTTTGGCTTCCGAAACGTTCGGCAGCTGAGATGTTTGAAAACGGAGGTTTGACTGTATAGGGTTCAGAAGAAAGGGGAGGGGAGCTTATGTTCTTTTACGTAGTGTATGCATGGGGGTTTTGTGTCAGCGTCATTTGGGTAGGTACTCCTTCTGTTCGCTTGTTATGTTTCATTGGTGGTGAGAGAGGTTGGGGTATAAGGCCTAAGGTATTATTGAATGTCTTTGGTTGGCTACAGTGGGATTTGTTTGTGCATGTGTGAGAGGTGTTGTTGTTGGGTTAAAGGTAAAGGGACCCCTGACCATTAGGTCCAGTCGTGGCCGACTCTGGGGTTGCGGCGCTCATCTCACTTTATTGGCCAAAGGAGCCGGCGTACAGCTTCCTGGTCATGTGGCCAGCAGGACTAAGCCGCTTTTGGCGAACCAGAGCAGCGCACGGAAATGCCATTTACCTTCCCACCGGAGCGGTACCTATTTATCTACTTGCACTGCATGCTTTCGAACTGCTATGTTGGCAGGAGCTGGGATCGAACAACGGGAGCTCACCCCGTCATGGGGATTCGAACTGCCGACCTTCTGATCAGCAAGTCCTAGGCTCTGTGGTTTAACCCACAGCGCCACCCGTGTCCCGCCACCCGCATTGGGTTAAGTTAGCCATATTGAATCGTATGCTGCCGGTGGGTTCATGTTGTTGTGTTGTTTGGCTGTGTAGGTGATAAAAGGGGGGGCATAATGTATTTGATTAAAACATCTTTGTGCCCCATAGAGTGCAAAAACCTTCCTAAGATGGTTTAAAAATATAAAAAAACAGTTAAAATACGATTAACTAAATGAGCAACATTATAATAACATTTTAAATTATATGCCAAATGTATTGTATTATTTAATATCAACAACAGCCAGCAATTATAATATGCAAAATGTATATAAGAAAGTTGGGGGAAAGAGCAACTGACCAAAAGTGAACAAGAAAGACTGTGCAGCCAAAGAAAGAGGTTGAATGTAGAAACTACTCTGGCATAAGTTTTCAGTTATCATTGGCCAGAGGAATGTGCCTAATTGTTCATCTAGTCTAGAAATGTCTATTCTACTAGCAGCTGTCCTCCAGGATCTCTGCCAAAAGTCTTTAATGCCACTTGTTCATCTCCATCAGCAGTTTTGAACCCAGAACCTCCTTTGTGCAAAGCAAGTATTCTGCTGCGGAGTTTTCTTCCACAGTTTCTGATTTCTCAATCACCCCAGAAGACATCAGATTAATGGGAAGTCCCCAGTGGCTGAAGCAGACTCCAAGTGGCCCTTTCAAGACGCTCAAACTATAAATAAGGATGCTAATGTTTTCTGGCAGGTTGTCTATTCCTTCAACAGCTAGGTGCCAAGCAATTCAGCAGGTGGAAATCTTCCAGAAAAGGTTCACCTGTTGAAAATCAGATTCTGGTGCAGTTGTTAAAGACAAAGGGAGCTTTGCAGGCAGAACGAGTTAAGCTAACTGTAAATGCTAGCGAAGCTGCCTGCATTCATTTCACAAGCACATCTGTGGCTGTCACTGGGTGAATCAGCAAACTAAATAGAATATTCTAAGACTTCAATAGCTATACAAGTACATAAACTCTGATAAAAGAACCTGATTGAATCATTTCAAATTTTGCTGAGGCATGCTTGCTCAGATTGCATTTTTCTGTTCCAAATCATATCAGGTTCATTGTAGACCATGACAGCAGCAGCAGCTCTTTGCTGTATGTTTGAAAAGTAGGGGAAAGAATGAATAAATATTTATTCATTTCATTCTCATATGTATTCTCAACTTTCCATTCAAATAGCTTCAAGGTAAAAACAGTAAAATAATGGCTTAAAGAATAAGATGTATGTGAATCAGAATCTAAAATGATAACAGTAGTGCAATGCATTTCAAATGTCTTGGTTCCTAAAAATCAGAAGGAAATTAGGCCTATTGACTTGATGAGGCAGCAGATTACAGAAATAGAAGCACATTCCAGAAAAGATCTAACAGAGAAGATGGACCATTAGCATTGCTTCTGAGAAGGAAACAACTTTGCTCCAATTCTCAATATAGAAGGAGGTTTAAATTTTCCGCATTGTTTCATTTTCCTTCTCTGACTCCAGAGAAATGCACACATATTGTTAAACTCACAGCTATCAATTATGGCACCCTTGCCTTTAAGCAGATCACTCCACTTACAACATCTTTTATTGAATTAGATATGAATTGGAGATTGGTAAATATAAAAGTTTTTCCCGTGTGACAGATTTAATCATGTGATATTTATTTATTTGCTTACTTACAATATTGGAAGTGTTGGATTTTATACTAATTTATCTTAGTGTTATAATTTCTATTTATGATATAACCCCATGTTCTCTCATTTTTTGTATTGCTTAACGCTTTACTGTTTCAAAAACTACTGGCTGCCAATTAGGGACCCTGAACCCTTAAAGATTGTCTCACCCCTTATATATCCAGTGGATCACTGCTTTCTGCAGGAGCCAAAGGCAGAGACCATCTCTCCAGGAGATCCTTTGGGAATTAGACATATTTGCACATATTACTTGAGGGGCACTTATTAATCAATTAAATTAGCTGATTACCGTTCAAGTTCTAAATACTAATTTTAAACAAAAGTGGTTTTTTTTTTAGGATTTTCTGGAAAAAAACAGACTTTTTAAATAAATAGCTCATTACTTCATTTTTATTATTGTTTCTAATATTATCAGTATTCATATAATATTACCTTGTTGTTTGTTGTGAGAAAAGTATTTCATGGGGTCTCTCTCTCTCTCTCTCTCTATCTCTGTATTATATAATAATATATATATATTACACATGCCCCATAGTGGGGAAGAAGTCTTTCCCAAGAAAAATTTCCTTGGTTGACCCCACTTCAAAGTCTTCCTAATTCCATGTCTTAAGCCTCTGTACGAACTCTGGAGATGGAGTCAAGTAATGCTTGAGATTTGCTGAGGCTGAAATCAAGAGAGCCAATAACTTGATATCTAATACTCAGAGACACTTGAAATGATACTGTAGTTTTGGACAGTTACTCAACAAACAGGATTTCTTTTTTCTTTTTTAAAATAGTGATTACTGTGTCAAAGAGGAAGCCCTCTCCTGCAACATTAAATTGCAAGGGGGTATATGAATCCATTTTTTAAAAATTTTGATGATGACGCAAACCTGCCAAGACAGAGAAAAATAGAATGGAGGGAGGTTAACCGCTCTCCTCGTGATTCAGCAGCATCCATTAGTTTAAGAAGTCTATAAATAAGTGTGTGTTGACAGGTGGAAATCCTCACCACAAGTTCTGCAAATCACTAGATCAAGAAGTTCAAAGCAGGACTGAGCATCCACATTACCTCCATAGCACCTTTTGAGTGTTAATAGTGCTTCAAATATATTATCTTTGAAAATCTGTACATTTGTAAGGTAATTCAGAATTATCAAATTATTGAAACTGCAAGACTGAGCAGCTGAAAGACAGAGAGAGGCTTGCCACAAGCTGCTACGGATATGGAAAAGATGAACTACCAGACATTTTCCAGCTAACATTCTGAGGTATTGCACTGACCTTATAATGGATCTGCTGAAAGGTCTCTGTTTTTCCCATCGCAGCCTGAAGACTGTAGCTTTCAAAGACCACCAACAATTCCAGTGATGAAAACCAACAGCAGGCACACAAACCCAACTGTCTCTTTAGAGCATTCTCATTCAACCTCTGTGAGACAACTGCTACAGAAGACGCATACTGCATTTCCTACAGAAGTGCCACAAACTGTAACACACCACAGTGACCTATATAAAAGAGGCCAATAAACTAAGAATAATAATAAACATTATAATGCTTGGAATGACATGCTTAACCATCAGCAGAAAAGGATTAAGCTCCATGCCGTCCATTAACTTCTATCTTGTCACCTCTCCCTTGTATTGTCTCTAAACTTAAAAGGTCCCAAATGTTGCTCCATCCCCTCAATTATTTTGGTTGCCCTTTCCTGAACATTTCCAGATCCATGACATCCTTTTTGAGATATCCATGGCAACCCCATCCTCTCCCTCTTCTAAGACAAACCCTTCCCTTGTGAAAGTAGACTCTTAAAAAGGAATCCTCAAACAAGAACTTGGGTTTGGTCCTGTTCCCACAGCACACTATGACTCTGTGAAAAGCTTGAAAACGTTTACAGTGGTACCTCTGGTTGCGATTGGGATCCAATCCAGAGGCCTGTTTGCAACATGAAAAGAGCGCAACCTGCAGCGGCGTGTCTGCGCACACGCGAGTTGCGATTTGCCGCTTCTGCGCATGCGTGTGACTTCATTTCACGCTTCTGCGCATGCGGCGAAACCCGGAAGTAACCCTTTCCGGTACTTCCGGGTCGCCATTGGACGTAACCTGAAAGAACGTAACATGAAGCAGATGTAACATTGAGGTATGACTGTATTCTGTATAAGGGAAAAATGCCATGTGTGGTTAACAACACTTAGAAACATAGAATTATAGAGCTGGAAGGGACCCTGAGGGTCATCTAGTGCAGGGGTCGGCAAGGTTTACCGGCCGTGGGCCAGATAACTCCCACGGAGATCGTCTGTGGGCCGGACTGGCGCAGCGTGATGCCGGAAATCGCATCTGCGCATGTCTGCGGCACCAGAAATGGCTTCTGCGCACGCCCAGATGCCAAAAATCAAGCCTGCACAGAAGCGATTTTCGGCATCCGGACATGCGCAGACGTGATTTCCGGCACCGCTTGGCAAGTCCCTGCACCTCGCCAGTTTAGCACAGCATGCAGGGGACTCTCCGAGCGGGCAGCTGAGTTCGGGGGCAGCTCGTGGGCCGGTAAAACAGTCTTTGTGGGCTGCATCCAGCCCACGGGCCGCACGTTGCCAACCCCTGATCTAGTGCAACCCCTTGCAATGCAGGAATAGGCAGCTGTCCCATGTGGGGATGGAACCTGCACCCTTGAGGTTATCGGCACCATGCTCTTTTGAGCACCATGCTCTAACCAACATGATGATGCTGGACTGCATCTTCCATACTTCCGAACAATTGTTTTCCCAGCCATGCTCTGTTACCTTTTCTACTAAATGAATTGGAGATTATGATGTAAGCATTTGTCATCACAGCACAGGAACTTTCTGTTTGTGTGCCTATTGGGGGAGAGATGCTAGGTTCCCATATATTATTCCAATTATCTTCACATTACTTTACAGTGCAGTGCAGAAGCACTGACAAACACAGAGAAAGGAATCCCTTTATTATACAGTATTGTTTTAACAAGTGTTATATTATAATTAGATTTACAGTAAACTGCGTTTACGTGCGCTGCTCTGGTTCGCCAGAAGCGGCTTAGTCATGCTGGCCACATGACCCAGAAGCTGTACGCCGGCTCCCTCGGCCAATAAAGCGAAATGAGCGCCACAACCCCAGAGTCGGCCACGACTGGACCTAATGGTCAGGGGTCCCTTTACCTTTACTAGATTTTCAGCACTGGAGCTCTTAGAATTGTCTCTCACTATATTCTATGTTGGTAAAGTATTATTACCATTACTTCATCTGGGCACCCCCATGAAAACAGGTGAAGGAATACACTCATCTGGTCATAAATTATCAACTGCATGGTTGAAAGAGCAATTATGTTTCCTAAATCCTTTCTACTTTTCAATATATTTTTTTAACAACACAAACACAGAGAGCAGAATGCAATCCTTAAGAAGTAAACAGAAGGATAGAAAGACTGGCAGCATAACAAGTGTGGTGAGAAAAGAAAATGGACATATTTTCAAATTTCTGAATCAAGCTAGTCATTAGGTGCAAAAGATGAGACAACGTTCGTCAAAGAGACTGAAAGAGCTGTAAAGAAACTGGCAGGCATTTGAAAAGCTATTTATAAAGGAAAACTGACATTGATTAGATTTGATTTAAAGGGTGTAACAAAAAACACCTGTCAGCCGCCAACTAAGTCATGTTTGTATGCTATCTTATGTAAACACAGTTCAGACTTGGTTAAGTGGTCCGGGTACGGGAGAGTAGGGATATAGCATGTGAACAGACTGACTTCCTCAAAACAAGAAAGGTGACCCCCCCCCGAACACAACATCATGATTTCCAGGCAGAAGTCCATATATACATACAGTGGTGCCCCGCAAGACGAATGCCTCGCAAGATGAAAAGCTCGCTAGACGAAAGGGTTTTTCGTTTTTTGAGCTGCTTCGCAAGACGATTTTCCCTATGAGCTTGCTTCGCAAGACGGAAACGTCTTGCAAGTTTGTTTCCTTTTTCTTAACACCGTTAATACAGTTGCGACTTGACTTCGAGGAGCAACTCATAGAACGCGCTGTGGTAGCCTTTTTTGAGGTTTTTAAAGACTTTGGTGATTTTTGAAGCTTTTCCAAAACTTTCCCGACACCGTGCTTCGCAAGACGAAAAAAATCGCAAGACGACAAAACTCGCGGAACGAATTAATTTCGTCTTGCGAGGCACCACTGTAATGTGAAATCCGAGGGACACTTTGACTCCAGTACTGTATATAAAAGCCATTGACAGCTTTCTTACAGGGCCAATCAAAGCTTTCAGTTTCACTTGCTCTTCTCCCTCTGCAATCAGGGGAAAGAAGGGATATCACTATAGTCTAGTCTGACATCCTAACTTGATTTTAAATAACAGAGAAAGCACAGCTAATGGGTCAATGAGGTGCATGTACCACATCCACTGCCATATGCATGGTGTAGCAGGATCTGTTCACACCAGTACCCCTTAATCCCTCGGCCCTTGCTTACTCAAGACTTGATGAACGAATATATAAATGGACTTCTCTGAAAAGTATTATGTGGTGGGTGACAGGAAATCAGCGTTTTTCTAAAATCTACAAAGACTCATTCTTTCACAACAGCCATCGAGTGAATGTGTGAACAGGGCTTTAAGCACACAACATACTCTTAAGCAGTGGTGGCTGGTACCATTTTTACTTGGAAGGACTGCAAATTTGTAAACTTGTTGTTTTCCTCACGACAGGACTTGTACAGCACTTATTTAGGAAAAAGTGTGACATTACACATGTCAGAGAGCTATTGAACACATGTAATGCGGACGCGGGTGGTGCTGTGGTCTAAACCACAGAGCCTAGGGCTTGCTGATTGGAAGGTCGGCGGTTCGAATCCCCACAACGGGGTGAGCTCCCGTTGTTCAATCCCAGCTCCTGCCCACCTAGCAGTTTGAAAGCATGCCAAAAAGGGCAAGGAGATGAATAGGTACCACTCCGGCAGGAAGGTAAACGGTATTTCCGTGCGCTGCTCTGGTTCGCCAGAAGCGGCTTAGTCATTCTGGCCACATGACCCGGAAGCTGTCTGCAGACAAACACCGGCTCCCTCGGCCTATAGAGTGAGATGAGCACGCAACCCCAGAGTCATCCGCAACTGGACCTAATGGTCAGGGGTACCTTTACCTTTTAATGCAGAGCTGGTGCGTTGAGGGGACAGGCAGGAACTGCATGCGCTCGCTCCCCTGCATGAGATAGGCCACGCAGGGTAAAGCAACTGGCCTGGCCCTTAGTTTGACCCTAAGCAGGGACGCAACAGCACTCAGTCTTCTGCTTAAACAGTAGTACAGCACTGGTTTTCTGCAGGGTATTCTTTTGACACCATTGTTCTGTCTAATTCAATAAACATGCAGCCCCCTTTGGCTTCATTAGACATAGGAATTGACAGATTCAGCTTTATCTTCATGTCAGATTGTGTTATCTTTTATCTGAAGCTGTATTTGTTTTCCATACATAGAAGATGGTCCTTCAGGCAGTCTGCATTTTAGTCAATTTGTCTGTCATTATTCATGACAATGCATATTACAGTGTTAATGAGCATGTGATTGAGATGTCTGTCAGATATACTGCAGCCCCTGCAAGTATCTGATGTTGCATTTTCCATCTTTTAATGACTATTTGTTTTTAAACAGTCCTTTCATTATCTCCCTCAGAAGTTGACAGCTTATCATGGCAAGTATTTTAGGTTGAAGCAGAACTGGCAAAGAGAATGAAGGCTGCATCTACACTACAGACTTAAATTGATTTAGCTGCCACAGCTTCCTTGCAAAAAAACTAAACTAAACTTTGGGGATTTACAGTCCTGGGTGGAGGCTGGAGCTCTTTCAAAGAGAATTCTCTCGAAGGCTATCTTTTTATATGCGACGGCGGCAGCAAGAGTTTTGATCGCAGCAAAATGGAAGAGTAATGAAATCCCCTCTATACAAGATTGGATCCAAAAGCTGACAGAATATGCCGAATTAGATGGTTTATCAGAAAAAATAAAGAATAAATTTGTTTCTAAATGGGAGGTTTTCAAAGAATATCTGAAAAATAAATATAGTAGTTTAAATTCTGTTGCAGCATTCGAGGAACTTCAGTAATAGTTGCTAGGTAGATAGAAGAAATTAGATTTATTGAGAATAAGTTTAATTATAAAAAAATGTGTATTGGCAATAAGTAATATGAATTTGAAATATGGAATAGACGGGAAGTTGCGTCTTTAGTGTTAAGACCAATAGATGTTTTATTGTTTGCCAAGAAAATTATGTGTCTATGGTTATTTTTGTAATTTGGTATTTGTGTTTTTTGTGTGTTTTTTTTCCTTGTTGTATAAACAAATATTAAATAAAAAATAATAATAATAATAATAAAAAAAGAGAATTCTCTCTCATTTTCTAAAAACTTCGATTCCCCATGTGAAAATCACTTGGTTGGCTTTCCTATATATATAAAAGGATATCAACTACTTAGTGTTTGCCTATTCACACTGAACTGTGCGCATGTGGGTAGCATACAGGCATTCTGTTCCCTCATGTATATCAGAAGCGGCTCTCCCAGTGGACAACAGGGCAGTGCTGGCTTACCAGATGTGGCGTCAATACCACTTAGCAGATGTGGGAAGACTGGGGAAGCACAGGCGAGCCACTTGTAACGCAAGTGTGGTTTAGTGGAGGCAGGGCCAGCGCACTGGGAGAAGATGCATGAAATTGCGCCTTTCCACAAAACAGGCCAGACTGGTGGGCTGGGAGACATACTGTGCAATTTAGCCTATGTGTTATGTGGGAGAGCTGTGACTGCATCTCCAATATATATTTTTCTTCTTCTAAAACCAACTGGGGGGAACAATGGGGACTGGGCCATGATGCAGAGGGAGGGGTAACGCTTCCATACTGTGCCCAATCTCCAATACGAAATACATCCACACAAACACTACTAGTTGGAGAAGGAAAAGCATAAAGTCTTGCATGCTTTCCCTTCTGTGACCAGTAACAGTGGTGGCTTTTTAAGATGATTCACACTGTAGAATCAGCATAGGGAAAGGGTAGAAGTCATGATCCCAATACATTTCCCTCTACTGGTCTGCTTTTAAGGACAAGGAGAATATGCTTGGAATTCCAGTCCCAGATCTGACAAATTATGTGCAGTTTGGCTCTTAGCTGTGTGTTTGCAAGGGCTCTGATGAAGATGGAGGGATTCTTGTTGAACAGAGATTCTCCTCCCTTCGATATTGGGGCCAGCAGCAAAAAATAATTTTCATGGTATAACAGTGCTTACATCTTTGAGATCAGGTCTCAATTTAACTATTTTCACTGATTCCAAAGAGGAATTTGAACCAGGAAATATTTTAAATTCTGTAATCCTTCTTCTTGATTTATTTCTTTAAACATGCCTTATACATTCAGTTTATCCTTTCCTTTGGCACAATAACTAGATTAATTCCAAACAAATAGCCGCATTAAAAAGACACACACAGTGCCAGGAACTAAACAAAACTAAAACAGAAGACCAGCATATGGTGCACTGAGTCCTGACCTAAAAAGACTAGAGAATACAACAGCCACATCCAACTCAACCTTTAAAATGTGATTAATGATTACCATAACTTTTTTTTTTACTAGAAAGCAATGTACGTCAATACTATATTTGAGGGTTGTTTTCGTTAGTTTTTTAAAAAAGAAAAACCCTGTGAATTGATCAATAGGGGACGTGGGTAGCACTGTGGTCTAAACCACTGAGCCTAGGGCCTCGGAAGGTCGGTGGTTCGAATCCCCGCGACGGGGTGAGCTCCCATTGCTTGGTCCCAGCTCCTGCCAACCTAGCAGCTTAAGCACGTCAAAAAGTGCAAGTAGATAAATAGGTACCGCTTCAGTGGGAAAGTAAACGGCGTTTCCATGTGCTGCTCTGGTTTCTACAGAAGTGGCTTAGTCATGCTGGCCACATGAGCTGGAAAAACTGTCTGCAGACAAACGTCGGCTCCCTCGGCCAGTACAGTGAGATGAGCGCCGCAACCCCAGAGTTGTTCGCAACTGGACTCAACTGTCAGGTGTCCTTTACCTTCAAGCCCAATAATACTTCAATAATACTTCAAGCCTGTAACAACTGGATGTCTTTAGGAAAACCTTACCCCACACACAACAATAAGAACAGTGTTCCCCAGACAGATGGCGGAGCTACACAGACAATTCCAAAGATTATATTTCTTATGTAACAGTGCCAGAACAAAATGGTGTTAATAATATTTTTCTTCCAAGTCAAAAGTCCAAGATTCCCTTCTTTCAAATACACTCATCATTTGCCGATCTGAGATCTCAAAGCAGATCTCAGATGGGCAAATAATTCCTATACACAATGAGACAAGTCTGCCCGTACCAAATCAGCTGCCTCTCCCTTCAAAATTCCAGGAGGTGATGAGTTGCCCAAAGCAACCGAGCCAGCTTCACAGCTGAGCACCAAGTCTCGATGTCCCCTTTCCAAGTCCACTACACCACTATAACGATTTCACAAGGCAAACAAGGCAGCCCACTGTGACTTTGCCATCCGCCTGTCCAAGTCAGAACAAAGACAACTTCCTTTCATTTGGCTTGATTGTAATCCAAGTGGCCCTGTGACACAGGTCACTGAAATTCACATTAGTTTTGGACTAAATTGTGTTTTCACTCTGAGGAGAGCACATTTTCTCATTTGAAAGTTAAATTTCTGAAAGTGAACAGCCAGTTCCTAATTACTAAATAAGTAGCATGCTTGCACAAGAACGCACCTTTCAAAACAGTTCATATAACATCATAGAATCAGAGAATCGTAGGATTGTAGAGTTGTGAGGAAACCTCTGCAATGCAGGAATCTCTACTAAAACATCCATGGCAGATGGGATACAGGCTGCCCACTGTTTACACGGGGCTTATGTTCTGAGGCTCTGCACGAGTCAGAAAAATCACATATAATTGAAACCCATTGAAAAAGCCTGCAAACATCCTGCCTCGCCCCCATTCCGCCCTTTCAGTGATGTTTCAGGAACATCTTTATGATGTTTCCAGGTCACTTCTGGGCTCAGCAAAATGCACAGATACTTGGTCACACAAAAACTGGACACGTGTAAGTGGGGGGCTGCCTGCAAATAAAAATCAGGTTGTTTTTAATAGATCATAGATAAGGAGATGAACAATTGTACTGATTACTTGTTTTTTAATTATTAGTTCCCCCCCCCCCAATGTTTTTGCTGTTCTCATTTTACCTGTAAGCCGCCCTGAATAAGGCGGGGTTTAAATAAATATGTAATCATAAATATGTGATCATGATAGCCTCACCGCCTCCACTCCAGCTTCTTCTGTGGCTTAAAGGCAGCAGCATGAACCCAGCAGCTAACAGCAGTGCCAGCTCAACTCACGTCAATTATGACTTGGGTTCTTTACTTGCACTGGAAGCCTGAGGAAGGGTCCCTTGCTGCCATGTCACAAGCGGGGGAAGTGGTGTCTGAACAAAAACCTGCCTTTAAAAAATAATAAGAATGAAACCCACAACAGATTTCAAATTTGGTTCTTGAGATTGCATCCTTTTAAACTAATCCTTGACGCCTCTGGATCACGTCCTGCACTACAGCCATGGTCTGTGGGGCATTTTGTTAGCTAGGTTTTGTTTTAAGGAATAAAACATCTCCTCACCAACCCGTCACAGGCAAGTTAGATTTTTCCTATCCCTGTAATCTACCGACAGTTAGATTTCCCCTTTAGTTTTTATTGTGCAATTTCCCCCTAATATGATTCTTATCATCATCACGGTCATCAGCAACAACAGCCGCAACTAGAATGCATGCTCAAACATCTTCCCAGCAGGGAACCCAACCCTCCAAACCCCAAACTGAAATTAATCAACTTATAAACCACACAAAGTCAATATTCTTTAGGTTTCCATTGGCATCACTGCACAAAATGGTCACTACTGCGGTGCTTCATTTGTGAGCATCTGCAGCTCCTGTGTTTTCTCCTTCCATGTGTACTAAAAATAGAACTACCTTCACTGCAAGTCCACAGGATGGCTAATTAAGGAGTTAGTAAACAGTGCTCCTCCACGCTGGGCGAATCATTGGGTAAGAACATTGGCTAAGATTCATGATAATCCATCGGAGTACATATGACCCTATGGGCCTTTGAAATCTATAAATTCTCATTTATTGAATCGTCAGCTGTTTACTTTTTAGAGAACCTGGCATTAAGGTAAATATAAATCAGATGGTTGGGTTAATCAGAAACTAAAACCTCTTATTTTCTATGGAAGCCATTAAACAATAGGCTCTGAGCTGACATGTAAATCAACATTTGTGTTTTACATCAGCTCAGAATCTTTTTCTGTTTCTCTTCATAGAGGTTGTTTCCTGTCCTGCTACAAATGGACAGTGACATCTCACTGGTGAGAATAATACATCTTTGTTCTCTCTCATGTGCCAGCCTTAGGCTTACGGAAGGATGTGCTGAAGAAGTCAGCTGTTGTTCCTGTTTCTTTGCTTCCAGGTAATGGGTACAGTGGCTCTAAACTAGCTGATGAAAGAAAGGGTACATGCTCTACTGTTTAAGGCATAGTATCTTCTAACTCAGAGCTCACACACTTCTGTGGCAAAGTCTTTGGGTGTTTCACAAACCATCCCAAACCATATGTAATCAAAGATCAACCAACGTTCTGCAAAACAAATCCCACAAGACTTAAACATATTCAGGTATTCAATGGTCAACCCAAACCAGGACAATAACAAAGCCAAAGAGATCAAACCAGAATTAACAGAAGAAAAAACAGGATAAGGTTAAGGGGCTGCAAGACCAAAAGGGGACTTTCAAATTGGCTTCTACCAATAGTAGCTGCAAAGCTGCCAGTCATATTTAGCTTCAAAATCTAGGAAAGATGTATTGAATTTATTCTTAAAAAACAAAACAAAAAACTTCCTCAGTTGGAAGCAGGAAGTTCATTTTACAAGACGGTATTTTGCTTACCATCTACAACATTTCCCAAACACAAAAAGTAAGATGCAAAATGCAAGAAGGAAGCTGTTCTACATGTCACTTTTTCAAGCACTATGGTTTTTTTGAAGTTTTTTAAATGTTTTATTATGTTTCTATATTTGTTTTTTTAAAAAAATGATATTTATTGAAAATTTTTAAAATTACAGAAAAAGACAAAGCAGAGAAAGAAAAAAGAATTTCAAGCACTATGCTGAAATTGGAAAGACATCAGACAAGTAAGTAAATAAACTGCAGGCATCCGTCACCCAGTCTTGTGGTAAGTGAATCTAAAGCAAACACTCTTGCCATCCCAGCCTGCCAGAAATATCCACAGAGCAAATTACAGAAGATAATATAGTCCCTAAGCGTAGCCTTTTTCTCCTCTGCATTTACACATTTGTTCAAACTTCACAGTGAAATCGCATATAGATATTAAAAACTGTATATAAAAAAAGCAAACACACAAAAAGAATGGCTAGCAAGCCCATATACTTACAGTGCAATGGTATGCATTGCATGCCTACTTGGAAACATTCTACACTGAACTGAATGGCGCTTACTCCCAGGAAGACTGATCAAATGTTCTTCTGTATTCGAGGCTTACAAAACAGTGGTTCACAAAAATCTTAACGCAAAATAAAATGTTGCCTACCTCAGTTATGTGCGGCATTGGGTTAAATCCACAGAGATTGCACACGACGTTATGGCATTCAGTACACGTATTATAGTTGGGAGGATCCTTAGAACCAACATTTAGCTCAGTTTTACAGAGAGGACAAGAAGACGCTGGCTGCGAAGGAGGCTTTGTTTTTGGTGCCTCGGCACTTTGCTTAGCTTCCACAGCTGGAGGCTTGATGTCTTTGGCAGGCAAAGCCTTCTTCCCAGCGTCTGTTTCCTTAACAGCGGAGCCGCCATCAGCTTTGGGTGGCTCTGGCTTTTCTGCCACAGGAGGCCTTGTTTCTTTCTTCACAGGTGTTGCTTTGGGAGATGGCTGGGATTGACGGGTATCTTTTTGTGGGGCAGGAGGCTGTGCTGCAGGAGGCGGCTGCTTTGAGGGGGACCCAGATGGAGGACCCTGTGGTTGACCTCCTGGCTGGCCTGCTGTAGAGATTAAATTGGAAGCCTGGTTGAAAATTGAAGCACCAAATCCAAAGAGCTTCCCGGTGACTCTTTCTTGAGGGGTTGTTGGCTGAGGTTTGGGAGCATCTGTGATGCCTCCTATGTTAAGACTGAATAATCTAGATTGCTCTGGGGCTTTGGGAGGTTGCTGAGCTTGTGGCTGCGCCTGGGTGGCTTTGGGCCCCGTGGTGCCTTGTTGCCCTTTGGGAGCCTGCTTGGCGTCTGGCTTAGGAGCCGCCTGGGGTTGCCTTTTCTTAGGGTCTTCTTTCACCTCACCTGGTTCGCCTACCTTCTGAGCCTTAGAATCCAACCCAGGCTGAGGCTGAGGAACAAGTTTGGGATCCGACTTCTGACGAGACACTTGAGATGAAGTTTTGGAATCTGGAGGAGCAGCTTTATCTACAGACGGAGGTGTGTCTTGAGACGACTTAGCAGGCTCCGATCTCTGAGTCTGTGCCACTTTCTGTTGAGCGAGTGCGGCTTTCGGGCCGGGTGATTCTTGTTTGGTATCTGATGGTGGTGTAGGCACAGTATCGCTTGTGGGTTTCTGAGTACTAGCTTGCTTCTGTTTGTCTTCAGCCAATGGCTGCTTGGCCTGGTCAGATTTGGGGGCCGGTTCTGTTGGCTGAGTTTCAGCAGGGGGAAGTTTTGGTTTTGCAGGAGGAGAACTGGGCACGGTTGGCTGCTTTATTTGTGTTGGTGGCTTTTTGTGTTCAGGTGACTGGGTAACATCAGGTTTTAGAGGAACATCTTTCTTCTGTGTCAATTGCTGTGGCTGGGAAACTGGTTTGCTTGCTGCAGTTGGCGCAGGCATCTTTTGCTTGGGTGCAGAGGGCTGTGTTCCAGGGCCAGGACCTGGAGCCAAATCGCCGCCTAAAGCTCTCTGCATCTGGCAGTTTAAACAAAGCCATTCTTTAATCTGTGAGAGAATGAAAAAAGATTAAATAGCCAGATAGAATCACATCACAAATAGTGAAAACATCCTGTTCACATTTTTTAAAGGGGAGAGTAGCCCAGCTGATCACATCCATATTCTCCATATTCTCCTTTTAAAGTTTACGAATTACTTTAGCATGGACTCTGGTACCATAGCCTACAACTTTGCTGCCACATACACCCAGACAACACCATCACTGGACCCAACAACATCAAACATACCATCTCAGGCCTATTTAATTGCCCATCTTCTAACATTGTGTATGCCATCAAATGCCAGCAGTGCCCTTCAGCTCTCTATATTAGACAAACAGGCCAAACCCTACCCCAAAGGATAAATGGACATAAATCTGACATCAGGAATCACAAGACACAGAAACCAGTAGGAGAACACTTCAATCTCCAGGACACTCAATACAGGATCTCAAAGCAGCTGTCTTATTACAAAAGAATTTCAGAAACAGACTTGAAAAGAGAAGTTGCTGAATTACAACTTATCACTAAACTGAAAACTATGGAGAGACCTGGTCTTAATAGAGATATTAGATTCCTGTCTCATTACATTCTATCCATTGCTTTTTCCTGTAGGACTAATTGCAGTCATTAACAGTTGTCAACAGGTTTACCATAGCCATTGAGTCAATCACCCATCTCCTACTACCCGCCTGAGAAAAACCCCACCCCACCCTCCCACTATATATAAGGGTCTGGTGACTTCCGTTTCAGTGTATCTGAAGAAGTGTGAATGCACATGGAAGCTTATACCAAGAACAAACTTAGTTGGTCTCTAAGGTGCTACTGGACATTTTTTTATTTTTTAAATATATTTTAGCAGTATGATTACTGCATCCCCGCTGATAACTGCTTCATGTCAGCTGATCAATTTCTCACCTGCTCAATAACCACAATTTTATAATTTGTTTGGCTTTGTCCCAAACAGTGCAGATAAGGATTTAGATAAATAAAATAAACAACTTGGGCAGACATAACCCACTCCTGACTATGTGTTTTGCAAAGATGTGTGATTTACATTTCCCCTCATGTTATTTGTCATCTAATGAAAAACTACATGAAGCTCTAAATTTAGCTCTAAAACTGATATCTCTGATTTTAAGGGACAGACTGAAAAGAAAATGCAACTCCTATAACTAAACACTCAAAGACCATATTAAATAAATCTTTTGCTTCTTCAAAATTTTAGATATAGTGTGACATTTATTCTGACTTAATTAATCCCATTGAAACTTCTGCTTTCAGCACAAAATTCCTTCCAAATATTTCAGTGGTAGTATCTGAATACTGAAACGTTCAAGAAGACAAGTACCACACAAGTAAGGTGTGACACCTTAACACTCTTAATACAAAATGAAAAACACCTGTGGTAGCTTTAAGTTAACATATACTGCAAACCAATCTGCTCTTGCTTTTGTGTTTGATAAGCACTGCCCAGAGAGAAAAAACTTTTCCACCCTCATCTTCATCCATAATCTGAGAGTAACATTCATCTCCCATGTCTATGGCACACATGAGATGTATTGAGTACCCTCAAGTCATAAAAAAAGAGAAAGAAGTCCTGCCAGTCCAAGCCCAAGAGATTTTGGCACCTGAAGCGGACCACAAAATGGCCTCTCCCACCACCACCGCCAGGGAAGAAGAGGTAATTGAAAATCTACATCAGGACCAAGGGTGGAAGGGTACCAGCAGAACCTCCTATTCGCCAAGAGGCAGCCGGAGAGGCAGAAGAAGGGGACAGAGTCAGCCTCCAAAGAGTATGCTGAAGCTGCTGCTACCCTCGCAGCAAAGCAAGCAGAAGCTGCTGATGCATTCCTTGGAGGCCAGATCTGCTGCCCCTGTGGATCCTGTCGCCTGAAGCAGTTGCCTCATCTTGCCTCATGGGTAGGCCAGTCCTAAGTCCTGCACTTCTCCCACCCACACATTTCCAAAGACAATACAGCGGGGAGGGAATTGCAAAACAATACAATGAACGTAAGGGTTAAAAAGATATGTGTCATATGTGCTTCAGCCAGCAAGAGGATTAATACTGGGATTTGAGAGATTAACCTGTCTGACCTAAAATGGAATCTACTACACTTCCTGCCAGTGATTAAATTCCAGATCACATGATCTCACTGTAGTAGTAAGTTGCTGTTGCTAAGCAACAGTCACACTGGTGTGCATGAATGACTGCAGCTGATAGCTCTAGCGATGTGGATTTAATGCATTATTACTACGTATTAAAAGTATACATCCGAACATCACAGGGTAGTTGTAATCGTTTGCTTCTCGCAGTGGGAGAACCGCCAGAAGGCCCTCCATTGAATACATGAGATGCTGGCCTCATGCATGCATAGCTCCCAGGCTGGCTTCCTGACAATACGCCAAGGAGTCCTCTACAGGCCCTATGCAATATATGTTCAGTTAGAAACAAATCTCTGAGGGGACAAATTCAAATGATTGCTTTGAATCAGATGAAGAAGGTCAAGTGGGATGAAGGATGGCATGGAAAGCTAGCGGAAGCACAACATTTCGGAAGCATTTTGGTGCACAAAGAGAGGAATAAGCAACCCGGGGGGAGGGGGAATCCAGGTGGGGTTTTACATGAAAATTATAGAATCATAGAATCATAGAGTTGGAAGAGACCACAAGGGCCATCGAGTCCAACCCCCTGCCAAGCAGGAAACACCATCAGAGCACTCCTGACATATGGTTGTCAAGCCTCTGCTTAAAGACCTCCAAAGAAGGAGACTCCACCACACTCCTTGGCAGCAAATTCCACTGTTGAACAGCTCTTACTGTCAGGAAGTTCTTCCTAATGTTTAGGTGGAATCTTCTTTCTTGTAGTTTGGATCCATTGCTCCGTGTCCGCTTCTCTGGAGCAGCAGAAAACAACCTTTCTCCCTCCTCTATGTGACATCCTTTTATATATTTGAACATGGCTATCATATCACCCCCTAACCTCCTCTTCTCCAGGCTAAACATGCCCAGCTCCCTTAGCCGTTCCTCATAAGGCATCGTTTCCAGGCCTTTGACCATTTTGGTTGCCCTCCTCTGGACACGTTCCAGTTTGTCAGTGTCCTTCTTGAACTGTGATGCCCAGAACTGGACACAGTACTCCAGGTGAGGTCTGACCAGAGCAGAATACGGTGGCACTATTACTACCCTTGATCTAGATGCTATACTCCTATTGGTGCAGCCCAGAATTGCATTGGCTTTTTTAGCTGCCGCGTCACACTGTTGGCTCATGTCAAGTTTGTGATCAACCAAGACTCCTAGATCCTTTTCACATGTACTGCTCTCAAGCCAGGTGTCACCCATCTTGTATTTGTGCCTCTCATTTTTTTTGCCCAAGTGCAATACTTTACATTTCTCCCTGTTAAAATTCATCTTGTTTGGTTTGTCCCAGTTCTCTAATCTGTCAAGGTCGTTTTGAATTAGCCTGCCTTTGTTTTTAAAAATACAGTCCAATGAAAGTGGCTTGTATTCATCTCTTGTCATGAGCAACTATCCACTTGAGGCAACCGTTAGCTCTGGGCTGGGATGTACAACCACATCAAGATGAAAGATGCAGCTAGCTGGTTCAAAGGGGCCTAAATGAGCATTATGATGTGGCATAATGAAAGCCTGGTATATACTCCTGCAGGAACAGGAGTCAGACAATGGTATGTACTACAGATGGTAGTTTAGGCTTCATCTAAACTAAGCTGGCCAGACACCAAGACCCCAGCCCTGGAACTTCTTTTGCATGTCAGGGCTTTATAGTTCCCATAGCATGAATTAGCTGGTACAGTGGTACCTTGGGTTATATACGCTTCAGGTTACATACGCTTCACGTTACAGACTCCACTAACCCAGAAATAATACCTCGGGTTAAGAACTTTGCTTCAGGGTGAGAACAGAAATCGTGTGGTGGCGGCGCAGTGGCAGCAGGAGGCCCCATTAGCTAAAGTGGTACTTCAGGTTAAGAACAGTTTCAGGTTAAGAATGGACCTCTGGAACGAATTAAGTACTTAACCCAAGGTATCACTGTACTCTGTCTTCCTGTACCTGCAGGCTTCACCAATTAATAACCCTATCCATTGACTATAAATCTAGGATTAGAGAGTCAGCTTGTAACTGAGATTATGTCCTCTCTGTTAGGACTGAGCTGTGTCATTTCTTGTTTTACGAATTGGAAAGCAGGCAACAGAAATTAGCAACAGGATAGCTGTTGTGATGAAGAGTGGCAGACAAAAGCTAGTGGTGTGTTCATTTCTCTGTTTCTTTCTCTTGCCTGGGTTTTATATTTTAATATTTTTGTTATAGGCAAGAGAGACATAATGGGCAGAGAGGCTCCCTATAAATATACTTCT